CTTGGTGCAAACAGTGAATTTTACCCCTTCTACCCAAGAGACAGAAAAATAGAATTTAAAATAAATGGACTATATTTTTAAGGAAATCATGAGAATATAGCTTAATTTAAACTCAAACTCGGCGATTTGTTTCGTCTAAATCTAAACAATCGACGTATTTACTTGAAATATACCTCAAAAATTTGTGCTCAAAAAATATTTCCAATAAGCAGGATTGTTGTTTTCAAATAATTTAAATGCTCATTCACGTGAAAAGGGGCAGAAAACTGCGCAAAATTTTGCCCAGAATTAAATTGTGTTTACTAAGCCAGCGCTGGGAAGAAAATGCGTAGAATCTAATTTGCGAAAACAAAAGCTCGCACCGCACGCCTCCTCCGTTGAGTTTGTTGGCTGCAAATGAAACCGTGTTCGCGTGAATGAACGTACATGAAAGTTTGCACGTGCAAATATATGTTGGCAGCATGTGTGTGGGGGTCTGTATGTGCCACTCGTGTTACCAGAAACAATAACTGTTTTCACGCCAACGCTCTCTCGCAAAAACACACACTTGTCGACCCTCACATTCCCTGAGAACGAGACTTTGCTCTTTGTCACAAAAGCCAGAGTTATATCGTTCTCACGCCGCCAACATAATGGACGTTTAACGGAAAACGCGCGCACACCAGCAGAGAATGAGAAGCGTTGCGCGAATTTACGGTCTCTTGATTGCGCCGGGCATGAAAGTATGAGAGATTTTCTAAAAAAAATCATGATTTGCAAATGAGTAATATTTAAACCATTTAAATAAACACAATTAAAAACGTAGGATTTTTTTCATGTCCAAACCTAAAACTAATTTTTAGTGGAAGGAATAAATAAAAAATGTAAAAAATTAAAGAAATAATGAAGAAATTAATTTAGCGTCTGATTGTGACTCGGTCAATAGATTTGTATTTTGTGACACTTTGCCAAATCTAGTAAAATGTGAAAAATTGAAATTTACTGCAATTTTTTTGCGCACCGTTAAAAAAGATTAATGATCGTGCATCCTTTTAAGATTCCAAACAATAGAAAAATTCCTAATTAACATAATGAATGGACCTTTGGTCTACAGAAAACGGAGAAAAGAGTTTTTATTGATTAATAAGAAGAAAGAAATTAGCCTCCCTTTTATGCGCATTCCGACAGCTGTTGAATGAAAGAAATTCATCGAAAGACGCTAGAGCAAAAGGGTTGCTTCGCCGTTCGTGCTCTCGAGTGGCCCGGCCGCCCTTGAAACTCAATAAATGTAAGAGCGCCGACAGAAGAGAAGAAATTGCATTTTCAAAATATATGACAAGCATGTGTATGTATCACTGGGTACACGTCAATCTTCTCCTCCTTTCGCCTGACACGGCGGAATAATTTTTATTTCCAAAAGCGGCCCAGCTCTCGCCGAATTCCCAAGTCGCATAGTAATTGGATCGGCGTGCGCAGCCCCCAGCATGAACTTCGTTTTTCTCTGTTCCATGCAAAAATAGAAATAAAAGAAGGAATGTCTCAGGAGCTCATCTAACGTGTGAATAACTTTGATCCGAAAAGTTAAAATAGAGTGCATTGCCTAAAAAAAGTAAAGGAAATATAATTAATTCCAAATCCCAATTTTATAAATTTGGTGTTTCATCAAAATTCTTAAAAAATATAAATATGAAAAATCAGCTAAATCACGGCGAAAAGATCAGTGTTATGCAAGTATGAGTTTATTTCAAGTTTCGTGGACTTAAGAAAGTCAACAGCATCTGTAATAATTCGAAATAAATGCAGAAAAAAATATTTTTAGATTAAATTTTTTTCGAGAAGAGAAATTTTCTGATAGCATTACCCCCTTTGCTATTTTTTTCGTTGTTACAAATTGACTATATCACGGCGAAAAGATCAGATATATTCAAATATGAATTTTTTTCGTGTTTCGTGGACTCAAGAGAGTCAGCAGCATCTGAAACAATTATGATTCAAAGCAGTAAACAAATTTTTGATATCAAAATTTTTCGGGAAGCGAAATTTTCTGATAGCAATGGTACCCCTCTTTGATAATTTTTTCGTTGTCACAAATTGACTTATGTCTTTTTCAATTAATGAAATCTAAACACAGAATTGGATTTAGGGAAATTTCATTGCAATTTAAAATCTAATGCTTCTTTTTTTATTTAAATTTTTAAATTTGATCCCAAAATCAATGGAACAACTTCTTCTATCTTAACCGGTGTTATTTTTCCCTTCAGATTATTCATTCAATTAGAGTTTAAAACATTCTTTGTTGAATTTAAATAGCAACTCGCAACGTGTACTTAGTTATTTTTCAATTTGCTTCAAACCTTTTGAACTGTGAATTAAAATTTGACGCCTTTTTTGTCAAATTTTCATTATTTATTGCTGATTTTAGAAATATCTCTGGTGATTTTAAAAACTTAAATTTAAAGTTTTATCTTGAAATAATTAAATAAACTAACCAATCAACTTCTAAAAAAAACCGTGTTTTTAATTCACTACTCTCCTTTTTCATTTAAAGTTCCATATAAATGTAACTGAATTTTCATAAAAGGAGAAAATTCATTTTAGAAATTTGTTCAAACACTTGCATCATTATTTTTAAAACATAAATTATGCCACGACGTAAGGGTTTTTGAAAAATACAACTTTTATTCTCATAAACTCTGAATTATGTGGCAGAGCCATGAAAAAAGATTTATGTATTTCCAATATGCTTGCAAAGCGAAAGAAAACGATCATTTTTCTCTATTTAATGGAACGGCTTGTTTATTGTTAGACATATTTGAAAGTCCTTCCTCTATAGCCGATGCTGCCTTTCTCGTATCGATCCAATCTCTTATCCTCCCACTTTGACTCGACGCATAATGTTGCCCCAAAATTTTTGCTCTGCCTGTTTCCTCTGCGCTGACAGCATGGAAAATTGTGACCATAAATTTCAATTTGAAAAGAATCTTTCATCATAAAATTTATTCGCCAACGTTTGGCATGCGGATTAAGCAAGAAAAATGGTCTTTTAATTGTATATAGTGCACCTTTCTTAGAATTTCCTTGGTCCATTCTCACTTTATGTAAAACACGTTTTGGCATGAATGTGATTGTTAAACAAACTTGTTTGGACATCCTGAGCTCCAACAACTTTTTCTTCATTCAACGCAGGCTCAGACACATGCAAATTCGCAAAATATTTGTTATTTCCTGCAAATTTAGCTGATTATCAAGCTCATCACATATTTTTAACTTTTCTAGCCCTAGTTTTTACCTTTAGAGGGGTAAAATTATAAAAATTTAGGACATCTCATTCCAAATATCCGCTAAATTTGATTGAAATTTGTTGGTCTGAATTGACCTTTTGCAGTCAAATTTTCAGCATATTTTTTTTCTTCGGCTTGATATAAAGTGACTAAATTCTGTTTGAAAATGGCCAGAACGTACAACTTTGAGTAAAACTTTATTACGAAAAGAATTGTGTGCGGTGGAGTTGGTGGAGTTTATCACTTGCTTGGCCGGCGGACACGCAGAAATGCACAGACAGTGTAGTTGTCGCTCGTTATGCAGAAACCTCGGCCGCGTGTCACGTATCCGAAACCGCACCGGCACACAAGCCCACATGATTTAATATCCCACGCGATTCCGCCTCTCAACTCGGCACAGTCGAATTCCCCGGCGTCAGCGCGAATTACGCACGACCGCCGGAAAGTGCGACCCGCAATGAAGCCACCTCGCATTATTTTGCGCGCAAACTCCCGTGGCATTATTACGCATATTATACTCCAAGTTTAGATTAAACCGAGTTGGCAAGGCGAGAAAACGTGTTTCGTAATTCAGAAGCGAAGATTGCACGTGCGCAAAAGAGCAAATTTGAGATGAAATTAATTTCTCAACAAGTTCGCGGTGCCGCCTTTGCTAATAAATTGGCACTTTACGTGTTTCGACGAGGCAGCCATATTAAAGCTCGCCTTTAAGAGGATTTGACATCGACTTGGCACGCCTTGCAGCAGTTATTCAAGAGAGCTAGAATAAAAGCCAACGATGCTTTGCAGGCGAAACACAGACAGTGAATCCATTGTATTTTTTTATATTTTTAAATTATTAAGATCTCATTAAACGGGATATTTTCAATTTTCTAATATCATTTAAAATAATTTTAATTATCAATTTAAAAAATGAACCTAGGAAATAATTTTGCTTTTTGAAGTCAATCATGCGTCAAAATAAAATTTCAATCATTATCAAAAGACATTGTGGGAAATATTTATAGAAAACACTACTTTCGTTACTCATTTATTATTATACGAGTTCAGAATTTAGCAGACGAGACGTAAAAACATAATTATACTCATTGGTATATAATTGTTTTTATTCACACAAAAATAAATTCTGTACCAAAAACGGTTTCTTTGTGAAGAAAGAGCCAGTTTTCCACACAATTATTGTTTGGCAACTTTTTTTCATTTTCAGGTAATTTAATTTATGTAGAAAATAAATAGGATAGTTTGATTTAGCACATTATTTCCTGTGTGTTGATTTAAAAATTTTTTATTTTAGACCAATCACGCAGTTTGCACATTTGTTAACACATTTACAAAAGCGTTCAAATAATTAAAGAGCAGATTTAAAGTTTCTTGAACTTCAGGGGATAGAAAAATGTAAACAGTTTTATTTATAAATGACCACAATATTAGTGAGAAAAAAAATACTAAAATTGTTAGATTTCTTATTAAATACTAGAAAATTCACTGATTTTTTTAACTTATATAAAGTCGTCAAAAATCAGCGTTAAAATATTTTCTTATTGAAGCTTGAAAACGAATTACTTAATTGATTTTTTTTTTCAGTATTTAAACTTTGAACTAAATTAACTGGTATTTTCTTAAAATAAATTTTTAAATTGTATTTCACAAAACCAAACCGTTCCTGTTTGTTTTCTAATTTTTAAATTCTGTTGAATAAATAAATAATAATAATAAAATTGCATTCGCCTTTTGTTTCAGGCAACTTTCTCGTGATCCTGGTGGTGCAGTGCGACCGGCAAGTGGAATCAAAAACCAACTTTCTGCTCGGGCAACTGGCAGTGGCCGATTTGTGCGTCGGCGTCTTTTGTGTGATGCAGAGCTTCATGGCCTATCTCAGCAAGTGAGTTGTTTTTCCAACCCTTTCGATCCATTCACCCCAGCCGCTAATGAACGCGGGTCAAAGTTAGTCTCAACTTTCCATCAATAATCGAGTCTCGTCGGCCGAAAATAGAAACGCGCCCGCGAGGGAGCGAGTTCGAGTCTCTGAGAAAATTACCCAGCGTTCCATTTTCATCAAAACATAAATCCAGCTTGTATAACTTTCGCCGTCTGACTATGCCACGTGTCAAAATTTCCTGGTTGTTGATGTCACCACCGTTCGTGGCGGTTTTTTTGTGTGTCGACTCGAGTGTAAATTTGCAAATAATGCGGATCGGCTTTCAAGGGAACGCCGCCAATGTTCACAATGTCCAGATTTTGGCCAAATTTGGAAAATTAATATCCGAATAAGAAACAAAGCCAATTTTTTCCTAATCTCTCCAGCGTGAATTAAATTAGCACGTTTAAACTAATATTTATGCAAAAGTTTGAAGGAAAATTAAGGGTATAAAATTAAATAAAAGTATGAAATTTTTCCAGGAAGTAAAGAATCTAAAGAGTCTTGAAAATCACTGAAAATGTGGTAAATGGCATCATATTTTGAACATATTTTGTCAACTTTAAATTTCACCTGATTTTTTTAATTTCAAGGAACTTTTTCTTTTTTTTTTCTTTGAACAAGGAACTTAAAATAAGCAATAGTTTTAGAGTAACTTTCAAACCGTTTTTGTCTTTTTTTAATTTTTGATATAATTATATGCTTAATGAAACAATTGAAATAGGTATTAAATTTGAAATGTTTTTTATAGAATGAAAAATAAAATTTATTTTAAACCTTTATTCCAGGGTGAGCTTTGAAAAGAAAATGAGCGCCGTTTGGATTGTCTAAATTCCTCTACGGATTTATGCATATTAAACAAAAATTGGTTGTTGCAATGGCGACGTTCCCTAGTCAAGAGCCGCTCACAACCAACACAATGATTTATGCATGCGCGAGTGGCGCGCAAGACCGTTGAATTTAGAACAAAACAGATGCCACTGCAAAATTATAATGCTGTGCTCTTTTCCAGCCGCTCGAAAAAGCACCTTTGGTTTGTTCAAACGGGGGAGTTCTTTGATCTGCGAGCTTCTACTCAAAATAATATACACCCTTTTTTGAGGGAGACAACGCAAAATGCTTTATTTTCATCTACATAAATTAAAGAAGCCTTTGAGGCGCAGAGTTCTGCGCTTTGTTGTTTTTGAAACGCAAATTAGATTTGCCGGAACAAATAATAATGATGATTAAATATTCAGACATTTTCCCGCAGCCATTTGTATTGTTTGAACATGAAAAAGTTCAAAGCTCTTTTAATTTTTGTGCTGGCAAAATTCCACCCTTTCTCAGAAGCGTGAGCTTATCAATTTTTCGTTGATTAAAAAGAAAAATAAATCAATTTTTTCAATTATTTACCAAACTTTGACTTCATTCAAAATTAGTATATTAGGAGAAGAGTATAATAGAAGCTCATCGATTGTTTTTTCTAGGGGCCTTTAAAATAAAATCTCAGTTTTAAATTTTAAATTTTTTTTTGTAGCTTCGTTTGGAATTTGAAAAGACAAGAGTTAAAATGCATCTTACTTCATTTATATATTTTTTTTCGGCTCTCTAAAAAGCCGCATTACAGATGACGCAAAACTTTTTATGCGTTGTATGCAAATCCAAATTTATTCGCTTTTATTTTCCTTCCTTTTTTCCGCCCCAGAGCATTTGGCGAGCGTCTCCGAAATGATACGTTCCCGCGAGAGAATGAAAGAGAGAAAAGCAGCATTTTCAGCAAAAATAAACGACGTCGTAAATCACGCCGACTATTTTGCGTTCGCTGGAAAAGAAGAGTGAGAACGGCTTAGCCTAATTCCTGTAAACTTGGGAAAGACCTAATTGCGGCTGTCGAATAAAGTTTAGAGCACCCAAATTGTTTCTTTAATCTCCTTAGCCCAGCTAGCGAGAGAGAAAGACAAACGAACGACTTAATCCTGGGAGGGAAATTGACACATGCGTATATGTGTTTTCCTAGGAATGATCGGAGAAGTTTTTTTTTTCATTTTAACAAATTGACAACAAAAAATAGTTTTTCCCTTAGAAATGCAACCATGATTAAAAATTGATAGTGAATTTATTGACAAGTTCATTTGAACAAATGTTTAGGCAATGATATTTTTTATAAAAAAAAGACGTTGAGGTGTAAAAAAATTATTAAGTTAATTTAATTCAAAAATTCAATTGAACACAGATTTTATATGTTGATTTTAATTTAAATTCGACTCTTCTTCAAAGGGTTTTCTGAGTTGTTAATTTTTTTTCTTAAACAATAAACAACTCAAGAAACAGGTCAAGAAAAGGTTATCTCGAATGATTTGGCGAAAAAAATCGAAGGTAGGGGGGTAAAAATATTCATCCCGGGTCTTGGGATGAACTTTATTCTTTTGGATTTATCCCGGGACATCTTTTTTACCAGGAAAACTAAATCAAGAAAATAGCACCGTTTCTTCTTGTAATAAAATATTGTTTTCAATAATAAACAAAAACCAATTATAATTCAGAAAAAAATAAAATCAACAACGTGGCTGATTTCCCGGTCAAAATTTTTCATCCTCTTATTAGTATGTGAACTAAAAATTCAATAAATCTTGTGTATGGCTCTTAATTGCAAATACTTCATGATCCAACTTTTCTCCTTTTTTTACTTGATCTGTGAAGAATACATAGCATTAATAAAAATGGTTATCCGTGCAACTATATTCAAGTGAAAAAAATTGGACTATAATTTTCTGATCAGTTTGTAATTTTCTGTTGCAGTTGGTCGCTGGGGCTGTTCATGTGCCAAATGTACCTGTACGTGCAGGCGCTGAGCTACGTGGCCTCGGTGCTCATCATGGTGGCCGTGTGTGTCGAGCGCTACGTGGCCATCATGCAACCCTTTCACACCCGCAGCGTCTTCACCACGGCCCGACTCAGGGTGAGCCCCAGATGACTTCCTTTCTCTCGCCTAATGAAGCCCATTTTTCTGCGATCATAGATAGAGTTCGCGCCCCTACGTGCTTTTTTGCGTTTTTTTTTCTCGATCCCCTCTGCGGTCTGATGGTGGCGAAACCGTTGGAAAACGATTTGTTTGGTTTGCGCGCCCCAAGTGGCGAATCGATCCTGCGGGCAAATAATAAAAGGGTCCTTAAAAGAAAGAGAGAAAGAGAAAACACTCGGCAAATATTTGCGTCGCTCTGCGGAATAACTGGAAATCTCGGCAAATCTCATTATTTGTAACTGAGTTGGAAAATTAGAAAAGAAGAGATTGCAAAAGAGAACTATAAAAAAAAATACAACCATAATAAGTCCCAGCGATTAATTTACGAATTCACACATAAATACAGAAACCACACGGTAACAATATTAAGTTTTACTATCTTACTTATTGACCTTATTATTAATTAGATTAGATTAGATTAGATATTTTTATTCATTCATTTGAGCACAAAATATACATTCATTAACAAGCACAATAATACCACCGAAACTAATTAATGTTGCTCTTAGAACACGTCAGAGTCCTTACGTTACTAATAAAAATCTATGTCCGAAAAATTTGAATCTATCGTAAAACAAATTATCATATAACTCCTGTTCAATAAGTTTTTCAAATTGATCGCTTTGAATACTAATTTTCACAAAAACAGGAAACATTTTCTTATCGATTGATTAATTTTAATCTAATTAGCATTGGTGAAAAAGTTATTTATAATTTAAAATGCAATTTTTATAAATGAATGATTTATTCATTAGTTGTTTTATTAAAATATCATTATTATCAACATTTTAAATTGATATGTTGAAGGATAATAACTTTTATCCTTTTGTCTTCCATAAATAACAATACAGCTTTATTGAAATTAGCCTCTTTTTATCCCATGTCATATCAACTTATTGCCAACATAATGATAAAAAAATTTAAGGATAATTTTTATTAAAAAATAATCTGGTAATTTTAAATTTTCGTAAACTTCTATTTCGCTGACCTAAATTTTACTAATATTATTATTTCCAGTTAAGAGTGGCTTCGAGTAATACCCAAGAAGTAGTGGATCTAATTCTTACATAAATATTCTCTAATGTGCGTTCATTTCGGCTCTGGGTTGTTATCATAAATTTTTCACGGTGCCTTTAGCGAGCTCCTTTCGCTACTAGTTTCTTTTTCTGTTTGGCCCAAATTACTGCAATAATAGAGGCAGTCGTTACTGCCAACCATTCGTTCCTTCTACCTGCCCTAATGGGTCCTTTAATTTCCAGCTTAATTTGAAATGATTATGGCTCCAAATAGTCTAGCCAAGCGAGCTCGTTTGGACGTTAACGCGGAATCCGCTCGTTGTTTCTTTCATTCCTCTTCGTGCTCTTCAAGGAAAATTAAATATAATTAGACGGAGTGAATTTAAATCCCCCCTCTCCATGCCATAGTTTAGATTCTGCCACATTTTTCCACTCGATGGCAAAGAAATTATTAAAAAAATTCCTTTCAGAATAACATTATTCGTTACTGAAAGAATCGACTTCTTAAATTGAACATATTTTTATCTATACATACGCCGCGGTTTTCTACATTAACATTTAACATTATGAAATTATTTATTCTACACAACAACGCAAGCTCTTTGCAATCAGAAATTATTGAAAAAAAAAACATCTTTTAATAAATTATAAAACATTTTATTCGCATTCTTGTGTTTAAAGGATTATTCTAAATGTTTTAGAACAACGATATCAATAAAATAAAATCATTGGATTAGATCTGTATTAGATTAGTAAAATATTTAACAAAATATTGAAACAAGGTGAAAAAATTATGAAATTTTTTTGCAATTTCATTATCAGTATTCATTATTCTACTCTGTAGTTAAAGTTATTCCAAGGAAATAATAGGTTAAAACCACCTTAATGAATTTCATGTATCATTCAAATGGGAAAAAATTAATTAGAGTGGATAAATAAAGTGCACTGATGAAACATCAATTTGAATGAGATTCTCGATCAAGCGCTGCAATATTTTTTCTCACTGCGATGAAAATTTATTGTCATAAAACTTTCAACTCTCAGTCAGTACAGATGGAATCTGAAAGTTTGTGAAATTTCACTAACATGATCATCTAATTTATACTCCGTGCAGAGATGAATTAGAATTATTAAATTATAATTTCAAATGAGATTAAGCAGATTTCCCAGTACTTTTGCTTGCGAGAGTGGCGCAAAGTTGTCCTCGAGGCACGTCACATGCTCGGAAAAGCTGCATTGACAAGCGCAGAACCATTAATATTTACACCGTCTTTGACGACGAGCAGAGAGTTTGCATGGATATTGAAACACTTGCCGATTGAAAAGTTGGTTCAACGAAAATAAAAACCATTGTTAACAAGAGAAAGAAAAAAATATAAATGAGAAAAGTGCAACCGAACAAAAACACAGTCTTGTAAGTTTGTCGGAAAGTTCCAATCAACTTTACGTGAGAAATTCCTTCCAGATAAGAAATTAATAGCTAAAATCTGATCAAAACTGATTAGATTCAAAACTTCGTTGCAAAAATGGTTGAATTACAGATTGAAACTTTATTACTTTACTGATTTGTAGGGTGGCGAATTTTATATTTTTAGACTACTTTGATTAAAAATGTAATTCCTCTAAAAAAATTAAGTTATGGATATTATTTTTTCCTTTTTTTTAGCTGATAATAGTCCTGGTGTGGCTGGTGAGCGCTGCGTACGCGTCGCCGCGTCTCTTTTTCGCCAGGGTGACGAGCCAAGAGCTGCGCAACGACGAGACGGACACTTTCTGCCACTTGGACACAACTCGCTACGACCCCGAGATATTCGACACGGCCAACTTGATATTCCTCTACGTGATCCCCCTGCTGGTGATGGCCATCATGTACTCGCGAATGTGCGTCGAGCTGTGGCAGAGTGGGCGCCAAATTCCAGGTGCAGTGCACGCTGGCCGAGTACCTTGCAATCCAAGCGTCGCTGCTGTCCCAGATGCTCCGTCAGGTGAGCGATTTTTGTTTAATTTTGTCTCTATTAAAGATTTAATTATTTAAATTATCATAATGATCATCTAATGTGGTAATAAAAATTTATTTAAATGATAAAAAAAATATAGAATTTATTTCATCATTGGAGAAAATCAGATTATATAATAATTTTTAATTCAATTTATCGCCTTTTAATTCCATATTCTCAACAATTAGAGAAATTAAATTGTCTTAAATATTTTTTAAAATAGAAAAAAAAACAAGTTAAAGCAAGCTTAAAACATTATAACTTTATAATTTATAAATAATACTCCTATTTTTAAATCTTATAAAGATAATACTTACATTTTGTAAATTGGTTTCACCAGCTCTGACCACAACGAGTCTTTTGCACCTGGTGCCCGAGCCAGGTGAGCACGCAGCCCTGCAGCCGTGCATGAGCATACCCGACAACCAGAGCGTCACCAGCGAAATCGTTCAGGGTGGCTCTCGAAGTCCCCTGCCCAGCCCGGTGCCCCCTCTGCAGAGGATGAGCTCACTGCCCCCGTTGAGGGAGACCAGGGACCCCCTGCGACCTTGCAACTCGCCACGACCCAAGAGACGAGAGCGCAAAATGTGGCGTCGCTTTTTCCACAAACGCTCACAAAGCAGGGTGAGTTCAAATTCAAAACAAAATGCTCTTTGTGACAAATTTTCTAGTGAGGTTTGACAACAAAAAAATTACATACTTTATCCCGGTCAATGTATTGTTTGTCTCTTTAAAAAGTAAAAACATTTAAAGCAAAATTTAAATTTTGGCCAATTGATTTTTGTCTGAATTGCAAATAAGTTTTTTTCATTAATTTTGACGAAGCTAATTAAAAATATAAACAAAAGAAAGTTAAGGAAGCATTTTTTCCTTACTTATGAGTAAATAAATCAGTTAATTCAAGGAATAGGCGTTCATAAAGTAAAACGACCGCACTTCTGTTGTTTCAGAATCAGAACAATTTCCATCCATGAGAAAAATCCCCCTTTTTTTTCATTTCCTCCACCTTAATGATTTTTGTTTAAAAACAAAATTAAATTAAAAAACCGCCAAAAGATAAGAAATTCGAAGCGGTCTTGTTTCAAAATTCATGTATTTTTAGTTACAATTGTGTTTATTAATGTACCACCGGGCATTCTCTGCCTAAATACATCATCCATACATTCAATATTATAAATAATATTTTTATTTTTATTTGATTGTTGATTTAATGTCAAATAGGAAGTGAAAAACATATTCAACTATTTCATCAATGAAAAGGACTACATTTTTCCGAATTTAAAGATTTTTTAAGAAAGATCAATATTCTTTGTTCCACTCCTTAGATAAAATATTTTAAAGTTATATAAAGTGTAATCCCGTTTCAATGTAAGACAAAAACGAATTAAACATAAATAATTAAGATTTTGCACGAGAAAATCATAAATTATAATTTTTTTTCTAATTTGATTGAATTGTGTTTTAGAGAAGCAACGATCTTGAGGTGGGTCCTTTGGGTGCTCGACGCCGAGTGGTCTACATGCTCATTCTAGTGGTTCTGTCATTCCTCCTCTGCAATTTGCCATACCACGCCCGCAAAATGTGGCAAGTGCGTCTTTTGAGTGCCGAGAACATGGTCTACTACCAACTGTTCACTCCGTGCACATTCCTCATCATGTACTTCAACTCGGCGCTCAACCCCATTCTCTACGCCACCATGTCGCTCAGGTACGTCAAGTTTCGATTTCAAATTAATGTGCACGGCTTGATTTGTGACTGACACGTTGAAAACGGCAACTCTTTTGCAACAAAACATGCATTGTTTGTCCGCGCCTTTGTTTTTAAATGCGATCATCTGACACACTTTACTGTTACCATCAATGGGCTTACAAAAGGGAACGCCACTAATCTTCAGTCAAATCTTCAGAACTCAGCAAAGCTGAATTAGTAAAACATGGATGTGACTTGAATTGAGAAACAACGATAATATTTACAACATTTACTGAATCCCACGCCCGGATTTAATCGAGATCATCTAAGCTCCAAAAATGATTCAACCCATGAAACTGCACAAAAGGGTAAATCAAATGGGGGAATGAAAAATTCGTTTGAGGAAGAACAACATTCAAAGATGGGTCGCGTTTTGACAGATGGTAAAAATATGAATGGAACTATTAACATGTTGGCTTTTTTCACTTTTGATTAAATTTATATTCAATTTGATTTTGAAATCTGATAAAGAAACTTTCTAAATGGCAAACTTTTGCAATCATAAATTTACAAATTTTCATTTCAATTACTTGTGTTATAATAAGAGTGTCAAAAATCATTTAGAATTATAAAAAATATCTACATTTTTAAATAAATTCATGCTTTAAAAAAAAAAAAATAAATAAAAAATGATGCTAAAATCTACATTAATTATTTTAAATCTAGGTTATATTGGAATTAGAAGAAAAATTGAGAATTTTCCTAATTTTTTTATTTCTTTCTCAGCCTATTTAAATAATTGAGACAAAAATGATTAATCGTGATTGGCGATGTTCCCTTTAGAGCTAAAAAAGCGAGTGGAACAAAAAAACTGTAAACTCCGTCAGTGTTATGTGCGTAAATTTTGTATGTGTTGGTGAATTGCAAAAGCCTTTTATATCAAACGCAGCAACTCTCCTGTTTTTGCTCTCTTCCTCCATGGCGAGTCTGTACGCTTTTCAATCAATTACGTCCGTTTGACTGTCCATTTGATTTAATAAATACCTATTGGGGGGCAAATCCTTCCAACTGAGGAAATCAATTTGCGTCATTTAACTTGATGGCGCGCACCAAAAATACGTTTCGTTGCTATTTCGCAACTGGCTTTGCTTTATTTGTAAGATTTATAAGCTCGAGAATGAATTGATTTTTTTTAGGAAATGAAAATATTTTGAGTTCTAGCCAATTGAAATATAATAATTTGATTTTTTATTCCGTTTCAGATACTTTTATTGTTTCTCGTTATTTCTGTTGACACCAAAAGATCTGGTTATAAATTTTTAAATTTTAACATCGGCCCGGATTTAGAATTAAATAAGGAAATTATTTCACAAGAGAGAAAATAAATTTGATTGATTTAAATAAAATAAAATTACTTAATTATCTCGTGTTTTAATAAAAACAACACTCTTTACCATGAATAGCTCAGTTACAGTTTGTCTTTAAACTTCAAATTTTTTTTTCTTTATTAGTTACACATTTAAAAAGAATAATATTTTACTTAATTTAAAATTAAACATTTTTTGCAAAACATACTATTATTAATCCTCTTTTTGATAGAACTTTGGTTCATGTAAACACTATTTTTCTCGAAATTTGCATTGTATTCTCATATCAATCGTGTTATTTTAGCGCTAAAAGTAGATTCATTTTTCCCATTTTCCTCGTATTTTCACTTGATATACAATGAGGTAGTAAACCACGCGGAAACTTCTCTTCGCAGACTCATTTCTGTCACAATAAGCGAGAGCGGGCTGGGTTTACTGTTATGAGTGGTCCGCCTTAAAAGCTTCTATTTTTGGCCAAATTTATCTCGTCAAAAGCATCCGTTCGCGTTGTCTGTTGAGGCAAAATAGCCTTGTTGGCAACACACACGCTCGTTCTATTATGTGATTTGCTCTTCTTGCGTACGAGAGGCGCACATATTGACTGATTTGCGAGGAGGAGCTAACGCGCCGAACTTAAAAGTTGGCACTGCTGAGTGCTTTTTGCAGAATGAGTCGCTCGCCCGAGCGGCTAGACCGCGCTCTCGGCACTTCATGAATTTCAAATAAATGTTTGCATGGTTAATTGAAAAGTTCCGAATAGAGTCACTTTTCTGGCCCCCAGCCCAAAGCCATGGTTGTATTTCATTTTTCACATTTCGCGCGTAATTAAATTAAATTTGAGATCTCTTATTATATGTTTCACAAAGACTTCATTATTGATATTGAGAAAATAATTTTAATTAACTAATTGTGCATAAAACTTTATAACAAATGAACTGTGCAAAATAATCAAATTGCAAAAAAAAATCACCATCCCTAAAACAATGAAGCCAGGTCGATTTCCACAACCCGACCTCCTCCTTCAAAAGAATTCAAAAATTTATGCTTAATTTTTAATAAAGACAAACCTCAAATGGCCCACAAATAAATAAGAAAAACAAAAGTGTGCCTTTTGCGCCATCGAAAAGGGCACAGGACAAAAAGTCTATTTCAAAAAAGGTCAAGCTTGCTAGTTATTTCATTCTGCTGACGCAATTCTTCAATTTGTTAATAAAATTATCTGAAAAAATGTCTCAGACCGTGACTAAAACTGGTCCATCCTGGTTTTTGTTTTAAACAAACAACATTATTAACGAGCAAATTTTTTTTAGTGACCAAAATTAAAAATTTAATTTTTAGCCTTTCTATTACAAAAACTAATGGAGAAAATTTACTCAAATCTCGATTTCTTTTCTGATCAGTTTCAGGCGAGCGATGCGTCGTCGAGTGCGTCTGATTTTCCGCGGCGCCATCGAACTGTGTCGGCGCCGCCCTCGGCAGGGGTCGCCGACGCTGCTGGTGCGCGGCACCGGCAAGGCGGCCTCGTCGTCGACCCGTTCGTCGACGAGGGCGGCCAACAATGTGGTGCATCAGCCGCTGGTGGCCACGAACGGCCAAGCGCAGCCCGAGACGGGGGTGTGATGCTCGGCGAACCGAAAAAAGAAGCGCGTCACGTTCATCATCTCCAAGGACGGAGGTCGCGCCGCTCACTACATCTGAATATACAAAAAGACTTTGGAATTGGAAGACTTTCGTCTAAAGTGGTGAGAGAGATACTTTTTGGTCTGTGGTGCTCTCGTCAAATGCGTACCTGATGCCGGTTTAGAGGGGAAAGTAGACGCTATGCAAGTTCAACCTCTCTTTATTCAAATACTTACCAAAAAAAACTATTTTTTAATGGCTGAAGATGTTGGTTGAATTTGAATACAGTGAAAATGGTAAATTGTGTCCAGGCTTGGTAATTTCAGAACAGCTATTTTAACCAAATAAATTTGCGCAATCCAATAAATTAAGTAGAATTAAGCATGGCAGCCAAGAATATCAGTGAGCTTCATCGAGCATCAACCTTTTAATTTTGACTTTTTAAAATTTTTGGCGTCAAATCAAAATGTTATAAACACTCCATTTACCTATTTCTGTCAAATTTAAATTCCGGTTTTTTGCTTATTTCGGCAAAATTAAAATAACATATTTTTATGTTTAATGTATATTTTTAATATTTTTGTCTCTCTTTTATTAGCTTTTTGGCTGTTTCTAATTGATTCAGACCATATGAGGATTTTTAAAATGGCTTAAATCACATTTTTTTAATTAAGAGGCGACAAAATACATATACACATTCCAACATTATTAATTATTCTACTAGAGCGACTCAATAGAGTTTAAAAATGATTTATTTATTTAATTTTTAGTTTTTTGTAGATTATTTTCTAATGATTTAGTTTTCTCTAACTATTAAGCCCATCTAAGCCGACTATTTAGGAATTTTCTCTCAATTTTACACTAATTTATGTTACTTCTATGGAATTTTAATTTATTGTTGCCGATTTTTTTTTTTAAGAAAACTTTAGTTCAAAATTGCATGATTTTGGATACACTTAATTAGTTAATTTACTTGTAATTTTGCAAGTCTTATCAATTTTGTTAAAAATCTTCTCTAATTATTTACGAAATGTTTACAAATTTACAAATTTTGAAAGCTGCGTTTCCCACTCTTGCCACTCATCACGTAATTAGCTCAATCTACTGCTTGAGAAAACCAGCCTGTATTGCAATTAAATTGCAAACTTTTACAAGGGCTGGGAAGCGAGCAGCTTCAAGAGTAACTTTAAAACAACAATTTGCGTCACAACTGACAATGCAAATTTTATACTTGGAGTCAAAGGAGTCTTGGCGACATCGCTTCTGGGGAAAATGATAAAAAAAAAAGTACGCTAGACGCAGCCACGACTGGGAGTTAATTTGTGTAAACTTTGACCGTTTTGACAACAAAAACAAACTTTGCCGGCTTTTTTACGTTCGCACGAAACTTTTGCGAGCGCGGCTTATTTTTAAAAATAGGCGAGGAAAGTAATTTTGAGAGTGGCTGTGAATTGAGAATAATCGGTGGTGACGCTTGATTTAGGCGCTATGGGAATTCAAATTTTCGCTTCGTCGCGAGTAACTTTTTTCGATCCACGCCATGAAAATGGATAGCGCCGCATTTGGGATTTGGACCGATTTTCCTCCATAGCGATTGGGCACGTTTTTATCTTCTCTAAACCCAAATAAGGCTATTATTTCTCAGACTTATCGTCGCAGTCGCGATTGTAAATGTGATGTGTAGAGGGTAGCGAATTGTAAATAAAGATATATAAATATATATAACGAGAGGCAAAAGAGAAAATCCGGCCCCGAGCAAAATGAAACTGCCGAGCTGGAGTGGATTTTGCTGTGAGCGAAAAGCTTTGCAAAAAGCGAGATAGGAAACGCTAAAAGTTGCTGTTCCAAAATAAAATAAAACGACGAAGTATTGATGCTCAATTATTCTAAGTGTTGTTTGTGGCAGAGTATGCTGGTTGTATTTTGAATATTTTATTGTTGAAGAAAAAAAGTTCCAAAAAGTTCTATGTTGATCTCAGATTGAAAAATGAGAAGAATGGGCTCGTTTTGTGTAAAACGGGTGATATTTATTTACAAGGAAAAATTTTAAATATATCATTAAATACGATTTGGTTGGTAAGATAAACATTATTTTGTTTTCTATAATTACAAAACATGTAAAACGCCAACCAATTAAGGAGCATAAAAAAACGATGAAATAGATTTATTTGATGCAGAAAGACGTTTTGCTTAACAATGCAAACAAGTTTAAATAGCAAAATATTCATCAACAAAATGACGATTATATTATTAGCTCACATTATAAAAGACTTAAATTTTAGGTACTTCAACAAAAATTTTAATTGTTACGCAATTTTCCTCTAATAAAACGGCCGATATTAAAAGAAAGAAACTCATTTTACAGACATAAAAAGGCTAAAATATATCTGTTATTGTGACAGCACAACTAGTCACACACATTCCTGTAAATACTACTCATAGACAACTATTATAAATATATATTTTAATGTGTCAACTAAAGAATAAAATTCATGTTGTTCCAAAATGCCAAAATCGTGCTTTTAATTATTCGAACTATTGGAAACCATTTTTGCAAAGTCGATTAACATTAAGGTTCCCATTTTAAGAATTGTCCGCTGATGAAATATGAAGGCCTTTTATCTTTTATTTTCCGCTCGATTTGGTCGCAACGTCGCCTCTAATATCGCTTCAATAACTTTCAGTCCGCGCCTCTCTGCAGAGTGTTCTCCCTGTGGAAATGGCAAATTGTGTCAAGCCAATTTGATTGCGCGTAATTCCGCTTACACTGTTTGAGATACCAAATTTGTCACTTGGGATAATCGTTGTTACGCAATTGTCACGGTCTGTTGCTCAATTTGCGCCAGCAGGCCCTCAACACCGATAAGGGACAAGTGTCCGAGAGACTAGCACTTGTAGATTTGCATTTTTTTTATGACTATGTGGTATATAATGCTTCACTGATAACGTGATGTAAGCCGTGATATTTCAGAGAGCAAGTTCAAAGTACTCCGCAAATTTTTTAATTAATCCTTTCATTGGATTAATTAGTTTAAATAATAAATTTACTGATCTTTTTCACTTTGGGTGATTTTTTTCCAAATTATGATTACATTTAAATTTAAATGCGGAGCGCTTTTAATTAGCACAGTATTTCAATACATAATTTATTATTGATTTATCTATCGAAATTAATTAAATCTATCAAATAAAACTTAATTATTTTTGTGGTTAATACGGGTTAATATCCTTTGACTTTCCATAATACTTTTGAGCTATAAATATTATGAATATTAAATATCGCTAGTTTTAAATGACAAGTCGTCTTAATAAAACAAACGAAATGTAAATAAAGTAATCATTCCTATCTCAAAATTAAGTTCAGGTATTAATTATTGCATAAAAAGATCACAAGCTCCCCTGTTTCTAAGGAAATAAAAGAAAATAATTGATAGAACTTATTTGACAATTACGCAATACATCGTTTGTAAGATTTCTGACAATTCTCAAGCTGATTATATTGTAAAAGCAGTCTTATCCTTGAAGGACTTTTTATTCCAATAAAAAAAATTTAGTAAAAATTGAGTAAAAATAATACAAGCACAACAAATTAGTATTATATTGACTATTTTACAAATGAGGCAAAAGCGGATCAATTTATTTTATTAAGAATATCAAAGTTCTCAGTCTTTAGTTAAAAATTTTAATTTTTTTGTCCAATTAGCTTCTACCCTCGCTGTCTGCAACCCACTCAACTTTATACACGATGACGTCTGAAAAAATAATTCCAGTTTAATTCTGATTTGTGGAGGCGGTATTAACAATAAGATCAATAAATCACCTGAGAGACGCAGAAGATTTAGATTTTTAACGTACTTTCCTTATCTTATAGTTTATATCAGTATTTATTTTATTTTTGTGCTTGGATGAAAATAAATCACCTTTAAAAAAAATTCTGATGATCCAGTGATTCTAATTGAAGTGAATTGACGAGGATAATCAAGAATAAGCCTTGAAACTCTTTTCTAATGAAGTGTGTGAAACGTCCTCGTTTGATTGCGTTGAAGTTTTCATGCAAAGTCTGTGAATCCCCAGTACAAAACAAATATACTGGTCGTCAGAAGAGGTCTATCTGATCAATTAATCAAAAGCATCTCTCGTCCCTTTGAAGGTGATTTGCACCTTGCACCACAAACGGCCTTTCTCGCGAGATATATTTTACTCGGTGTTTGTATGAAGAGCAAATTTAATTAGATTTTCAGGGCAACGCTCTCGCTCACAGGAGCTGACGCGATGCATATCAAGTGAAAAAGCGCTCGCTGGTGTGGTGCGAATCCCAAGGACCCTTGATGAATGGAACACCGCAAACATCCAGTAAACCTCCAACCATATATTAAATCATGGTGCGATTATGTTTTATCTGCGCGTCCCACGCCAAGAAAATACTACCGAGAAATTCCTCCTTGGTTGGAAAAGGTGCCCCACTTTTACTCGACTTTTGCTGCAGAAAAAAAGTGACCTTCACTCGTTTTAAAAATTATTTTTATCCTTGAATTATTCCAATTAATATTATATAAACTGATATTGAAGTAATAAAGAATAAAATCACACTTAAGGGTTGAAACAGGGGCTAATTTGAAGATATTTCCTGCCAAATACATTTTAAATTTTAGTGCTGATCTCAATTTTTCACATTTTGCCTATTCAGTCCTAGTTAGTAATTTACCAATCAAAATAGGTGTTTTTTTATTTGTTCATAATATTTTTTTTCAGGGGGAGCTAAAACTTTGATAAGCCTATTTTTCCTTCCATACCTTAAGATGTGTGTTTTTTTTATTTCCATCTAATTTTTTGTGAAATTTAGAGTAATTTCCAACTCTAAAATAAAAAACATTACTGCAAATGCCCTTTGATGCAGTTTTTCTTTTTTTTTTTGCTACTCATTAAAATTTCACGCTGCACCATCGGGTAGTGACCAAGCTTTTGTTTATTTTCTTTGGAATTTATGGACCTTAGATGAACTAGTTTGATTTCACAGAGCCAACGTGCAATCTTCCTTTAGCATTTATTTCTCTCTCTATCGCTTCATACATCCCTTTTGCTCCACTTTCCCACAAGAGAGTTAAAAATAAAGAAGTAAGTTTGTCTTATAAAGGAAATTCTTTGGGACGTTCTAGTGATTACGTTCAGAATGTCTGCGGTTTTCCCAGTCAAAGCACCCCCGTTTTATTGCAAAACAAAACGCCCGACACTCGCTCTGGGCCGAGGAAAAGCAATCTGTGTGCCTCGTCCGGCGCAAAAAGACCAACCAAGCCGTCGCACGACTAGTAAAAGAAAAAAGAATGAAACTCGTCTGGCGGTGAAAAAATCCGGTGATGAAAACTCTCACTTCGTGCTGATGACGCTCTTAAAACTTCTTGCCAAACCTTTTTGTCGTCCGCACGCACATTTCGAGAAAAGGAAAAAAGCGAGAACGCCTTACCTGTTTGTCTGGCAATTGCCAATATTGTTTGTGCGGAGCTGGACTGAATGAGTGATTAAATTAAATAAATTCGCGCACACTTTAGTTTATTACATAATAATTCAAGGCACGGGAAACTTTGCCTCCAACATTAATACATATACAAAATATTGGAATTTATGCTATTTAATTTGCTTTCGTAAAAAGTCTTATAGAATTTGTTTGAAGAAGTTGAAACTCGAGGAGATGATAATGGAGGGATTTTTTCTCGTTGCAAAATTGTTTTTTTATTCAAAAAACCAAATGGCTCTATCAGTTTCGGTCACGGTCTGCGACCCTATTTCATGAGCAAGAAAAATAAAAAAAAAATAGCAAGTCAGCGAGCAGCTTTTACTCATTCAGGTTGGTACTTGAATTTGTTAGTTTTAAGATTTTAATTTTCTTAATGTTAAAAATGTGGTGTTTTCCACATTTGCTATTTTTTCAAATATTTTCAAATTTGCTAAAAGAAAAAAATTGTATTTTTCTTGCTCATGAAAGAGGGTCGCAGACCGTGACCGAAACTGATTTGGTTTTTTGAATAAAAAACAATTTTTGCAACGAGGAAAAAGCCCGATTCATTCATTTCTTATAGAATTAGGAGGATTAAAATCGGATACGAAATTTTTAAAACCAGTCACGGTTGAAAACACCCTATTTCATTTTTTGCAAAATTTGAAAAAACAAAAAATTTTAATTTAATATAATATATATTATGTACATAACAAATTTGCTAGTTTTTATTTCTCTGCATAAAAGTGACAACTTCTGCTCCTAGTCTTGTCTGTCAATCAATGTTGAGTGTTGAATAACAATAGGAGAGCGGTGCGTTTGTAATAATCAGATTTATAATCAGGTAATATTACTATTTTTTTACATGAAAAATATTTATTTTTTAACAATAATAACAAAATAATTAATATTTGAATCTGATTTACTTCAAAAACTTAAAGTACAAAAAGTTAAAGAGGAAAACTAGGTTTAATTTTTATTCTTACAATTAAATGCAGGCCATTAAGATCATTAGTTCAGCTGTGCGTTCATTTCATCGAAAAACTATGTGACATGGCCTAATTTAAATCAATATTATTCTCATTCTTTGTAAAGTTCAATGAAATGCAAAATAAAAGCAATTGGTCAATTCTTGAATAATGCCATTTAGAAATCTATCTGAATGCAGAATAAAGAATAAATAAATAAAGAAAATAAAATTATTGAAGTGAAACATATAAATTCCATACCTGCAATAAATGGAAAACTAATTATATTTCAAACATTTATCGGAATGTTTTGTAAACAAAACGACACAGAACTAGGTAAGCTATAAATATCCGAGATTTTCTTGCTGCGCCTGCATTAATAAAGATATGATCCGCAGCACTGACGGAAAAGCAGACCAATCGATTAAATTGTACATTTGCAGGCACAAAAGCTGCTTTTATACCTCTCGTCAAATTGAATCGCTGATATAGAAAGCGCAATTTCCTTCTCAGTGACGATAACCGCCTTTGCGAACAACAATTATTCTTCATAATTTTACGACCGAAGAAAACAAAGGCGGACTATTTCAATCAATTTTATATGTACCAAAGCTAGCAATTTGCGTCGGTTATTGCCTCGCAGCAGTGCATGTAATTCTCATCCTTTCCGTGTGCTTTGTTAATTGCTCAAAGTAAAACGCGCACGCAAATATATTAATTTTGCGGAGGTAAAATAATTTAATTTCTCCTCACCATTGCGGCGTTCGTACTCGACTAGTTAAATATAACGAGCACTATAATTGTGAATGTTAAATTTCATTTTGGAGGGCTTTATTAACTTGGAAAAATATTTAGATTTTCAAAGGTTGTTACATAATAATACAGTAGAGCGGATCAATGTGACGCACAACATCGCCGGGTCAACGGTAATATTACTTAAAATAAGATTACGATCAAATGAAGTAAGAGCTCTATAAAAAAAAAACCGCGTCTCATATCTCATATCGACAATATTGTGTGACACATGATTTAGGGTACAAATTTTGGTACATTTAATCAACTTATCTTACTTTTAAAATAGCAAAAAAATACGTGCGAATTAGAACGGACGGCTCTTATTAATTAATTGAAAAACGCTGAAATTTTGTGTCATTGAAATTTGACTGTAAAAAATAAAAATAAACACATACACACTCACACAAGCAAATTAACAACATTGGACTGTATTTTTTATACTTTAAATTTCGTCAATGCAATCTTATCAATGACCTCGTCATTGGCAATAGGCACGTGGCAGAACACGCTTCATTAAGTGCTTTAATAGAAATTTATCTTAATGTTCCATCTTTCTACTCTTGGCATTTTTGGTGACACTTTAATCAGCACGTTTGACAACATGTGGTAAGCTTAACGTTATTTACTAGGCATAGATTTTGTTGTGCAAAAAAATATGAAGTGGATGACGGTCAAGTCTATTACAGATAAAAGTTGCACGTTGCAGATTAGGGATAAAATAGGAAATTTTTAAGAATGGAAAATCCGTGAATTGAAAGATTTTTAATATTTGTGTAATTATTGTCAAATCTTTTGTTAAAACACTAAGTTTGATTTAAATATATTTTTTAAATGAAGATGAATTTTAACCACAAGATTATTATTAAATTGATTTTTTAATGTTCAAATCGGTTGAAATCAAGAAAATGAGTTTAGTGATTCAGTTTTTTTTTTTTTTTTTTTTTTTTTTTTTAATTATCACGTAACATCTCTCTGGTTATTCAACCTCAAATAGCATTCTATTTATTTTAATTTAACGTTGCTTCAATCATTTAATACAAAATTACAAAATATTTTTAGTCAAATGCGTGTTAAAGAATTTTTCTATAAATTATTCTTTTTGCTGCAATATAAAATTCTCTAACATATTATGTAATCAATTAAAAGAAAGAAAAAATACGTGCAAACTCAAAAAATTTGACTTATCACACCCCCGTCACACCTTAATCGCGCCTTTGTCACTCATCTCAAGTGGCTAGACTTTGAATAACAGTTTTGAGGAGGAGAAAAAAAAATATTATCGAGCTCGTCCTTATCTTTGTGGTCCAGCCTCTATAAAATAGAAGAGCGGCCGATGCTAATTATGCTTTCCTCCGACACGATGGCTCGGCTTGTTGTCTTCCTGCAGTTAGCCTTATTGGGCGCATTTGTCGCAGCCCAAGACCCGGCTTTGCCGCGTCTGATCGACCGATTCCAAGTCAAGCATCCCGCCTTCGTTCAGCTTTACGCGACTGAAGCGAATGTCGATCCCCTCGACAAATACACCCTTTTCGTTTCTACCTTTGACGCCATCGCCATTCCGTCCGCGGTATGATTACAATATTTAAATTATCATTAAATTAATTTTTGAGCGCTAATGAAGAAAAATGAGTAAAATAGCTTCATTTGTCAATTAAGAGTGCAGTGAAAAGGGTCCAGTCGTTTTTCGTAATTGTCTGCATTCTTTTTCCTCTAACCTAAGAACCTTAAATTTGGGCAGAATTAATCCTATTACAAACAAATGTTAAAGCTTCAAGAATGAGACCTGAATAATAGTACAGCGCACAGCTTATGTTTGAAGCACAATTTGAAATTCTTATTTTACGTTTTCTTATTCAATTTGGATTAATGATGGACTTTAGCTTAACATTTTTTAATATGAGGGAATTATTATTATTTAATTATTGAAACAGCTTAAAATATTCATTTTTTTCTTCTTTTTACTGAATCGCGCAGTACGACGAAGTCTACATGCTTCGTTCGCCCGGAAGACAACTCAACAATGTGGCCAACTGGAATCTGACGCTGATTGACAAAGCAAACATCTGGCCCAACGACCCCAATTACATGCCGAGTGAGTAATTTTTTTTTTTTTTTTTTATTTACTCTCAGGCTCAATTTAGGAGGAGCGGAGCTCAATTATTTCATCTTTACTGATATCAGACAAACTTTTTAAATGCATGAAACCTCCAAGCTCATTTGCCATTTATAATTTAAGTCTCTCGTTAAAATAAACCAGCAAAGTTTTCCTTGCAAAGAAGTAAAAATAAATAAATTTTTTTAACACGAAAACAACGTTTTGGCCAATCGGAATTTCCAATTGCATTACGCGAGCAAAAATTAATCTCTGCGATGTCGACTTCGTGAGTCTCCTTGAGTTTGAAACAAGAATTTAGTTTACATTTTCCGTGGAAACATCTTGCCTAGGGATGGATTATAGCTTATGGCAGATAACGGGAACCTTTTGTCTGTAGATTTTGTCACATCCGTTCCGCTCGGGAAAAAGCGCACCTTAACCAAATGAAAGCTCCTTACAATTTCCACTTCACTCGAAACCTTATTGTTCCGGCTAATACAGAAGAGCTTGCGTCACTCATGGCGTTAAATTCCCTAGGCTTATATAAATATCTGTTTAAATTGTGGCGGCCACTTTCAGACGCAACGCTCATTAATTAAGCAAGTGGCGAGTTTATTTGACTCTCTTTATTAATCACACAAAGGCCCAAAAATCATCCGAGACCAAAAATCTCTTTTCCGTCTGTCAGTTTAAAAATGATTTATCACTTTAAAAGGTCAATTTTTTTCATGCTCTTTTCATTGGCTGGACTCTTCGTGACTTTTTTTTTTTTTTTCTGCTACTGCGTGATGCTTTACCAGTAATTGGCTTTTCTGGTGTACGTACACTGCGTCGCGGTCAGAAAACAAGCTTTGCTTTTATCCCAAGTGTCTACTTGGTCTTGTGTACTTTGCTTTAATTACGTGGCATTTGTTTAGGCTACTTAAATGTGGCCGCAATTTCCGGCCAGATAATTAAACAGCTCCAAAAACAGCTGAAATTTTACAAAATTTACTTTTATCTCTTAAAAATTTGAATAAAATTTTAGAGCATTTAATTATATTTATAGCTATATTTTTTAACCGCCCGTTTATTTTGTTAACAGGCGATGTTGTTGGACGTGAAGGTGTGATCTGGACTTCTGGTTTCTTGGTTCCTGGCAAGCAAAGGGGAGCTCTTAATGTTTACCTGACTGACGTCGATCCAGCTGAAGGACCGTGGAATATTGCAGGTCTTGAGGTAAAAAAAAAAATTAATTCTATATAACTTTTTATTTCATTGTTTCCATTTAATTAATATTAGTAACTTTTAAATAATTTAAATTTTCTTTTCTTTTTAAATTTTAATTTACCATTGAAATTTAATGCAACTAATTCATTTACTATTTTATCAATTAGCCTGATACATTCTCGTATCACCGCGTTATTTGGTACGACGTCAACCACGACGGATTCAAAGACGCCCTGACCGCCAGATTCTCCCTGCGCACTTTTGGTAGTGACGTCCTGCAGCTGCTGTGGCTCGAGAACCCCGGCACTGGAGAACCTTCCGCCAACTGGACGCAACGAATCATTTTCGAAGGTGGACCCGACGTCCACTTCCGAATCACAACCATGCAAGCGAACGGCCAAGACTTCACAGTGCTGGTTGCCTCAGAGTTTTTCACAGAGAAACTCTCAATTTACTACGCCGCCGACGGCAGCGACAGTTTCCTCAGCGACCCTTCCACGGTAAGAAAATATTACCAAATATAACAGCAATAATTTTGCGTTGTTTCATCCATTTTTATTAAATTTTTATTTAAAAACAAATCAAATTTTATATCCCAAGAATTCCAAACAGAAATTTATTTCTTAAATAACAGAACTTATTTTAAAAAGAAAAAAATCCCCAGTTATAATGATGGCTTTTTTCACACCAATTATTTGCAGGCGTCTTTTCAAAAGATATGATATATTTGCTTTTAACATTGAATTTGGAAAACTTGGAAATTTAATCCAAAATAATTTTTTAATTTTGCCTGAATTTAAATAGACAAAAATGTAATTTAACCAATTTCAAACAAATCCAATCTGATTGAATTTAGTTGAATTTTTCGCTTTCCGTGATAATTAAAAGATGATTGCGATATTTTCCAACTTTGATTCTTTCAAATGAAATGAAATTTTTATTTTTTTCCTATTATAAAGGATAACGTACGTATTATTAGTAAAACTAAAAATCGTTCTTAACTACTTGGAAATATTACGTACTGCTCACAGCTGAAGGGGAAAAGTTACGAGCAAAAAATAGCATTTTCTTTTTTTTCCAATTTCTCTTATATCCAATCGACATGGCACAGACCACAGCCTCGGAGTAGTGGCGCGTGCAACACTGATAAAAATATCTGACAAGAAATGATATGTGGCGCAGCTTTTTGCTGAGAGTGGGATTCCATTATTTATAATACCTTTCTTTATTTTTACGGTGCACGCTCAAGAAAGAACAAAACTCAGCCGCCCTTGACATTTTCTTGTCCACTTTTATCGATTTGTTGTATACAATTATTATTATTAACTCAATTTTCCAGCTGATCCAAAGGGTGATTGACAACGTCAACATCGGCCAGACTTTCGATCTGGATGTTGGTGACCTGAACAACGACGGCCGACGCGAGCTGATTGTTTGCGGCTACAACTACTCTTTCGGAGGAAACGTTTTCGTCTTCCCCATTCCCGACGACTTCAGGACCGACGAGTGGCAAAGAATCACCATTGCCAGTGGTTTCATGCCGGCCCCAGGTCCCAATCTTATGTCGCCAGGTGCCCCTCAACCCTTCTACAGAGGAGTCGATCACCAACTGTCTGGGTAAGCAAATAAGCGCCTGCGACTTTCGCGTGTATAGGCAACTTGCTTTGCATGAGAGTCGTGCCGGTTGCTTTCAAACTTTTGGAATTATTATTGCTGCAGTGTTGATAAAATTTCACCTCAATTTGATTATATTCCTTTTAAAAGATTTCATTCAAAATTTAATTCGATGGTAACTCTGTATTGCTTTCAAATATTGGCCACAAATAAGGAAAATTCTTAATTCTTGGAACCAATTTTTTTGCAATAGATTCCCCTAATTCTAAATTTTAAACAGTAATTAATAGAAATGAAGACTTTTTCCTCGTTGCAGAAAATTTGTTTTTTATTCCAAAACAAAAGTACTTGTTATTTCGAAATTAAAAATAGAGCTATTAAAAATTATTAATCTCAAAATTAAGTTATTAAGTTTGACGGTTATGCAAGCTTCTCTTATATATTTATTTTTCCTTTTTACCTGATCTTCAAAATAAAATCTAAAACTCATTCTTATTTGAAAAATTCATAACAATTAATTAATGAATAATGACGGTACAAGATTCAAATTTAAACTTTTTCTTGTGTTCATCGGAAGAAACTGTACACAATTTTAATTTTGATCAAAAATATTATATAATTATGACAATCACAATAAAATCCAGACCGCTGGGTAAAAGCTAAAAGAAAAATACCAATAAATTCTCTGTGATGGTTGTGTGCTTCAAAACCATAAAAAAGAACGTCCTAACATCTGCTCAATACTTTTTCCATAAAATTATTGGATCCTCAGTTCAGAGGGCGACTTGTGATCATTAATCTGAATGTCCGTCTCCCTCGAGAGCGATACATAATCGTCTTTTTTTTTCTGCAGTGATAAGCCTTACCTTTTTGTCTCTGGAGATGACGATGGCAGGCACTACATTTTGGAGCCTGTCTCTCAAGACCCCGCCGTTTGGGACTACACCAAGCACCTGCTCATTGACACCAATGGAACCACGACAGGTATTTAGGTCAAGCATTTTTTCCCGGACACTCCTTGTAATGCAGTTCTTCTTCTTGGCAACAGGCAAATACTCGATCCACGACATTGACAACGACGGCTTTAATGAGATCGTCGCCGCTGCCTACTCTGCGGGAGAAGTCTACGTTTTTACTTACGGGCCGTAGAAAGCTGCCAATCACCCAAAATGCTCAGTAGTTTAATTATGTATATTTATTGAAGAAGAAAATATAATTTTTTTTCTTAAATTTAAAGGCTTTAATTTCAGTATCCGTTGCGATATCAATAATGAATAAATTTATTGAAGCACCAAACTTTGTCAAGTTATTATTTTTTTATGATGAAACTAACATAGATATTTTAAGGTTTGATTTGATTTTAAATTGATGAAAAATTCAATTTTCATGAATTTAGATATTTTTTCCCCTCTTCACATTCACTTTTTATTGCTTCAGCTGATATCTTTTAGTTTTCATTTAATTAAATAAAATTTTAAAAATGTGTCAGAAAATGATTATTACGAGATCTTTTTTACGCTTGGACTTTGCGACTTTTGCAAGTGCAGGAAATGTAATCTAACTTGATCATCATTGATTATCATGAGAAAATTATGTTGAATGATAAGGCTTATTGTAATATGATAAGGTTTTACTTATATGATACTGCATGAATAGTAGAATATTGAATATTTTTCTCACACTATTAAATTGTTAAACGTAAAATCAGCATTAAAAAGCTGCATTTGCCACTGCGGTGTAAACAGAAATAAAATTTTCTAACATTTTTAATTTTAAATCTAGAATCCGCTTAAATCTAAATTTTATTTATTGCATTACCAGCGATATATGCAATTTCACACCTTTAATTTGTCATCATAGATACTGAATATTGATTTTTTTTTTTTTTTTTATTATGACGTTCTCCGCTTTTGTCGTTCCATGTCACGTTGTGTTATAAAAATTATACAATTTACCATTAATAATTAACAGCCATAGACAGATATTAAATTGTGCTTTTTAAGTCCCCTCTTGAAAGACAAATTACAGTTGTTAAAGTTAATTTTCCTACATGTTTAATAACGCTCTTAAAACTGACTTAATGAAGCATAAAAAGACGCAAGATTTTACTTCCCTTGGAGTTGCCTAATTACAAAATGCACCTATAAAACGTGTGCACGCGAGCGCTAATGCAGCGCAGTACACTGTAAATTTCCCTAGCTCGTTTTTACGTTATGACGACAAATAAAATACGACTAGCGCAATAAAGGCTCCCACAAATGTAAACTCTGTTGGGAATTATGATTCGGGCATGACTGAGAAAAGCGAATAATAAATAAAAGAACGAGAACGCAGCCCTGGGGATTTAACGCAGGAATTTATGGCGTGTTGCGGCGAATGCAAATGCGCGATACGCTCTCTCACGAGTCAATATCCAGCTGTAAAAAAAGTGATAGCCATCGAGAGAGTATTTATCATATACAATTTTCAGTGATAATCGATGATGGACCGAAGCAAACTGGAGTGCTTTAAGCTGTGTACTCTTGTCTCCTAGATTATAGCATCTGGGACACACAAAATCTGTCACGTTCGTAAGTTTCGAGATTCGTATAATCACAGCTCTGCTCTTTATCGAACCGTGCCGTCATTTATAGTTATAAAACTCGCAGACTGGCAAATAACTCTCCAATGAAAAAAATTATGATAAGATGCATAAAAATTTTTGAGAAATAAACTTATAATAATGATGAAAATGCTTTTTTTGAAAATATTTTTAATCAAAGTTCTTTGCCGAAAAGACCCGTAAAATGTTATATTTTTTTTTTGCATCTAACAATGGTGCCATTTCAACATTTATGGTTGAAATCAATTTTTTTAAATATTTAATTGGATGCAAGTTGACAATATTTATTTACATTTATTTATATTTAAAAAAAGCTACAATTTCGTTTTTTTTTAATCTGAAAGGATGTAAACAATTACAGGATTATTTTGTTTTACCCAAGATCTTTTTGACTTTTGAATTATTTACAAGTTTTGAGCGTTTGCTGTTTGAGTAAAAAATTGTATATTTCACTGGAAAACCTTTGAAAACATTTTTTGAATGAAAATGGCTATTTGTAAGAAATTTTACGTGGTATATATAATAGTTTATTAGATTTTTATTACTTGAAGACTTAAATGATTACTCAAGTGGTTTTCGCTTTTCGTCTTTGCATTGCGAGCAGCAGACCATAATTCGGACATTCCCAACATCCATTATCTTGATATCTTATCACGCACCAGGTCTGCAGCTTTAAAAAGACGAGAAGTGTTACAGGTAAAGCTTTTTATACCAATCACCATGACGAGACTCGCTGTCTTCCTCCCGTTGGTATTGGCGGCCACCTTCGTCGCAGGTCAGGACCGCGTCCTGCCTCGTCTGCTCGACAAGTTCCCCATCAGTCACCCTGCGTTCGTCCAGATCTTTGAAACCGAGCAAACGGACGTTGATCCTCTGGACAAGTTAACCCTCTACATCTCGAACTTTGACGCTCTTGCCTTATTCCAGGTATTGCTAATTAACTAGGCCAAAGCAACTTTTAATTAAATCTCCTTGTAGCGCTCATTAAGTCTAATAATTACGAAGTGCAAACAGTTTGCTTCATATTTAGTTGCAAATTGTGTTTATTGATATATCACAAAGGCAATTGCTGCCCATAATTTAGAATATTAATCATTTAAAGCAAGAGGAGGTCTAAAGATCTCTCTTGTTGACTGAGAGATTCAATAAAATAATAAATTGCAAGCAAAGTATTGATCTTGAGATAGAGTGCAATATAAATTAATAAAAGTTCAATATTATTAAAAACTATATAAAAAAATATCAGTTTTCATGTCATTTATTTTAAAATTTGAAGCAATCTAAAGTTTATACATAGAACTATTTTTTAAAGATTTGTTAATTCTGAATTATTTCAATTTTTTCTTTCAGATTTTTTAATTTAATAAATTTATTAATATAATAAACATTAATTTAATTAAATAATATTTGTGTTATGCAATATATGTATTTTTTTTTTTAATTATAAACTTGAAATTTGTTTGTAGAATGATGACATCTACTACAAACGCTCTCCAGGCAGACAACTCAACGACGTGGCCAACTGGGCACCCACCCTTATTGACCAAGAAAACCTCTGGCCTAACGACGTAAATTTAATGCCAAGTGAGTAACTTTCCCAGTCTCCCTTTCTTTCATTCAAAGCGAGTTAGCGAATTTTCTCTCTCCATGGTAATTAAAAACAAACACAAACTTGTAACACAATGCCCATTAATGCGCTTGCATATTCTAACAAGAAGGAGAGAGAAGTGGTTTTTCACTTCGAGCTCCCTTTGCCTTTTGTGTACTGGGACATTAAAGCAAGTTTACAATTGACATGAAAGTAGGGAGCGTAATTCATAAATCGCATAAAATGAAAGGACACTATGAGAAGAATAAAAATGAACTCAATAAAATCTCTTGTTTAGAGTTGCAAACATTTATTTTTAGCAAGAAAAATTATTTCATAGAAAAACCGGGAAAAAATTGCTTAAATTGAAAAGGAAAAAATTATTTTATAAAATTTAAATTTGCAGCAGTTTTTATAAAGTAAAAATTAAAAAAGCAGTGATAAGAGCTTGATATGACACGTCAATTAAGATAAGCAGCACAAATGCAGAGGAAATAATCACGAATGGCGGCTTCACTCGACGTTTTCTGCGACTAATTTCCAGCCTCTGCCCGCCGGCCTAGGATTAATAAAGGCTTTTCGTGAGCCGTAAATTCCTTGCGTCTGTTTGCTTTGCTTGGTATTCGCTGCGGTGGCCACTTTGGGACACACGCAAGTGGAGGCGGCATTTATTAATTAAACACACGCGCTTATATATGGAGGAGAACGTCCAGCTCGCATTTCACGAGGCTCGTCTTGCGCTGGCCACAACAGAGCTGCACAAATGCAAATTATGCGACCACGTGACCGTGAAAAATTTGCGTTTGATTAAAAATCTGAATCTCATTTTACGCAATCTTGTGAGGAAACTCAAACTATGCTACAATAAAATATAATTAAAATATATAGAGCTACTGAGAAAAATGCCAATTTATTTTTAATTTTTGAGAAAACCTTTCCAAAACTAAAAAAAGCTTTTTCTGTCAAGCTCTAAGTAAGTATTTTAGTATTATATAATTTAATAAATGTGTTATTTTTTAATTGCCAACAATTCAGTCAATTTAATTAACTGATATTATTTTGCAATATTCTTTTTGGTTGAAATTTTAATATTCATTCTTCTCATTAAATTTTAATAGGCTCTGTTCTTGGTCGTGAGGGTATCATCTGGACTTCAGGTTTCATTCCTCCTGGCAAGCAAAACGGAAAACTCAACATTTACTTCACCGACGTCGAACCCTTCGAAGGACCCATCAACATCGCTTCCGCTGATGTTTGTACATTTTTTTTTTTGCAAAATTTAACATCGAGTTTGAATATATTTAAATATAATATAATTATACAATTTACTTTTCTGAATTCTAGACCGAGGCATTGTCTTACCACCGCGTCATTTGGTACGACGTCGACCACGACGGCCTCCTCGACGCCATAACCGCCAGGTTCCACTTGCGCAACGTCGGTGCCCCAATTCTGGAACTGTTGTGGCTCAAAAACCCTGGCACTGCCAGCGCAGGTTGGGCCGAAAAAATCATATTTGAAGATGGCCCTGATGTGCACTTCCGTCTCGCAACTCTTCAGGCCAACGGCGCCGACTTTTTGGTGCTGATCAGCGCCAATTTCTTCACCGAGAGACTCGCCATCTACTATGCGGCTGACGGCAGTGACAGTTTCCTCAGTGACCCTTCCACTGTAAGAAGCATTATTCAGAAATTCATTTGTTTCTCAAAGAAGAAAATTTATTAAATTATATGAAATAATCAAACTTTTGATCCAGCATAAGAAATGAATTCTTAAAGTATTTTCCATTTATTTTTGCAGTGGAGTTTAATCAAATTTTCCAGCTAGTTTTTTTAATGCTCTTTTTTATACGCAACTTTAGTTAAAAATTTTGCAGTTAATATATTCTTTTTAATTTCTTGTCTCCAAAACTTGTACTGAAAATTTTAAAATTAATATTTGTTTTGAATTTCAGCTGATCGAGAGAGTGATTGATGGCGTGAACATCGGCCAAGGTTTCGATCTGGAGGTCGGCGACGTGAACTTGGATGGCAGACTGGACGTCACTATTTGCGGCTACAACCACTCTTTTGGAGGAAACGTTCATGTCTTCCCCGTTCCCGACGACTTCAGGACCGACGAGTGGCAGAGAATCACCATCGCCGAAGGCTTCGTGCCCAATAATATCATCGGAGGCCAGTCAATGTCTCCTGGCGCTCCGCACGCCTTCTACAAGGGGGTGCAGCACCAGCAGTCCGGGTAAGCGCCTGCGATTTTCGAATGTATGCAGCCTGCCGCACAGCTAAGTCAAGCAGGTTGCAAATTAATATACAAAGAAAATTTTTATATTTTCTTCTCTCAACAATCAGTCAAAAAACTCGAATAACTTTTAAATCCATTGATATAAATTTTTATTTAAAAAAATCAATTAACAATTACCCTAGCTGTTCCTTTAATTTTATATTTGACCCATTTAGTTACCTAGAGTATTTAATTAAACAGCAGTTACAAGAAAGAAACTTGATGAGCGCATCAAATTAATTAAAACAGGAAATAATTCCATAATCTCCACTTTTGGACGGTTTATATTAAATAATTGATTTTTAAATAAACTTAATGCGTTTAATATTTTTATAAATAAAATCAATCTCAAATATCTCAATTAACTTGATGTAATTCCATTTTTTACCATAATTATAACTTATTTCCAAACTGAAATTAAAACTAATTAATCTTTCAGTGACAAGCCTTACATCTTTGTCTCCGGTGATGATGACGGCAAGCACTACATCCTGGAACCCAACAGCCAGGACCCGAACGATTGGTCTTACACTAAGCACCTGCTCATTGACACTGGTGCTACCACTACTGGTAAATTATTCAAATCCAACGTCAATTGCATCCATTCATGAAATATTTAACCAGGCAAATACGCCATTGCCGACCTTGACAATGACGGCTACAACGAGATCGTTGCCGCTGCCTTCACAGCTCAAGAGGTTTACGTCTTCACCTACGCTGAGTTCCCTTAAATTTCAACTTATTAAAGTTTTAAAGCAAAGCTCTTTATTATTGTTGTACCTTCTCAAGGTGTATCAAAATAAAAAGTTAATTTGCAAAAAAAAAATCATTTTTGGTTTTAATATCCAATTGACGACATCCAAAATATCACATTATTAGATTTGGGAGATTTTTTTCATTTCCAGTTCTGACAAGAAATAAGTGCGAAGATGCGATTTTAGAATTATTGCTTGTATAAATTACTTTTTCAGTACTTTTATCCCGTTTGAGTTGATTTTCAACATCCTTCCAGATGTTGTTTCGTGGCTAAAATTAAAATGAAAGTACTTTTTATCAAGTTTAAAATTATTTTAAATTTTTACCTCTGCACTAAATCTGCTCCAACAATATCATGAATTTGGTACTGCGTACCAAGAACAACTGTCTTTTCGAAAGGTTTACTCAATAAGTCCTAAACAAGAATAATTTTTCAATGATGTTAACTTCCAAAAAAATCAGCAAACCCTTTCTAATATTTGGTCGTATTTGCTCTTCTTCACTTGACTAAGCAGAGTTTTACGTCCCTTGTTGAATGCCCTTATAAAATTCCCGGCGTTGGGAAAAGACAAACTGTACGTCTTGCTGTCTTTCAGCACGAGGTACCCAAAGTGCATCAGTTCCCTTGAGGAATTGCATTTTATATTCACAGCGTGCTCAGGAAAGAAAAAATGCTTACTTGGCTTCTGCTTTGGAAACAACAGTCTCCAGTCTGGTTCTCTCTATTTCAATGAGACCCATGGGAATTATTTTTTCAAGATACTTCGCCACAAGTCGGTTTCCAGGGTAGCAGATTTCTGCAGTTTTCAGCATGTCCTCGGCAAGGATGACAGCTCTCGAGTGCAGATCGATGCCCAGTTGGAATACACAAACAGCCCCTTTGCTTCTCAAGTTATTCTGAAAAATTATATAAATATAAAATCAACCAATTAAATTTATAAAATTATTTTTACAATCTCCCTGTCGACGAGGGTTCGAGATGGAACCAAATCGTAAATTTGGTGAAGCATAACGACCGGCGGAATTTTGTTGTAAAACCGCAAGGACGGGAATGTGGTGGTCAATTTTCTGATCGCCTCCAAAGTTTTACTTGCCGGCAACTTAAGCAATTTGCTGTTCGGTTGATTTTGTTCATCCTGAGATTCAACTTTGAGGGCGCGTTTGCTCATTTTTCTGAAATATGTAATGACAAAATTGTAATATTACACAAAGCCTCTTTATATAAGACTGGGTATGTAATTGATAAGAAGTATGAGCTGAGATTCGTTGTCAAATATTTTTGCTCAGGAAAAAACTAAGAGAAATTTTGTAAATTATACCAATTTGATGTAGTTTAATACATACCAGAGATCTTTCTACTCAGGCATGCATAAAAAATTACACAGAGATTGACAGACAACGCAAATCTCCTATATGAGCGCAGCCCACGCAATTATGTGCATTTCATTTCAGCGGAGAGCTTTTTGTTTTTGTTTACTTCAGCCAAGTTCCTTGACCTTCGCAAGTATGCAACTTGCACGACACTCAACGCCGGTTTCTGCCTGTTGAGCCCATCTACAGGGCGTTTTGAGAACTGTTTCAGCCACCAGTGCCGGTATCCTAGCGTTCTGATTGGCTGATCAAAGCGGGATTTGGAAGGGCGATCAGCAGGAGAAAAGCTAAACATTTGATTCGGTGCGAAATATTGTTGAAAAAGTTGATGGAATCGGCGTTTTTAGTTTGAAACAGGTTTGTTTATATATATCCAGCATCTCAATGACTTTAATTATGTAATCTGCAATGAACTCTCTGAATTTCAAGCATTGTAAAACATCATCGGCTTGAACATTTCACATTTTGATGGAATTGTGTGTGTCATGTACATACCCCAATTAATCAGGCCTTACAATTTTTTCAGACGCAATGACCGAGTCACTCACTTCTTTGGACGATGATTTGGAACGGCTGCACAGTCTTCCAAGGGATGAGGTCATGAGCTACCTTGATAAAAAGCTGCCCACACTTCTGATATCCTTTTTTTCAAATTTTTTTCTCTTGTTTTTATACCTTATTTTTATGGATTAATTTTCCTTCACTGAAATAAACGAGTGTCTGAAAGATTGTCAAAATGATCCTGCCGACGCTGTCAAATCCTCTTGCATCCTTTTCGACCACTGCCTTCAGTGCTGCGAAAGTATCTCAAAAGCGGAGAAGTTATTTCTCGGTTCAGCTCTTCCTCTGCTCAACCAACTCTTCGAAGAGGCAAGGCTCATGCCTATTTTCTTTTTTTATAAAAATGATTTTATGTCTATTTATGTACTCTAGATTTATTCGGGCATTTCTAAGCAAGTCGAAGCCCAGATCTTTGAAGTTGTTGACGGACTTCTGCAGGTTGTATTTTTTTCTCCTTCAACAGATTTAAATATTTTACAATCATTTTAATTCCACAGGTCCTGATAACGTTGGTGGGGTGCACAAAAAACTGTGTCCAGTTTTACTCAAATTTTGAGAAAATCCCAGCCGCAGATATGGAGCTTTTCAACACATCGGTAATGCCATTGGTTCTAAAAGCTGTTGACCATTGCAGCAATAGGTAATTATTTGAAATTATTAATGATCATTTTCAACAATTAATGAACATGTTTTTAGCAAAATTATATATCAGTCTTTTGCTGAGACATTAGCTGATGAATTGGCATGTTTCACCAGAGAAGTTGGAGACCTCATGACTAGACTTGTTTTGCTGTATAAAGACGTGGTCACCTTTGACCCTGTTGAAAGAGAGTATGAAATAGTTGTTCTCTGTGCAGGTGCGTCAATTGTTATCAAGAACTGCACCACAATTTCATTGGTTTAATCTAATTTCCAGTTGCTGAATTTTTTGGCGAAATCGGCACGTTTTCGCAAATATTCAACGTTCGAATCATGACGGAGTGTTGGAAAATGTTCAGCTTGTTGACCGGAACTCACTCTGATTGTCTGGTGCCAATTCTAAAAGTAGATGTGCCTGTTTCTTACCTTTGCAAAGAAATCCTCAGATTGAAAAAGTCTGCCGTGGAAGAGGTTTGTTAAAAATATTTGGTGAAAACGAAATTTAAATTTTTTTTTTTCAGGAAACTGATGAGAAAACAGCAGAGCGGATCCTAAAAGTTGCAAGCTTTCTGCTACGACTTCTGGTAAATCTTTTGGAATCTGGTTATTCAAAGTCTTTGAGTGGCAGTGTCGAGGACCTGGTGCAATTAATTGTCTCCCTTCAAAAGTAATTTCAAAATGTAGTTTTTAAATCAATCTAAGCGTCAAATATTTACAGGTCTTCCGAACAAGTTCTGAAAATTACTGGTGAAAAAGTCTCTAGGTCTGAAATGGTTAACCGTCAACTGGTCATTGGTGTTAGTTCTCTTGTCAGCGCACTCGTAGATCACAAGAGATTTTCTGAGGTATTTAAATATTTAATTCTGTCTATGAGAAAATAGAAAGTAATTTTTATTTAATATTAGATAATTTGCAATTCTCTATCGAAATCAAAAATGGAGCCCGTCAGTGAACTCTTGCTAGTGTCCACTATTTTACAAGAAGCAGCAAATTGCTCTCCAGAAGCTCGCAGTCACTGGATAGCCCCAGATGAAAATTTATTGAAACTTCAAATGGAATTGATAGAAGAATGTAAATCAAATTGTCTTACTTTAAAGTCTTAAATAATAACCTAATTTTTTCCTTTCTAATAGGTCCTTTCTCTCTGGCCCAAGTTTCATCAGACTTGTCCGAGGCCATTTACGAGGCATGCTTGTCCTCCAGCTGCACTTTTGGCGTTTCTATGACGGCTGACGAGTTCCTTGTGGTCGAGAAAACCCTGCTGTCCACCCTTTGCAGCTCACCGTCCACGCCGTGGCCCTGGATTTTGGCATCAGATCTCTGGGTTTGCTTGGTCCGCAGTGCAGGCCCAGCTCTCTGCCTCGAACACATTAAACTTTTGAGATCCATCAAAATGTCCATGCCAGATGGTCCTCAGCAAAAAATGATCAGCACTTTGGAGCATCGACTGACGCAAATTTTGCCACAAGCATCAGTTTCAGCAATTGAGGTCACATTGACTCAGTACGAGGTGCACAAAGTCACAATAAAAGCCCTTCAACAAATCGTTAGCCAGCCTTCGCAGAATTCCTTCTGTGAGTGTCTTTCAGCCTTGGATTTAATAATTGCAAAAAAGCCACACAACCAGCTTTTGACCCCGTTGCTACAACTTTTACCCTTCTGTCAGGACGGAGGGATTGGTGAACAGTTTGGTATCAAGGTTCTTGAAGCTTTGGTACTCTACGCAGATGAAATGGACAACCAGCAGCTAGAAACGGTGCTGACACAGTTTCCGTTTCTCCTTCCAGCCTCTTTGCGAATAAAGTCCATCAAGTTCATCTCCATACTGTCCAGTCGAACCCTAGCCAAGGACGGCCGACAACCAACAGTGATCCGCTTGATTTCCGAGGCCTTCAATGACCTCCTGCAGAATTTCAATCCTGTTGTTCGAGAATTTGCTTTGAAAGCTTTTGCCACTTTTGCGCACTGCTCACCACACGAGGAAGTCGTTCCGATGGCAGTCGTAAGTTCGAAAGAGCTCCAAACAAAAGTGTCCACCTATATTCAGAAAAGCGCCTGTCCTTCAAGAATCTCGGCCTTTGAGGAGCTTCGGAGACTGGCAAAGATCAGAAGGCCTACTGAGAAGGAATTCAGAGTTGATTTTGCAGAAAAAGTTGCTCCAGACTTCAGCAGCTTAAATGATGATGACTTTTTTGACCTGGAGGATGATGAGCTCCTTTTGGAGACAAGCCAGAGGTCCGATCCACAATCTCCGACGCGCAGCAGTAAACCTGAGGAGATTGTGCTGAGTGATGGAGTTGGGAGCAGCCATCAAGAGCCTGCAGGTTTTTCCTCCGACTTGTCCCAGATGTCTGCGAGAGAGGACGAGGGCGAACCTCAGGTGTTTGAATTAACATCGTTGGTGAACTCTTTAGTGAAAACTTTCAAGAAGGAACGATTGTGCCCAACAGACACAAAGAAAATCAGAAGGGCCATTGTGAAGTTGCAGGGTATTCTAGAGGAACCACTGTGAAAGAAAATATGCCATATTTAACGGATTGTTTTTCGGACGCTGACACGCTCAATTTTTTCTTTTAAAAGCCCTCGGGGTGTAAATATTTTAAAATAAGATTTGATTTTAATCTGAAAAATTTTAAATGATCGTTTTGAAATTTTTTTTGCCCACATATTTAAATATCTATTTTAGTTTTTATCTGAAAAAAAGATTTGGTCGCAAATTGTATTGTACTAAGCGCAAGCGGGCACCTGTTTGAATAAGTAGCGCTACCGCTCCTGTTGTGAAAGCGCGCGACCCTCCCCTCTCCCTCCATCAAACTGTTTATTTTTTTACCTGAAATTAAAGCTAACTTGAATGACGTTAACCCATCACGCATGAGCTGGGAGGGAACAAGGAAGATCAGGCACAAAAACAATAATTTCTCTTACATGGTAATAATTTTCACTTCTCAAAAAAACCATTTGTCTATTTGTATTCCCTCATTTGAGCATCTAACAGTTATAAAAGCTGCACAGCTTGACGCCCAAAAAGCCGCCACGATAATCATAACAACCGCTCTATTTTCTGGCTTTCGGTATTTACTTTGGTGCCTTCAACTTTGTTATCTCAGTATTGCACAGAGTGAGGACAGTGAGGTATGTGTTTCGCACTGAAATACTGATAACGGCATTAATCATTTCTTTGTGTGTGTTTGATCTAGCAATAAGGAAGGGCTCGTCACAATCCTAAGCTCAGTTTCACACAGACGAAGGCTGCAGACAGTGCAGATATGGACCAAAACGAAGTGGAACTTCAGCGTCTTAACGCCGGACTACCTGGACAAAAGAATGGACGGCAGTTGCAAAGACTGAACACTGAAACGGCAGATCCTCGAGTATGGAAACTTTTTTAATTTACTTGGGCACAGTTTAAAAAAATTTTAGTCTTACTTACTAAGAAGACATTTAATTGTGATTTTTATGAAAAATAATATTTGATTGACAAGTTATATTTAATTAGTACTAATAATAATTATTTAATTATTATTGTGTTAATAATAATTTTTCTGATTTTATTTTAAATTTTCTCAGTAAAAAATTGATATTTTTCTGATTTTCAGCATTGGCAACAAGTTTTCAACAAAGTGAGTCACCATTGTAAATAATTTATACGCTATTTTTATGAGTCTATCTTATTTTCTAGTACGACACCAATGGAGATGGTGTTTTGAATTTAGCAGAAATGAAGCGGATGCTGCAGGCAGCTAATTATGCCCATGATCTCCCAGATGAAGCTTTCCGAAAAATTATCGACATGGCAGATCACAACAACGATGGCCACTTGCATTTTGCAGAATTTCTACACTTGGTAAATTTTATCCAAATATGATTTGTAATGAATATTTTGTAACAACCCTTGTTTTACGCAGGTTCACAGTGACGTTCTGCCAAGAGGGGTCTTTTCCAAGCTTTTAACGGGCTATGTGCACAACTTGGTCGCCCCCCGAGGTGGAAAGGTTTGGCATGATGTCCCCGACGGACAGTATGAGGAGGAATACTCGTGTTACCCTCTACCAATAGCCATGCTAATTGTAGCTCTGATTGAGGTACACAATGTTAATAATATTATTAATTATTATTAATTTTTTTTTTTTTCATAATTTAGATGATCCTGTTCCTCGTTGATGTGATCTCAACAGGTGACTCCTACAGCGTGAATGGTCCAATTGCGACAGTGCTTATTTACAACCCGCACAAAAGACATGAAGCCTGGCGCTTTCTAACCTACATGTTCGTCCATGTTGGGTGACTGAAAATTTTAAAATCGATATTCGGACAATAATGAACATATTTTAAAGGGAGATGCATTTGATCGTCAACATGTTGGTGCTGCTGATGCTGGGAATACCCCTTGAAATGGTGCATCACTGGTGGCGAGTGTTGATAGTGTACCTTGCAGGGGTTGTTGCTGGGTCTCTTGGAACTTCAGTGTCCGACCCCTATGTCTATTTGGCTGGTGCCTCGGGAGGAGTTTACGCCATCATTACAGCTCACCTGGCCACAATCATTATGGTTTTCCTGCGCTTTTCAATTTAATTTTTCAATCATTTACAAAGGTTTTTTGAAAACTTTAGAACTGGTCCGAAATGTCGTTTGCCATCTACCAACTTGTCATCTTTACGTTACTCATCGGGTTTGATGTTGGGACAGCTATTTACCAAAGATATGTGGCCAAAATGGAAACACATGTGAGTAAACAATAACTGATAATTTTTTAGAGGATTTATAAATAAAATTCTTTTAGATTGGCTACATGGCTCACTTTGGCGGTGCCTTAGCCGGACTTTTGGTTGGCATTTACGTCTTGAGAAATCTGAACAAAAAGCCGTGGGAGAAGAAAATTTGGTGGGCGAGCTTGGCGATATTCGTTGTCCTAATTGGCATAACCATTGTATGGAATATCGCTTTTCCAGAGTATTTCCCACCTCTTATGTATAATACTTATGAACCTTTGCCGTAACTGATGCACACAATCTAGTACATATCCGTCTTAATGTGCCTTTCAAATTTTTGGACTATTTTTTGTCATTTACATGTGCTATATTAATTGTTGATCAAGTATCAATGTATTTTACGGTATTTTAAGATCAAATCAAAAAAGAAGAACAAGTTAAATTTTGCACTATTATGCATTTAAAATAAATTCCAATTTAAAAGTGTTCAGCTATTATTTGCTGCTGTGTGTTCAAATTACTATTAAAAGTATTATATTTCTCGGAACCGCTTTTTTTATATTCAAAACCAAATATATGTAACGAATAAAATTTATGTTTATTCAGTGAGATCAACATTGTTAAGAGGCCTGCCCGAGAAATATCTATCTCTAAATTTAGTTGTGCTGGTGAGTTGTGCAGGCGGCGTCTTCTCTTTTATCAAAGGCTCCTCTACCTTCTCCATACACAGGAGTAATCTACTTGAGTGACAGCTCAATACCTGTTCGCAGTTGCTCACAAGTTTCAAACACTCGTGCTTGGGCAAGCTCTTTTCCTCGTCGTATTCCTCTCTAGAATATTTAAATTAATTAATCATGGCAGATGAAAGACATTTTTTTTAAATACCTGCAAATAGGCAGCCAAAACACCAGGCGGCCTCCCATGCAGAGATAGTTTGCTGAAAAGTCCAGCAGATCTCTCATAAGCTCTTGAATGTCGTAGTCAACTTTGGCAGGAATGTGGTGGGGCAGATGTTTTTCCAGAATGGGCTTGATATCTGCTCCTCTCCAAGAACCAACTTTTGCTGTAGACTCTCTTACACCATACGGGGCTGTTTTAACATTTTTTAGGATTATGCAAACGCATTTGATAAATTCTCACGGTCGGTCAGAATTGCGTCAAATCTAACATCAGGTCTCCACAAAGGACGAGCAAAGTCCGCAACCAGCACATCAAGGTATCTTGATGAGAGATTGTATTGTCGCATGTTGCTCTTAATACTCTCTCCTTTTTCTCTCACCTAAATTATAAATTAGCAATTTGTATTTTCAAAAGATAATCTTTTTACTTTTTGATTTGGCCTCACTGGCCTAGTCTTTCCATGAATCATTAAAAAATCAAGATCTGCACCACAAACGTAGCCTCCAAACTGAGCTGCCGAGACAAGAAGTGACCCTATGAATAAAATTTAATTTGTTTAGAGATATTATTTGACATTTTTAAAATACCCGATCCAACAAAGGGATCATAAACTAAACTGCCAGGTACAATTTTGGCCTGGTTGGCCATCAGCAGTGACAGCTGTGCATCCATACTTGTGTTGCCGAGAAAGTGTCTTGTCTTCAGAGAGAGCTTTGTGATCAGCGCCCTTTGACCATCGGCAACCTGTTTCAAAGCATAATATTATATAAAGTAAGATTTGAAATCATCTAACCCTTCGTCCAAAAAATAATTCGTAAGGCTTTTCAGGAATGTTGTTTGAATCTTGACCAAAGTACTCCAACAGGTAATAAACAACATCAGGGTTTTTCAGATTCACGTCTCCTTCAATAGGCAAGTATCCAAAGGACTGAAGAAAAGTTTATTAATCATATTGTATATTTTTTATAAATATTTCCTTCACAGTATTTTTTACCTCAATCCGTTCAACCTTTTCCTTTTGCGAGATAGATTTACAAAATGTTTCAACGACGAGTCTGAAAGTCTTGTCAGCACCAAAGTACGGGCTCGTGAGAGTCTCAGGAAGCTTTTTGACATTTTCATGTAGCTCCTCGACAGTCTTGCCATGGCCCCAAAGTTCCAAGATCGATTTTACAGAAATGCATCGACTAGCAAGCAGCTTTGCTTCCTCTTCACTTGGCAAATCGACAATGCAATAGGGCTGAAATTACAAAATTAATAACATTTCTTACAAGTTCTTATATTTTTTTAACATCAGTCAAAATATTAATAAGCATATCAAACAAAAAAAATCATTGAATTAAAATCTTACATATTCGCTGATTTGAGTTTTGTAATTAATTTTGATGCCAAATATTGACGCAACCGACTCGACATCCTGTGGGAAATTAGCATACATAGGGTGAATAAATTGCAATCAGTTATAATTAAAACATACAGCTGCTCGGAAATTGACATGTTCTTGAGCGAACCACAGAAGATAACTAACTCGTGTCGGTACTGATTCTGCCATACTTTCCGGATATTTTGCACGTCATAAGAATGTGCAAAATGTAATTAAGAGACAACGACAACTTTTTTATAATAAAATTAAAATCACAAAACAATATTCACGTATTATTGATGGCATCTGCAGTATTCACATTCGCACACATTACATTATTTTGATTTTGCGAAACTCGCCGAACATGTGAGAAAAGGGGGCGTGGAGATTTTGTTGGCAACACTGCTGAATTTTGTAAACACAGTCTGAGTCGACCATCTGGCAATGACAGGACGTGGAGTTTTGAGTTTTTGAATTTATTGTTTAAAAATGTACACGTTACTTTCGGGTTTCTACAAGTACCTGGTCCAGAAAGATGAATATTGCGTTCTCATCCTTGGTCTTGACAACGCTGGAAAATCGGTGCGTTTCCCTTTTTTTATCAATTCAATTCCAAATTTATTTATGTATTAAAAAAATTTCAGACGTACTTAGAGGCAGCTAAAACCAAATTTACAAAGGGCTACAAAGGACTGAACCCAAGTAAAATCACAACCACCGTAGGCTTAAATATAGGCCAAATTGATATAAAAGGCGTTCGCCTCAGTTTTTGGGATCTCGGTGGACAAGAGGAGCTGCAAAGTCTGTGGGACAAGGTTCGGATTGAAATAAAAGAGATTTTTTTTATAATAAACAATGTTTTTCAGTATTATGCAGAATCACACGCTGTGATTTATGTGGTTGACTCTGCCGATAGGGGTAGAATTCCTGAGTCAAAAAATGCATTTGGTGAATCCGTAGAATTTTGTGCTTAAAAAATAATTTTTTATAATAATTATTTTATTTTCTGCAGATAAAATGATAAGCAGCAATTTCCTTGAAGGTGTTCCGTTGCTTGTCTTGGCAAACAAGCAAGACATTCCAGATTGCATGGGGGTGAGAGACGTGAAGCCTATTTTTAACAGAAGTGCGCATTTAATTGGAAGACGAGACTGCATGGTGATGCCTGTCTCGGCTCTCACAGGGTAGGCTTAAAATGTTATTTAATACTAAAAAAAAAGTAAATGAATAATTTAATTTATCTTGTCTTCAGGGATGGCATCAATGAGGGAATCAATTGGCTAGTGGATTGTATAAAGAGAAACAACAATTTGAGACCACCGAGAAATCAAGAAGACATGTGAACTTGTTATTGAACCACTTTTGTATTTATGTACTAAAATGCGTGTGTTTCTTTTTATCAAAACTTTGTCCGTAAAATTTATGGGTGTTATTTTACAACAATCATTTACATCTCGTAAGTCTGTTAACATTAAATTTTTAGTTAAGTTATAAAAGTATTTAATAAAATATAGTTAATTAAATTAAAAAATTTCTGTAGATTTTATCCTAATTATTTAATAATTTTAGTTCAAATCATTCAAATGTTATTAATGTTGGTTTAATTAATTTTTAAGCTCGAAATAAACGCTAAACGACATTCCATTCTAAAAAAAAAAATTGTTAAATTTCCTATGCACAATATGGAGTTGAAAGAAATAAAAATTCAATTCATGCATCAAAAAATGAAATTTAGAAATTTTTAAGTAAATCTCATTTTTTTATAAAAATAAATCAATTTCGTTTTTGAGAATTGGGCGATATTGAAAATATTAGTGCGTGCGGGCGGAATATATTTTGTTTACGGAAATTCATAATTTTTTATTTATACCACAAATAAGATAATTTTAAAAGTTATTAAATAAGTGGAATAACGTTTATACTTTATATATTGGATCTAGTAGTACTTCCGTTTCAGTGCCACTCCCACTTCTCCATACTCTCATCTGTTCTCTGTTCTGGTAGAAATCAGAAAACAGGCTAAAAAATCCAGAAAAATGACTTTCTGGCGCCAGGCAGGTTTGAAGTAAGTTAATTAAAACAAAATTTACTATTCCAAGAATTTAATTTTGTTACAAAACAAGTATTTTGTGAGGAAAAACTCATTTAAACAGTCGATTCGCTCTTTGCTACTATTTTTGCACTGCCGGTGTTGTTTTATATTTTTCATTAAAATTCACCTTGTTATTCCACTGATTTTGATTTCCTTGTCTAATTGCGACGAAATTTGAATTTTCAGCTACGTCAAGTACTCGAGCATTGCTGCTCGCGTCCTCAGACAATCCCTGAAACCTCAATTCAGGGCAGAAGCTGCAAAGCGCGAGGAGTCTAGCATCAAATTCCAGCCTTGGAAAGACGGAAAAGCAGTCAGTGAGTGTCTATAAGTTGATTATTACACTCTAAATTACGCTGATATTTATTTTTATCCATAGAAAATATATTCTAAGTCGTAGTTTTGAATTATTATAGCGACAAAATAAGAATACGCTTCCTTTACTTAAGTATTTTTATGCGATTTAAGCCTACATTGAATTTGCCAATTTTAATTACAGCTGCTGAGAAGTGAATTATGAATTCAAATATTTCACTTTGAGTAAGTCAATAGTGTGCTTTTACAGCGAGTCCCCAACCTGAATGTAAATGCATTTAACACCTTCAAAATTTTCCCTAATTGAATGTAGTGTGAATTTTTATATTTTTTAATCAGTTTAATAATATTTTAATGTGGTTATCAAATAGATTTTTATTGCATACATATGTTAGCATAATCATAACACTAATTTAAGGAATTTTGCTGATTTTATTCACAAAAATTTTACTTAAAATTACAACTTAACATATAATTATATTAAATTAAAATGCTTTTTATCTTAATTACAGAACCTCAAGCCTAATCAAGATGTCACTGGCTGAGCGTGTGGAGATGCTTTCGTGTAGATGCCGAGTTTCGTGTAAATTTCATTATAATTAAAAGAATCACTGTTGTAAGTTACTTGACTTGAGTCTTTGTTGCTCTTGTTTGCTTCTTTTCTCGATAAATTCCACTCCGTAGTATCCGGCCATCCCGAGAATCAAAACCCCGACCAAAACCCACATTTTGGCGTCTGTGCATAGGAAAGTGCTGTAAGCATAAGCAACAGCAAATCCCAGCGACTCCCACAGCCGGTAGTTGCTGAAGGCAGCTTCTTCATTATTTTGGAACAAGTTTCCGTACAGAGCTGAAATTGATATTTTTATTTTTTTTAATTTCTAATTAAATTTCCCTAAGACAATATTTACCATTCATTTGAGTCTGCCACACAGCGTCTGAAACACCCCAGAAACCGGCAATGACAAAAAATACGGCGGGTTCGTCTGGCATTGGCTTCCAGAAAAACATGGTGCAGATCATGGCTATGTTAATAGCTGCACCAAGGGTGAAAATGGGGATGCGACCCACGATTTTTATCAGCTCGCCAAAAACTAGAGAAAAAACGGCGTCACAAACCCCAAAGCAAATCATTACGTAACCCACGTTCTGAACTCCGTAGGCACAGGTTACAAAACTCTGCAAAATATTTTAATCAAAAATTCATTAAAATTTTGATTATAAATTCATACTTGGGTGAAATCTGCACCAATGTACCCCTGCTCAAGGCCACTGAAGACGGTCAGAGGAATTAGCAATAATTGTCTCTTGTCCTTTAAGTGCTTCCCAGTGGCGAGCAAAAGCCGAAATCCAGATATTCCGGTCCCACTTCCTGTCCGCTCCCCAAACCTTTTGGTTTAAGTTGAAATTGTGATTAAATTCAACATTGGAAATTATTTAAAACTCAACCTTGTGAGTGGGTCAACAAAGGCCGCAATTATTGCCGCTGCGATGAGAGCGCAGCCGAGATAAATTCCAAACAGAGTGTAAATTTTTTCGTCCGAAGGTCTGTTCCCTCCGGAACTGCCACCGTGGTCTTCCCACGGACAAAACCTTGCTCCACAGAGGGGCAGATTTGGATCTTCAGGGTCTATTGGTGGCACATATCCAGATGATAAAACTAAGGGGAATAGAATATAATAGCAAATATTAATTAAAGAGCCTAGATTTTAATGCTCACAATCAGTATTGATTTTGAGTATTTATAATGTCTGGTTTTGTTTAATGAAAGTTTGAAAACTTTTCCTCCTTTTTAGGTTACATAAATTTAAATTTTGATAAAGTTTAGTGGAGTTAAAATTAAATTATAATTAAGTATATAACAAACAACGGTTAATGTTCAAAATACTAATTTAACTTTCTGATTTTGTTGGAAAAAAATTTGCAAGAAATAAAACGCTAAGTCACCTGTTGAAGAAATCAAATTTCCGATAACCTGAGAGCACTGGAAAAGCAAAAAGAAAATTCCGAAGAGCCTCGTGACCTGCACTTCGGCAGAGGTGCCCAGCGCCTTGGCGCGAACGGTGCCCACCTGCGTCAAATAGGTGCACTTGGCGCTCCACATTGGCGCCGCGACGAGACCGACCACTATTGCTGCAGGAATGAGGGTGTAAAACTCGGGGTAGAACTGCGCCCCTATGTACACCCCGTAGCCCAGCATGCAGACCGGCATGGTCCATTTGACGCCCAATTTGCTGATCATCCAGGTGGGCACAAATATGCAGGACAAAATCAGCGCCACGTAAATTGTGCTCAGGGAAGCGGTTCCGAGACCTGCATCTGTGTTTATTGAGCTCTGGAGGTTTGCGGTGCTTTGGTAAGCCGTGAAGAGGAAGGTGAAGGCCACACTGATCACTAAAACGTTGATCATCATCCTGGCCAATTCCGCTGCTGGTTTTTCCTCCTGCTCTTGTGAAGTGGAGCCCATTTTTAGTGCTGCCAGGACCGCTTTTCCACCAACGTGAGCCTCCATAAATAATTTTTTTTTAATTAAAAATGTCTGTATGAATGAAAAATTTGCTTAACTCTAAAAAGGTACAAACAATATTTACCTTTAATAAATTAAAATAATTCTGAATCCTGAGTATTCTCAGATGCGGCACAATCTGAATTGTTAAACAAAGCTCACGTTCTGTTTGGATTTGCAGAATATATAGTCAATATCTTATCAGCCATAGTTGGGAGATTGCATGCAGTTTGAGTTTGACTTTTCTAGGAATCGTCGAACGAAACATAAATTTATATGGAAATAAATTTTTACTTTTTTATGAATAAAGATAATCCAATTGAGCTCAAGTGTATACATGTTTTTTATTAACCAAAAATCAATGTAGAAAAATATCAAAGATAATACTTTCAATTTTCAAAATAATATTTATAAGAATTTCCTTATCAACGTGACCCACTTAAGACTTAGACATAAAAAATATTGTGACGAGTTACAAAAACGTAACAATTTTTCCATAATCGCTCTCGTCAAGATAAAAAGAGATTCCGTCACCTTAGCTAATTAAGTCATTGGTGTATTAAAATACTTGTCATTCAGGTCAAATCAATAAATTCGATCCTTTTATTTTGGCTGCCCATCCTCTGAGAGAAGGTGATCGTCCACTTGGCTGGGTCCTTCGCCCACTTTGGTGTGAATCACGTAACGAATTTTACCCACTTGAGGGGGTTCGTTAATCTGAAGAAAACAATGACAAAATTAAAATAAATTATGAGGAATGAAAAAAAAACATACCGGAGGTAGAATGACGCTGGGTATGACAGGGATGCCCCTGAAGAAGTCCTGTTGCTGCTCAGGATTTGGAGGGAAAACAAGTCGGACCAGTGCCGCAACTGTGGGCACGTCCTGCTCCAATAAATAGAGACAGGCGTTAGGACCGGCATCAAAAGTATAAGCCACCTTAAACAAAAAAATTTAATAAATTTCAAATTGAAAAAAAGATCAATCCAACTTTTATTTGGCCACAAGCTGCATTGTATTGGTGGACGAGTCTGATGATTGCGTGGGATACGTCGTTCAGGTAGACGGCCGGTGGATAAGTGTCGAGGCAGACGGCGTGGAATTGGTTGCTGTCCTTCATGGTGATCTCAGCAAAGGTCTCAAAGTCGCGCTCCTCGATGGCCTTTTTCATTGCCTCCACTCGCTTAGGCACACAATTTTTGATGCGGTGAGTGAGAAGTTCACTGGTCTCGACACTCCTCTGCATGCCAGAAGTGCTGCTCGTCGTTTTCCTTGCGTCGCTCACCTGTTAAAAGAGAAAATTATAAAATAAGATTTGCATTTAATTCATTGAAAAAGGAAAAAAACGTAAGTTTGGAAACTCCAGTTCGAGAAAGTTATTTTGAAATAATTTTTTAAATGAGTTTCTTCTCACCACTAAAATAAGTATCCTCATTTGCGGCCAGTGGTTCGCTGGTACTATCTGGGTGGCCAGCGAATCCTCCCCAGAGAGTAATTCACCTTGGTGCCAACGCACAAAGCCACCAAAAACGCTTCGGCAAGCGCTGCCCGAGCCTCTTCTGGCTACACTTGATACATCGCCCTCAACACCAAAAACTTTGGCTAGCGTGTAAACTAAGATTTTTGAAAATATGAATTAAAAATCAATAAATCCGAAAATATGAAAATTATACCAAGGCATGCATAACCTGCTGCGGAAGACGCCAATCCAGCTGCAGTTGGAAAATTGTTGACTGAGCAAATGTGAACCTTCAAATTGGCAGTGACAGCATCACCTTCCCTCTTTGCTTTTTCTCGTACTAAAAAATTTATAATCAGAAATTTATCTTTTTGAAAATTTAACAATATTATTACAGTCTTTAAGGCAGTTCTGCAGTCTTGGGTTTTCAATTGACTCTTCCCTGAGGATAATAAAAATAAATGAGAAATTTTTACTAAATTTATTTATTTTTTAAGCAAGCATACTTTCCATTGAGCCAGATTTTATCTTCGGTAAAAGTCTCGCTGGCCATGACGGTAGTTTTTGCATGCATCTGTAATTCAAATTTATAAAAAATTTAAAATTTAAATTATTTACATAAAAAAAATAGTTTTTAACTCTGCACGTACTTATCAAGTATATACAGTTATGTTCAAAAATTAATTTTAAAATTTAAAATAAAATAAAATTTACAAATTAAATTTAAATTTAAATTAAAAAACATGGATTATAAATATTTTTTTTACGTGATCGGTGCTGAGAGTTGCACTGATTGAGTCGTTTAAAGGCAAAATTAGCTCTTCGTCTCTCTTGCCCCCTAGAAAGAAAATTTTCAGGTTAGCTCCGTGGTGCATGACTAACAGGTGCTTTTTTGGTAAAGAATGTATCTCGTTTTTAATCATGAAATTCGGGCTTACAATATTTGATGACGGCGATGTTGACCGGCGCGACACACGTAACAACCTTCATGGCGTCCAAAGATCTAGGCAAACTAAAGGGAAATTCTTCTTATTCAGGAGAAAATTAAAATAACAAAGAGCCGACAGGCCAGCACGGGCCCGATCTTTGACCTGCGGCAGTCACGGTCACCGAACGGCACGCCCACTTTCACCTTCATAAACGCCTTCCGAGCATGCGCAAAACAAACATCCGTTCTCCGATTCCCTTTGCATTTAGCATTCAATTTGTTATCATTTTATTAGATTTTATTAATTAAATATAAATTTATGACAAATTTTATTTTTATTATGCTTGTAGCACACGAAATTCTTTAAATTTTTGTTTTGTTTGAAAGTTAAAAATAAACATAATAAGAATAATTGAAAAATATTAGAGACTGTGTATGTAAAAGCATAAAATAAAAATTCAGAAAAATTCAAAATTGTCAATGAGATATATTGAAACTTTTATTTTTATGTTTTTCTCCATCTACATGTATTTTAACACAAGCGAAACAGAAGGCAAGTTTTGACAGATTTCATTGTTGAGACACAAGCTACCAACCTACTCACTAAAAATGGGGCAATTAAAAGTAAAAAGACAAAGCAAAAATTAAAAGAAATGCTTTTTTTGCACTACTAAACAATTATTTAAGTTTTGTCGAATCCTTATCGTGGAAGCAAGAAGGACTACAGTGGGAAATAGGAAATGTTCAAAAAAATATTTTTAGATTAGTAATTATATGTTTTCTTTCAAAACTCTGCGCGGAGTTGCAAGAAAATGCTCCAGAGCTGTAAGGAGAGGAATCTGCACTCCAAAGTGCTCTCGATCGAACGGCCCATGCTGGGATGTGACCAGCGGTGGCCACCGAGACCTCTTGATGCCTTGCGTGTCTGGATTTGTGTTTCTGCGGGAAAATCAAAGCCACGGTCGGGCGCGCGGCAGGTTCTGCTTCACACCCACGGTGTCCATCCTTCGTAGTGCTGGCACAGGTTGTCCAGACTGGTCGACTCGCTGATGATCAGCTCCACCTGCTCTTGCACAGACATGGCTTTGCCTGGATCGAGATCTCTGCCTTCTAGCTTGGCCTTCACTCTCCGCAGTACACCCATGGCAAATGCATTCCTCTCTTGGGGAACTGAAATAAAAGTTAAATAGATGAAAAAAATTTTGCTATGCAAATCTCGCTCACTTTTCTGCTTTTCAGTTCCTGGGATTGTTTCTTGATTTGCAATACTATCCTGGCGCACAAATGAGTGTCTTATGTGCTCTTCAGATTGGCTCAAAGCTGGTATGTCCATTAGTCCGTTGTAAACATCGTCTGAAAGAAGACAAATTTTTTAAATTGAAATTTAAAAAATAATCTAGGATGTACCAATCATTTTCTCCAGTGCACTGAGTTGATGTAGAAGAGCTTTTCCTTGGTTGGGGTCAAGTTCGTCCAGGGCCAAGCACTGGACAACAGCAGAAAACTCCTCCGAAAAATTTTTGTATTGACCCACGTACTTGCCAAGCGTCTCTCGTCCTTCCCCAGGCTAAATTTACGATAGTTAATAATTAAGCCAACTGTAATAAAATAAAAATACCTTAGCCAATGTCCTCAGCAATGGTCTCACGCTGCTCATGAGGCTGTGGTGGTTTGTCAGCACCGACCTGAGCTCGGCAGTGGTGCTCTTAATTTCAGCAAAGGCTGCGCTTTGCTTGGTCTTCTCAGACATCAACTGGGTAGTGCTGTTAATTATCTGGTTTGAAACTTGCTTCTCAGCACTCTGAAGCCACGCTGTATCCACAGATTGATTGGGAACCAGTAACTTGGCTAGATTTTTTTCCACGGACGTCAATGAGTACGGACCGGCTGCTTCGACAACAACAAGGTTTTGCTCGCACTTGCCGAGAAGTTGCAGCAAACTGGTGTTGACAGCCAGAGCCTCTTGAGTGTTGTTTCTCAGGCTTTCCAGGTGCAGAATTCCAGAGCAGGCAGTCACAATTTTGGAGGACAACACTTGCAGCCCAAGCAATTTCTCCGTCCTTCCAGAGCTCGAATTTTTAAAAGCGGCCAAAACCTGATATAATACGAATCGGTTGAAAAATTGAATTTTCAAATTATAGTTTTGAAATTTACCTCAGCCAAAGTTGGGTTAGCGCCAGCAGCCCATTTCAACCTTTGAACAATGTTTTCAACAAGAGATTTGTGCTGCTCAGCTACCTCGATCAGACCTGGTTGGAGTGCGATGATGTTCCGCAATGTTTTATTCAAATTTGCCACAAACACAGGTCGACCTGAAAGTTCATATAAAAAAAAAAATAATATTATTTAAAAAAAGAACACAATTCATTACCAGTCTGTGGGAAGTCATTAATCCAAGCATGCACCGTCATCTTCAGTTGCAACTGCTGATAGTAGGCCTGAGCAGCGTTCAGTTCTTTTTTGACCAGAGCAAAAGACTCTTTGTTTCGCCAGCCCAACTCCATTTCTCCTAGCAGGGTCAACGGCCGCTGACTCTCGATGGTTGCCAACGACGCAAAGATGTCTTCGAGACTGACCCTGCTTTCCGCTCCAACCTCTTTCTGTTCAACCATCTCTGTCAGGTTCACACCAAGTATTTCTTCCACAGCGGTGCACACAAGCACAATTACGGCTTCAGGCTGAAGACCTATCAGTTGCAGGCGAATGAAATCGGCGCAGTAACGCTTGACAGGCTGAATGAGGTTTTCATCACTGATCAGGTTGGAAACAGCAATTTCTTGAAGTCCATGGAAGGCGTGAGCAGATTGCTGCGCCAAGGAAAAGACGTCAAACATCACTTGCAGCATCTTTACCAGGAACATGTCCTCAACGAGGCTCAGGGAAAACTCTCTTCTCACTGTCCACTGTGTAGAAAAATGACAAAATTGTTATGATGCACACACAAAAAAAAAAAAATAATTTCTTACACTCAGGCCTCTTGCTTTGTTCAGTTGATCGAAGCTCAGCCATGATTGTGGAACATTGACAATCCGCAAAGCAGCCATAAGCTTTCTGGCATCTTTCTGAAGACGTTCAAAAAGTCCGCTGAAGCCCATAAGCAGTTTTTGTCCTGGGCTCAAATGCTCACTCAGATCTTGATGAATCAAACTGGAAAAGTTGCTTCTCAAAATGGAACAAATCTCTTGAGATTTTGGATGGGGTACCTGAATAAATCATTAGTTTATGATAATATTACTTTAAAGAGGTTAAACATACAGGTAGTTCCAAAGCTAGATATTTCAAGTTGACCTCCAGCTCTTTGGCAATGTCAGTTAATGGACGCCCGGCAGATGCAATCAAATCTCTCAGCCCAACAACAGCAGCAATGACCGACGGTTCCTCAGTTGTTAACGCACTGACTGTTTCGGGAGCGATAATACTGCTGGTGTTCCAAATCAACTCCTGCCACAAGAAGTCGGTTAATAATTTTATCTAGGTTATAATTTAATTTTCCAATTCACCTCTAAATCTCTATATACAGCATTGCTTGCCACCAGACAAGCAATTGCATTGCCAAGTATGTCAGAATGTGGCTGGATCATGGGCAAAACTTGCGCCAGCTCGACAGATAACCCGCTGATTTGAACCATCTTGTCCAAAAACCACTCACCCTCTCTCAGAGTCAAATCGACTAGACTTTCTCCTGTATTTGCAGCAGCAGCTTCAAGCGCCAAGATGCTTGTGTTTAGTGCAGACAATTTCTGTAATAAGATCTTGATTAAAAATATTCAAATATAAGTCTGGTTTTTATTACTTGTGCAACTGCAATTGCGACAGCTTTTCCGTTCTCTTCCGTGAGCTGCAGCAGCTGCTCTTTCATCATCGCCAACTGCAATCTGGGTTCTTCCTCGGACTTTTTGTACAGCTTCTGCAGACGAGCCGCAGCATGTTTGGTGGCAACCTGCAGCTGGGCTTGGTAGTTGACCAAGTACTCCATGGGTGGAAGATTCACTTGCATAGCATGTTTGTTGAGTTGTGACATGGCCACTCGACACCGCTCCGCACTCAAGTTCTGCAGAAGGTCTTCGGCAATTTTGGCATGTAGGCTTGTGTGTTGGCATTGCAGTTGAGCTGGTGACAGCAGAGAAGAAATTATTCCAAATTGCCCCAATAAGTCCAAGCCCCCGCGCAGGGTATTTTGCATTTGCTGCACAATTGTGATGTACTGGCGCTCAACACGTTCACACTGAAAAAGGAAATATCATTTTAAGTGTTTTTCTTTTACAGATATTGAATTAAAAATACACACCTGTTCCAGAATCGATGATTGGCCAGCTGAATTAAGGAATTCGCGTACCAAGTCAAAGAGCTCTTGGCTCTCAATCTGATTGATTGCCTGAAGCTCGTTGGCCCAAAGCCTAACCTCGCCTGTGGTCTTGATGGCAATGACAGCAGACTAGAAATTAATCAATACAATTACAGTGGAATCGATTGAGCCATGGATTTAAATTCAATTTAAAATATTCTGAGAATTTACCTGGATGCGGCTTATATTTGTCTTTGTTTCTTCTAACGTTTTCCTCAGCTGCACCTCAACATTTGCTAAAGCACCCTCCACTCTCATGTAATTAACATTTCGTTCATGCAGTGTAAAGATTGGATGGTTGGGGCCAACTGCAGCAGCTTCTTTCAACACAGACATTTGCTGGTGAGCTTCTTGCACAGCATTCTGTATCTTCTGGACCTCCATGCAAATCAGTATCCACTTGTGCAACTTATCAGACAGGTGTGTTCGTGCCTCCAGCAACTCGACTCTAGATTTGAAAAAAATGATAATAATAATGACAAATTCTGAATGTCTTTTTTTTGCATATTACTTGTTCTTTCCCCATGGAGCTTTAATCTCAGTCGCCCGCACTGACAGCATTCCGAGAGCCGCTTCACGCTCTAGCTCCCGCCTGCTCGGTCTGTGAACCTCCATCTCTGTTCGTTGACTCAAACCGTCAAACACAGCACCTTTGAAATTGAATAAATAATATCTTATGACATTTATTACGTAATTCATCATGCAAAATGTACCTGTATAGCCAGCTTCATTGTCTGGCGTCCAGTCAATCAATGGGTCGTAAACAAAGGCTTCCAGCAGCGTCAAAAGAGTTTCTCTACCATACTTCATGGTACGCAAAACATGTTCACAACTCAAGCGGAAAATTCCCTAAAAAATCATATATTTTAAAGTCTTGTTTAATAAGTTTACAATTTTAATGAACCTCTACGCCCGTTACTCCAAGAGCCGTTTGAAGATTTGGTGTCAGCCTGAATGGAACTTTTTCAGGTACACGCAGCGTTTGTCCCTTTTCAAAGCATACATTGTAGTCGATATGGACGATCTGAAAATAAGAAAGGATTAAATAATGGTGGGGTGAAAAAAAATTAGTACCTCTCCAGTGGTCAAGTTGACGAGTAAATTGTCCAAATGCCTGTCTCCCAAGCCAATGATGTAGCCAATGACTGACATTACAGCCACAGATCTGGCATAAGTCTTGGTGACCGTCCACCAGTTGCCCGAATCTGTGCTTGTACACCAAAGCTCCTTTGCCAAGAGGTCGTTGGCAGTTTCGTTCATGAGAGCAACGAGAACCTGCCTCAGCATTGCATGAGGCCACTCCTTCCTGTTCTCAATCGGGATATTCTGCTCAGCCAACAAAGGAGAAAGTTTGCTGTAGAAAAGCTCTGAAGGTCGAGGCACAACGGGAGCCGAGGAGGAAATTTGCTGTTGTCGAAGTTGCTTTGCTGCCGCTTCTCGCATCTGCCAACGTTTGTAGAGGCTGAAGATAGGCTGGACGCCGTCCACCCAGCTAATAAGTCCACTGCGATTTCCAAGAGGGACAACAGAATAGAAGCAGGCGTGGTAATTAGGGCCCGTCTTGGACTGCAGCATTGTGTTGGTAATGCTCAAAAATTGCATGATTCGCTCGTCTAGATGCAAGTCTTCAAGACCTGGAAAGATAAATCAATTTTATTTTTTTGGAACTGAAAAATATTAAAATATATATCTGTATTCAATCCTTTGAAACCTACCTTTGAATAAGTAAACATAGTACTTTCCGTCGGAACCCTGCATGGCAAGTTTTTTGGGTCTTGTTTTTGTTGGCAGGATGGACACTGAGTTTTCAATTCCAGCAATGGTCACCATAGGCTGACTTAGTCCTGGCATTGTGATTGCAGAGTCTTTCAAACTCGCAAGTTGAGGGCTGATCTCACTCAGTTTGAGATTCTGGTAAGCCTTTTTCTGCGACTGCCTCAACAGCTCGGCGTGCAAAGCCTTGAACTGCTGCCAGCACTGCTCTGGTTTCAACTCTTCCGTTAACGATGGATTCTTCAGTTCTTCAAGAGCCTTAGAAATGTTTTCTTTGTGAAGGGTCTGGAATGTCTTCTCGTGAGGAGTCTCTGCCGGCAATGAAGTCAACTTTGCCAGCTGCTCAAGGACGATTATCACCGGCTTCATAACTATGTTGTATTTCTCTCTCATGAGTCGGACTTTTGTAGCTTCGTCCAAGCTTGAATTCTCCTCCAGCTTTTTCTGTTCAGTTTCCAATTGGTACAATCTTCGTGTTACATCCTGCTGGTGCTGACTGAGGCACCCCAACCACAACTCATCCCACAAAACAGTGATGCGGCGCAGTTCCGACACAAGCAGCCGCACTTGGTTGATGCTTGCAGGTGCCTGCTGGCTCAGTGTGTCAACCATAGCCAAAAAGCAGCTTCTGAGAACTGAATTTTGGCATTCATCTTCAGGCTCCTCATCCTCTTCTTCGTCATCTTCTATGTCGTCCTCCTCGTCTTGAACAAATGACTCCATCAAGTTGTCATTTTTCTGGGGCCCTAAAAACGCATATTGAATCAGAGTTGATATAAAATTATGATAAAGAGAAATCACTAACCTTTACTTGCTGTGCTACAGCCAACTACAGCTGGGAAAAGAATTAAGTGAGGAGCGTCTGAAGCAAGCCGGCACAACAACTCTGAAAGTCGTCTTCTAACAAAGGGCTCTGGATGATTCAGTCTGGAGAACAGCTGAGGAATGATTCCCTTCCATGGAGCGGTTGGTGTGCTTGCCAGTCCTTTCTCCAGTACTTCTTGGAATGACGTTGCATGTTTTACGATCAGTCTCAAGAGTCGCAGAGTAGCTGTCAATGCTGCCTCCGCAAGTTCTTTGTCATCAAGCGAATATAGTTGCAAGAAATTGAAATACGCAGTCACTGCCGACTGGTAAAATAGGTGACTCTTTGAACTCTGGCTCCAGAATGAGACAATTTGAGAAACTTTTTTGTCAACCTGCAAGTATATCAAATTTTAGATCTGCGACGTCAAAATAAAATTTTTATACCTCTTCTACTGATGATAGCATGCTTTTCAGAATATCTCCAAGTTGATTGTCGTCTAATTCTGTCTTTCTTCTTTCGTGTAGAATGGTCATGATGGACGAAACTAAAAACTCATTGCTCTCCACCTCCAAAATTGACGCAAGTTTCTGACGATCTGCCTCTGAAGGCATGGCAAGGACAGAACCGTCCTCTTCCCAGTCTGATGCCTTCCGTCCTTGCCGATAACTCCAAGCAGCAAATTGGCACCAGGCCTTAGCATTTGTTGGGCAAGTCTCAAGGGCAATTTGGTACAGTTGTCGCGAAAATGAATCTCCAATAGCATCTACGTATGCACACTAAAGTTAAATTGATTCAAAAATTAATATCTGTAATATAAATACCTGAAACTTTGATTCCCAGAGCAATCATGCAGACAGATCGTTTATCAGCCCACTGAAGCAAGTACATGAGCGAGTTCAGGTTTTGAACATTGTGTTGCTTTTCCGCTGAAGTGAACTTTGCCAATTTCTTAGCAAGTGTCAGTGCGAGCTCCGAGGCGGCGGTTTTATCTTCAATGCTACCGTCTGAGACTGCAATTTGAGCAAACTCAAGAGTGCTCTTAGACAGGATTTCAATTGCCTCTGTTCTTTTGTTGATGCTATAAATTTAAATTTAAAATTGTAACAAACTGAATGTTTTTGATGCTGGAAATATATACCAATAAAACAGTTTGGCAGTTTCTTTTTCAGCAGCAAAGTCAACTCCAAAATCAGGCTCCAGCGTTTCAAAGCTTGCGACATCACTTCCTTTTTTGGTGCACCAGTAATCTGTTAGCAAGATTTTGGCCCTGTTGTAATTGCCTGATTTTCTAGCCAAACGACTAGCAGTCAGATATGTTCTAAAATGAATAAGGTTTCATAAAATATGATTACAAAGAATACAAAATAAATCCTACAAGGACATATCATCGTCTTGACGAATTGCTTGGAAAAGTTTATTCCAATAAAGCACTTTTCTTAGCACTTGCGAACTCATATTCTCCAAATCCTACAAAATTTTTATTAGAAAGAATTAATTTATAATTTATAATAATTTTTTACCAGAAGGAATGGATTGTAAAATTGTGAGGCTGGGTCTTTCATGTAACTGGACAAAGCTTGGCCTACTTGCTGTAGAATCAGGACGTCTTGGCAAATATGATCAGAATTTTGCCTTAAACTTTCTTCAAGCAAACTCTGCAGAGCTTTGTTGCATTGGTTTGCCAAGGAAATCATTTGACTATTTAAATAACTTATTCATTACAAATATTTTGATCCTTAATATTTACTACCTGGACTTTTTGGTAGGTGACTCTTTCAGTTCTAAGGACAATGTTGTAAATTCCTCTAATATTTGAGCTAGTACTTTGTTTGGTTTGCGCAAGTCAAAATCAATTTTTTCAGCTCGCTCGTATTTTAGTTGCTCAAAGTTGCTCAGTCTTTTCACCGTCTCAAGGGTCATTGAACTGGAAATCTGAAGCACAACATTCTTAGAGGTTCAAAAGTGAATTAAGATTAGGATAACTAGTATACCAGGGTATCGTAGCGTCCACAATATTTGCCTAGCTCCTCTTTCACTAATTCCAGCTGACTCCAATTAGATTCACTAAATAGGCACTCGCACAATTGATCTGCGTTGATGGCATGGTGGTGCGGAGGTACATTTTCTTGCAACGCATCTTTTTTAGAGTACTCTTGGATTGCATCCTCAAATCTAGGGCATTTCCATTTTTTTTTCAACATATAACATTTTCGACAGTTCTTACCTTTCAGCTGCTTGCAACGTTGCTGCTTTGATCCACGGGAATCTAAGCCTTGTCTTATCACTGCACCATCTGTGCAGGCCTTGAAGTGCCTCTGGCTCTTTGAGTTGCAGCAAAGAGTTTGTCAGCAAGATTGTTGCCTTTTCAACCTCTACCTGCTGCAAAACCAATTTTTAAAATAATTTGTCAAGATTGCAAATATAAAGCAGACTTACAGATATTTGCTGTTGAGAGGTTAGATCACTCAGCAATACAAGCCCTTGTCTGACGGCTACGTGGGGCATGCCGGAATGGATTGCAACCATGACTGTTGCCCAGCGAATGCGAGTAATCCACTCTGCACAGACTGATCTGTTGGTGTAAAAGAAGAGTCGAACAGGCTAAAATGTGAATAATTTAGCATCCAACATATAAGAAATATCTAAATATTATACTTTTGGTGCAATGGGCATGGCGACTGAACACCCATGTGATGCATTGTAAATCGACTTCTCGAGCTGCTCTAGGAAATCCAGCAACAGCCTCGCCTGGGTCATATCATGAATTGTGGTTTTTGATTGAAAATTTTCAGTAGTTTTGTCACAGTCAAATTCTCTTGCCAAGCCTTTGATGGCATCTGAAAAAAAAAGACATTCATCTCAATTATATGAAGTAATGAAAGGAAGTGAACAAATTTACTCTCAATTGCTGAAAAGGTGTCTTGTGGCTTTCCTAGTGGAGTCCGCAACTTTGAATTGACAGTGAATTGAGCTGCTTGCCATGTTGCCCATTTCCAAAGAGCTTTGATGGAATGACTGCATGCGATTCGCACCTTTTCTATTTCTTCATTTGTGTTGTTCGGTGATGAGATCAAGCTCAAGTTTAAAGTGTCGACTAGCCACTGATTGCTGATGAAAATTGTGTTAGTTGAAAGTTGCATGAGTTAAAATTGACCGTTTCGTACTTATGCACAGATCCTTGGAGTAAGTAAGACATGAGATTGGAAAACTGGAAACTGTTCAACTCTCCAATGTTTATACGGCTGTGGTGTATCCTGGATACTCTGTCCACTAGAGTTGAGCCGTATTGCTGCATAAAGTGAGAATAAAATGAGCGAGGTTAGTGAAATATAAACTCTTTTTATCATACCTTTGTTCCAGATTTTAAACTTTTATCTAATTTCTCAATTTCCTTCAGAGAGCACGTCCACGGACAAAGAAGAAAAACCTCGTGATAACAAGCTTTCACCAGAGGATCAACAGAATTCATGTGAAGAATGCAAAGCTTGACAATGCTTATGAGTACGTTATCCTGAACAAAAATAAATTTTAACAAGCAGTTGTTTTTGAAAAAAAGTCAATGGCAAACCAGAGGTCCAGTGAGAGGGTGTATTTCCAGGAGTTTGTTTAAACATCCTGCCACTGCAACAGCAATTTCCGTCTGCACAGTAGCACCAGCAGCAATGATCACTCTGAGCAGGTCCACAAATTCATGTGCGGTCAGCAACTTCTCAATACAAGATTTGGCTTGCAAGATCAGCTCTCTACTCCAATGCAGACACAAAAGCATCACCTCTTGGCAAACTGTGTTTTCCTATACAAAAAATATAAAATGTGAACTAAATGTTTAAAAATTTTTTCTTTTTAATACCTCTGATAAAGTTTCAGTCAAAATCTTCAATACAAGGGTGAAGTATCCCGTGGATGGACTAGAACTATCCTGAGCAAAGTGCTGGGAACCAGATTTGACCAAAATAGAACTGGACATGAAGTTGCTGTACCTGTGAAAAAATTACTAGCATAAAAGGGGCAAGGCTTTTTTCACAAATACTTTGTGCAGTGGCAGTTCATAATGGTAAGTAGAGTAAACTGAATGGCTGGAGAGACGGTGTTCAGCATTTTGTAGTGTGGAACCAGGTGCTCCGACAAGAGTTCCATAATAGTGGGCTTCAAGGCCCACATGCCAATGATGGAACTTTCCCTCGCTATGTCGATCAACGAGTTTAGCAGGAAAAGTACCACAATTTCAGCTTCCTCTCGAGTGTAATCTTTGAAACCGTTTGATACATTGCCGAGAACAAAAGGCTCCACCTCTGGTACCAGCACCTTGTAAGCCTTTTCTAGATCTTGCAACACCAGGCTAAATTTTTATTTGTTAGTTGCAATGCAGCAAACAAAAGCAATGGCTTACCTATACGTCTCTTGCAGAAGGGGAATGTTTTTCAAACTCAAAAGACTGTGATAAACTCCAATCAAAGCTGTGGTTTGTTTCTCGCTGCTTTCTCGAAGTTTCAGCAAAGGCGACTGTGGTCCAATAAGCTCACCTATGAGCTCAATTGGCAAATATACTCTGCACTCTCTAACAGCCTAAAATTAATGTAATTTTAAAAATACACCGGAAATATTTGAAAAATTAAATTAACCTTTGAAACAGTTTCACAGAATGAAATCATGGTTGAGGTGGCAAAAGTCTGGATATTTTCTAACTGCTTTTTGATGTATGAATGCAAACCTGTATTCCAACCAAGACCTCCAATCAAGTCGAGCAAAATCAGAACAGTTTCGTTTGCTAATAAAATTATCGGCTTTGAAAATCAGCATTATTCTTCAGATATCGAATCTTTACCAGCCAAAATTACAGATTCTTGCATTGCAGAGTGAGCAGTTGAACAAAGAACAGTTTCGATGACTCTCTTCATGCCATCGCTCCAAAAAGCTGGTGTTATCACTGAACCTTCCTTAGGTTTTGCTTCCTGTCCTAGACACTGAACAACCGTGTTGTAAACCCTGAAAATTTGAGCGTGGAACACATTCTTAAAAATCAAATTCTTTATACTGGATGGTGAGTTTTATTCGCTGGACAAAATCCTCTGGCGTGTTTTCTGGGTCCGAATGGCCCTCGACAGTGAGCATGAGATCCTAAAGAATAACTTTTAGATTATTATTATCCTAAATTTTGGAGCATCACTTCTCTGTAAGCCTCCATATCTTCTAAAAACTGGCTTAGGAGGTTGAGTGTGAATGGAATTTCAAGTATCCAGTACTGATTCAATTCTTTCAGACCATATGAAGCAATTTTTATGACGGCATCTGGCTGCGAGATGTCAATGTGCCATCCTATCAGAATGTCAACTATGTCCTGAAATCAAAAGTTCAAGATGAGCCAACGTCAAAACATGTTGATCTTACAGGGAAGAACTTGATGATCGCTTTGGAGTAAGTTTTGTCTACGAGAAGGATGGTTTCTAGAATCGCCCACATTATATCGGAATTTTCTGTGCACTCCAGATTTTCATGAAGCTGAGTAAGCAGAATCTGAAATAAACAAACCAAAGTAAGCATAAAAAAACTACCTATATATTAAAATTTGGATTGAACTTTTCCACAATTTTACCAGTAAAGTTATCTCAAAATATTCCCAATCCTAAAATTTTGAGTTTTAAAATTAAGTAACAAATCAAAGTTGTTTCCATACCTCAGTCAAATCATTCAGTTTTGGGTGGTCTTTCTCCAACTTCAGCATCTGTCAAAATAAAATATTATGCCTGAATTCATCATTTGATAAAAGAATATTACATGCTGCAAAGCTTCAATGAGGAGGAGTCTGACGTCGTCCCTTTTTTCTCTTTGGAAAGTTGTAAAAATCCAATCGAAGAACCTATAAAAATTAAAATTGTTAATGCATGTTTTGATACAAATAAGCCTTTTATAAGTATATTACCTCTTTGCGTCTCCATCTAGGGCATAGCCAGCAACTCCAAGACACCGAGCACCTTCCGACCTGGCATCACTGCTTGGCCCATTTTGCAGAATGTCCAGCAACGACTCGGTGATGGTTTCGAGGGCTCTGCGGATGTATCGGTTATTGTCGGGAGACGTCAGGGACTCCTTTAAGGTGGCGGTGATGGAAAAGAACACTTCCATGTTGTTTTCGTGGTGCATTCGTCGCAAGAGGGTTGAAATCCTGCAATCCTCAGGCAAGAGAGATGTCAAGATTCCCTCTAAAATATAAATGATCAAAAAATTAATGACCAGGAAGTCCAGGGTTAAAAATTTCTTCAAAAAGACCTTTTGTCCTGTGGCTATCTTTCTTGTTGCTTTTGGATGATGATTCCCCTTTGAAGATTTTACGAGAGCCACCAGTGCTACGTTTCTCGCTGGATTTCGATTTCCAGCCACTCTCTCGCCTCTGGTGACCCGACCGCTGACCTTTGGTGCTCTCCTCCGAACTGTTGTGAATGACCATTGTCGGAATCTCCAGCACCCCCTTGACAGGCCTACTAATTGGAGCATCTGGCTCGTCTGCGTCCATTTCTATAGAGTCTGTCAACGAAATATAATGTACTAGAATTTTGAGTGATTATTTTGAGAATTTGTGGATAAAAATCAAACAAAAAAAATATTAGAGATTCCAGTGACGCATTTGACTCTAGAATTTTAAGCTTGGCATGAAAATATGAAAATCGAGAATTTTCAATAGAACAGTACATTTACATTTAAATTCAAGGGTTTTGTTTTTATAAGATAAATAAAAATGAAATAATTCAAAAATAAATTTTGCAATTCCGGTTTATGTAGTACCGGTCAAAACAATGCACTTTGTTTTGCGCACGTTTACCTCTCTAAGGGTCGCTGAATTTCATGCTATAGCATCATCGATAAAGCAAAATCTTGAGTGACCGGCGTGTTGGAAAACCATTCCGAATTCTGCGAAATAACGCGTTTATTTGCAGAAAAGTTATTTGCAGTTTTCTCGTGTGAAAACATAAAAACTGCCTGTGTGTTTACCATGTGATGACGGTGGCCGATGATTGGCCCACGCGAAGGGCGCAAAATTTAAATATTCGAGTGATGAGCACGGGGAGTGCTGGGTCTTGAAAAATTCCGTACGAAATTTAGCAATATCTAGTCGTAATGAGCACCTGCCGTCAATTATTCACCTAATCGAAAACGCGTGAGTCGCACTTTTGGCAAAAAATTAGCAAAAAGCGCCCCCCTGCCCTGTGATCACGGGCATCTGTCAAAATTAAACCACCTGCCCGCAATCGTCAGCATGTCTGATATTTCCTTGTTTTTATAGGCGACGAACACGAACACAGTCAACATCAAACCATGAAGAAACTTAAGGCGAGAGAAGTCTGAAAACACCACCCGCATCAACAGAATGAAGGCCCTCCATGCCACCCTGACGAGTTTCGGTGGTGAGAAACGTTTGCTGTCGAATGCAGGTCAAAATCGATCAAGTGCTAATGTAAACCAATGTTTTTGCAGAGATGTGGTACCAAATATTTGTGTGGGCCCTTTTGTCATCTTTTGTTATCCACGTCGCTGCCGCAGCTATTTCCTTTGCCATCCTCAGAAGGCATCGAATCGGAAAGTATGTAAAATCAATTGACGAACAAAAAGTAAAAATTTTTAATAATATGGTTTATTCCTTTTTAAATCAGAATTAAAACAAGAAAAATAAATAGTTAGAGGAGATTTGGAAAGAAAAATATCCAAAATCCTACTTTTTTAAGTAAAATTATTCCACTCTAAAAAAAAGATATCAAATTTATATGTCAAAAAATTAAATAATTGATTTAAATTTCAGATTTTTTCCACTCTTGCTGTTGCTGATGGGCATAGCCACCCCACTGACATCTGGAGCAGTCAACTCTGCTGTCATTGCATTCATCTATGTGGCTGCAAAGTTCACCATGATTGAGTGGCACGCGCTTATGTGGGGAATGGGCCAGACGGCGCTGGCCGCCGGCATCGGTATCACTCGAATCCTGGCCACCCTCTGACTGGACCAAAGGTTGCGCCAGACAATAAGTATATCACCACTAACGCGTTGGGCATGCTCATTTTGTTGGGACAAGACTGTTGTTCACGCCATCATTGCCAAGGCCAATTAATGCTACTATTATAATTCCAAGTCATCAAAAGATTAATGATACACATGACGACGCTGTTTATTTTTCCTATATTTGAATGTGCGTACAAATAACAATTACAAGTAATTAAAGTGAGCGTTAAGTTACAAGTTAATCTAGAATTTTGTTGAGCATGTCCTTCCTTTTGAATTTTTTACAACCGAGAGGAGTGTGACTGAGTAATTTGGTCTTCGCCACCCCTCAGCTGTTCTCTACTTGCCAAGCATCTCATTTCTAGAGCCAGGGCAGCGTTTTTGTCCTCCATGTCATATTCGACTTTGGCCAGTTGCGTTCTGAGAGCCTCATAAGCAGCCCTGATTTAAATTTCGTTAAGTTAAAAATTTGTATTCATTTGTTAGTACTTTGCATGGGCGGTTTTTTGCTGCAGTTTTTGCTGAGATTCGGCCAGCGTGGCACTTTCAACGGCCAGTTCGTCTTGCGGGTCGTCCTGACACCTTTGAGGTCCGGCAGGTCGAGCCGTTCTACCTTCGTGTCTCGTTTCGCAGAGAGCCCTCGGCAGGTCCAGGGATTGATCGGCCAGTTCTAGCTGCTTGATTTCCTGATTGACTTTCTCCATTTCTTCCAAAATCTGTGAATTTTATTCTTTAATTTCGATTTCGATTTTTCCAAAACTAAATTTTACAATATCCCGCTGCCTTTTAAGTCTGTCGATTGAAATTTTTTGCTCGTGGATGCGTCCTCGAAAGCAGGTGCACGTCTCGTCCTGTTGAGCCCAATTTTCATTCCTCGCTTCTTCCACCGCCCGCAAGATTTTCTCTCGCAATGTCCTCGACTGAGTACACTCCTTTTTCTGCCATTCAACCAGATCGTAGCAGTGATTCAACCAACTGTCTGGCACGGAGCTCCTAATTAAATATTTTAATTATTCTTATTTCATTTAATTGTGTACTTTCGTCGCCCACTTTGGAGGCACCCTTTGAGGTTCAGGTCTCAGAGCTAGGCCAGGAGAATCGATACTCAGGCTAAGCATGCTGACGTCCACGTCCAGGGCTGCTGTCTGCTCAGAAATGTTAAACTGGAGAGCGTCGATTAGGTCACTAATCTGCCCAATCATGTCCCAAGCCTCGGCGTTCAAGTTGGACAATTTCGATTTATGCAACTCAAAAACTCGCAATTCCTAATTATTTTTTTTATTATATTTACTTGAATTTACTTATAATTATTAACCTCTTTTAGTTGAGAAGTGACAGGGTCCATTGTCAGCTCAGTTGGGTGTCTTTGGTCTCTCAGGTAGAGACACTGAGCAACCACATCCAAAGGTGGCAAGAGAGCCTCATTCACGTACGTCTCGAGATACTTTTTCACTTCGGCCAGGGCTAGCTTTTCGTTTTTAGCAGCCGCGTGAGAATTTTGCAAATTTTTCTGCCATTCTTGCACCAATGAAATTCTGCGTGTAATTTTACTTTGATTTCCTTGATTATTGAAAATTTCAACACAATTGCCTCTCTGATAAAAGGTGCTCGCTGTTGTGGCGGTCCCACTTGCTCTGTATCCTCGCGGCCGACCTCAAAAGGGCGCCGTCCTCGCGCTCCAAAAGCGAAACGTTCATCAATTTGTCGGTGTGCGCTATGGTGTGCTCATTTCTGCTTTTCCACTCGCCCAGGGTCACCCTTTGCCCACCTTTTTCTGTCTTGTACAGAGACATTTTTACCTCAAAATTTATGTCAAAACTCAATAGATTCAGGATACAAACAAAACCATAGCAACCAAATAAAATCACAGAGTAAATTATTTAAAAATCTAGTTATATTTTATTGGTAAAAAGAATGAGGAAATAAATACATGTTAGATTACACAAAAAGAAATTTTTCCGGTTTAAAGGCTTTTTCTCCCTCTCTTGCAAAAGAAAATGTGCGTAGGTCCTAAAGTATTACCAAAGGAATTAAATGCACATTCCCCTTAACAGGCGTAAAAATCAACATGACACATCGAATGATAACTTATCACAGTTTTTCAAAAGTCACTCTTATCTAACGAAACACTAACCAAGTGGTAAGAAAAAAAATGTGATTTCTACTTTTGTGACTTTGTCAAAAATCAAAATCAAGTAACTTGAATCAAATAATGGTTAACTGAAAAAGCCCAGCTCTTTCTTTTGCAAAACTGGCACATCAAAAATCAATGCATATATAATAAATTGCACAGGGTTTGTTACTTTTCTTAAGAATACTGGTGTTTACTCCAATCTTGGCACAATACGATGTCTGTTGGTTTAAAATTATTGCATTCCCTGCTTGGTGTTGATCAGGTTGGTGGAATTTTGCAACGGCAGCAGGTACAACACGTTCTGGCCATCCTTCTTGAACATGGCGCTCGGGGCTTCGTTCGACTGCTCGATCTTCACACTGCGGCTCTTATTTCCCAGTTTGCATGTGAAGTTCAAATTCACAGTCACGGGCAGGTCTTGGCCGCTCACCCTAAATTACAATTTTTAATAAAATTGTTATTATACAAATTTATTTAAATTTTACTGTTGGAATCTCAAACAGACGACGCCAATAAGCTCTCCGACTCGGTCCATTCCGTCCTTTGGCTCAAGAGCAACAACCAGGTCATTGCCCGTGCTTGAATGGATCGCAACAAGCTGGTCACTACCTGGGCTACAACTCATTCCAGTCACCTAAAGCAGGTTTATTGTGAATTTATCAAAATTTGAATCAATTTTCGCTTTTTACCTCCTTGAACGAGAGCACCTTCTTCATCAGGTTGAGCTTTTTAGCGTCAAGTTTGTAGATACCTGTGTCGGTAACCAGCAAGGCACGGTCGGCACTCTTGTTGTATCTGTTGGTTTTCTTGATAAATGAGGAAAACATGACCTGCAACAATTATAATTATAACTTGACATGTCTTTGGAATTCAAATTATAATCTTCACCTCTTTAAATTTTTCTTTGTTTTTTATGTTCTTGATTGTATGGTTGAAAGCGACCGAATCCGAGTTTTCATTGTTGAGAGCCAAATAGTTGCCCTCCCACCTTCTTCCAAGTCCATACTGGGGCCTCTTTTTGTACAAATTGTCGTAGGCTTTGACCTTTTATTAAAAAAAAAATTAGTAAAATTTACATATAAGAGGGATACAAATGTAATATTTACTTTGAGCCTTCCTTGTTGCCAATCGTCTCTGGGAATCCGTTTCAGAACCATCCACGCTCTCCACCTTTCATGAATAGTCCTCAGGTTTTTAACTCCCGACCTGAGCACCAGTGGCGGATTTGGCCACCGAACAGATTTGCCGTAATCCCTTTTCTTTGCCACGTTCCTGCAAAATTGAATTAAATTTAATAATTTGACCCAAAAGATAAAATTTAATTTTAAATCTGATACCAGTAATTATCCTCCGTGTCAATGCTTTTGAATTTAAACAAATTTTAACTGCGATTTTAACTATACCAAAAATTAACACTTACAAGAAAACTGCTTGAAGAGCCTGGAAGTAGGAGCGCATCTTGTACTTTCTGTAGTATCTGATGATGATCAGCGCCGATTTCATTTTCCTGTACCTCAGCCGGCAAATTGCGCCTCGCCACTGTTTCTGGAGCAGGATGACGATGCCTGGGATCATCCGACTTCTCTTCTGCTCCAGGGAGAACAAAGTTCTCGGGGAGCGGATGAAGATTTTGGTGTTGCCGTACTTGACGTCGTCACTGAAGCCCTGCTCCTTCATCAACACCCTGACGCCCTCTTTGTCAGAGCCTCCTCGGAAGTTGGGCCAGGTGTACTGGCTGATCATTTTGTAGCGGCGCAGGAAGAGGTCGTACCTCTGACGATATGCAAATCCGGCACGTCGGACGCGCACATTCTCTATCAAGCCCAGATAGTTGACCTGATGCAGCACCTATAGAAATAATGATTGCTTAAAAAACAATTAAATTAGTTAAAAATCTCAAACCTGTTCAAAGTCGAACTGGACTGGGGACTTGTTCTCGTTGGGTTTGATGCACCGAACGTAGTAAGGCTCTTTGGAAGTCAAATTCTTCACCAGGGCGATCATCGAGTTCTTGAAAAGGGTGCCCGCTGTGAGTGGCCTCTTGGTGGTCTTGCTGATGTCCATGGCGCCTTCGGGCCACATTTCTTTCACTGTGGCGTTGCTCGAGTTGAAGAGGAGACGTTTGAAGTCTTGGAAAAGAGCGTCCCTATTTTTGTCCAGGAAGCCTGCGATGTTGTAAGTGACCTCGCCAGCGTAGTGGCTGCATGATTTAAATTTAAAATAAATATGCTACTATTAATTAGTTATTATTGATGATCACCTGATTCTAAAGTCCTCTTTGTGTTTTAAGCTTTTTTCCATGGGTTTAAGTTGCCTACTGGTGTAATGGTTGTGTGAGGCCAACTTTTGGTCCATGGCTTCAACAAGTATCTAAAATGAAAGTGATTAAAAAAATTTCATTTTATATTTTACTTTCACGTTTCAAAGAATTTTTTAATTATAAAGTGGAAGACAGATAGTGGTTTGGGTTTAACTTTTTAGCACGCTTATCAGGATTTTCATTTCCTTTTCCTGGAATATAAAATAACGCCATACCTCGTCAGTGACTTTGCCAACATTCAGGCACGCCTCGTCTAGGATGGCGATAATGCCTCTATGAGGCTGCTCGACCAAATCGCAAATCACTTGGTTGTTAAAATAGTCAATGTTCTGCCACTCAATGCCTTCCCTTTTGTACTCTTCTTGCTCTTGCTTCAAAACCAGCTCTGCAAATATATTATTTTTAAATATAAAATAATAAATAAATAAAAACTGAACTAACCAATAAAGAGCTGCTGGAGCTTTTCGTTGCAATAGTTGATGCAAAACTGCTCAAAGCTGTTGGTGTCAAAAATCTCGAACCCGTAAATGTCGAGGACGCCAATGACGGTGGTTTTGTAGCCGAGCGTTCTAGCGTCCTGGTTCTTCAGGTTGATGGCGCGGTTGACCCTCTGCACGATCCAGGAGAAGAGTCTGTCATAAACAGCCTTGGCGAACGCATCTCTTCCATAATTGGCCTCGGCGGCGTTGTGTGTCTTGGACATAATTTCGCCCCTGGCCGCGATGACCCTCTCGCAGAGCGCCTTTTGGAGTTCCTGCTTGGTAACGGACAAGAGGTTGGAAATCGTTTCCAGCAATAATGGGTCGTCCAGTTTGACACTTTCATTGTCAGGTCTAAACTTGATGTTTCCCTGGAAATAAATAAAATTTTAGATTTTTTAAATTCACAGTTAATAAAATACTAACCAGGTGCAAAATTGCTGCAACGATGCGCCAAATTGTGTCGATTTCCTGGTCGGAAAAGGTCAAAATTCTGAACGCCGACTGGGTTGCTTTGTAGTCAGTCCTGTCACTGATGGACCGGACTGTGGCCGCTTTTCCTTGGTTAACATAAAAATACTTTTCAGCATCTTTTTTTAAGCGCAATTTGCTCAGCTCTGAATCAGAAGCACCGAAGAGAAGCTGCAAATATTTTTATTAGAATTTTATCCAAAATTAAATAAATAAATTCGTACTTGATAGAAAGAGTGGAAGTTTCGCTCTCCCGACTGCTGATAAATGACCCTTGACTTCTCAAGTAGGTAATTGCTTATATTTCCGCCCACAGGGTCGCCCTTAAAGTCAAAGTTGATGTCCATGTACTTTCCGAAGCGAGACGAGTTGTCGTTTCTGTTGGTCTTGGCGTTGCCAAACGTCTCCAGTACCGTGTTGGACTGCAGCAGCACATTTTTTACCCTGTGGCCAAAGTACACATTTGCATAAGTAATGAGAGATAATTATAATATGCATCCGATAACTCGAAAGTTCAACAAATTAAATCTCTGCGTACACCAGAGGTGAAAAACATTTTTTTTTAAGTTAAGAAATTTAATTATTCTTGCCTTTCAATTTCTTGTTGGCCACCAGCGTTGGTCACTGCGGCGATGTATTTCATTATAATTTTGGAAGCCTCGGTTTTTCCACTTCCCGACTCGCCGCTGATGACGATGCAAGTGTCTCGGCCTTGTTGCTTCATCACCTTGTGGGCCGAATCGGCAATCGCAAATATGTGCGGCGGGTTTTCAAAAATTTCCCGACCTAGAAAAGTTAAAAAGAGGAAATATTTAGTTTATTGAATAAGATTAATTTAAAACTTATCAAAAATATCAAATTCAATTTTTTTTCCGTTCAAACCTTTGTATTTGTTGATTTCTTCATTGTCGTAAATGTTGACTGTCCGGTACGGGTTGACCGAGACGCAAACCTCGCCGATGTACGTGTAGATTGAACCGCCAGAGAACCTGCAACATAAAACAAGTCGGGCGCGTGAGTAATATTGCGAGCCTTAATATATGTATATGGGTGTGCGACACGGTGATGTCATTTTTGTGTGTGGAAAAGTTGAAGGCGCACGCTGACAATTAGTCTCTTTATTTTTAATGCTTAGCGCGAGTCGTTCATGGCATACGCAATTTGAAAAGAATTTCAATGAGCAAAGGAGCAGAAATGCGAGGCCGAGAGCTCAGGAGACTTGATTTTATTGCAGAGAGCCAAAGGAGAATAAAGATGATTCACTGTTTATTTTATTGAGTAATATTGGAAAGTAAAAGCTGAAGGTGCGTGAGAAGATCGGTGTGACGAGTCAAGCTCATTTTCCTTTGGAATGTGTAGAATCCAAAAACCGGCTAATTTTTTCTAAAAAATTAGTTATATTTTGTGGTATATTTTTCCAAGCTTGGTGTTCCAAGAGTTCAATATCTGCTCGCTGTATCTATTTTAGAGTAAATACACATTGCGGTTTTAGGAAAAGGGGTATGGTCTAAAAATATCTATGCGCTTCACTTCGAGCGCCGCCACAACATAAACCAATTTTTCATCGCGCCGTCTCATGTGTGCGCGGCTCTCCAGCAGCAAATTTACAAAATTAGGCGTCTTCCTTGACACCGTCCATTCAAGTACACTCAAAATACAATTTAAGAGCTCTCAATTTTATCTTAAATTCCGAGAAATTCCTAATCGAAATGTGAATGTTCTGAAAGTGCAGAGAAAATCAACCCCCTTTATAATTATCATTCACGTGCCCAATAAGCCGCACGAGATAAAAAGGCAGCTCTATAAATTAGCCCACAACATGTGAAGCCGCACAAAAGTTATCGGACAAAAGTGCTAAAGTAGCAGTCTTTCGTGCAAAAATGTTATCTCGCGTGAATCGGTATAAATCCGATATCGAAAGTCTACTTGTAAGCTGTGGTTGGTCACCGAAGAAGAGAGAAAAAGCGTGTTTTTTCATTCTTTTTTTATTTCCAGACCAACGCTAATGATGATTACAGGCCTGAGAGGCGTGAAAATCAGTGCAGCGATTGCCGGTGCTTCCTGATTCGTGATTGTTTCTTCATTCACGGTGCACCGCCTTTCACCGAAAGTGAAATAAAAATTAAAATAAAAAAAAAAACGAAAAGTGACAAAGAAAAAAAATGATTTATCGGTAAAAAGTAAGAAATTAGAATATGAGGTTGATTATCAATATAATTATTTCGACTTGAGTGAGTTTTGGACCTTGAGCAGAGCTCTTATCGTTTAATGATATGCTTGGGTAAGTGTGCGCCCACCTTTTTGCCTAATTCTCGACTCCACACAGATGGCAATCTCTATAATATACATTTAGCTAAATTATTGCAAGACAGACGGAAAAAAATTATCTTAATTGCCACATATGTTGGCGTCCGTTTCGCTTGTCAAAAATAGATAATCCGTTGGTGAAATTGGTGACAAATAGACGATCATTATCAAAATTTAGTGTCTTTAGGTAATTTTTTTTAATTGGACATTTTTCTGAAAATAGGTAGGTGATTTTAGGAGAAAATTTATATTTGAAATAGGTTGTTTTGAGTGAAAATAGTATTTTATTTTCTTAATTAGATAAAAAAATGGGTGATTTTTTTTTATCAAACAGGTGATTTAGGTCGTTTATAACCTTAACTTTAACCATATAAGAAACATGATTGGGTTATTTTTATACATTAATTTAATTTCCAATAAAAATGCAATATTTGAAAGTGATATTTTTCTTATCACTAAATAGCGTAGGTATCTGAAAAAAAAATTGTCTTTTGAATTGAAAATTGCACTGCTTGCACAATATAATTTAAATTCAAATTGTATGTTCCTTGCCTTATAATATTTTTGTATATTTATCGACTTTCTATAGCATTTATCAATCACAGTTTATTGGCCTCTCTCGTCATTACGTCGTCTGGCCGCTAATTGTGATCCTCGAGTGCTTTCCAAGAAGCCCGCGGGTAAAAAATTAATAGAGCCAGCACGCATCACTCTTTGTAAGACAAGAGCCAGGCGAGTGCTGAGCCGAGCACTTTTCTTTTCGGCACTCTCGCTAGATTATAAAAAAAAAAACACATCATCCGACTAAATTGCTCTTTTATGATTTATCTCGAGCAGATAGAATTCAACGAATTAACTCAATCAAATCCATCTTCACTGGTCGTGAGCTTGGAAAGAAAAATGTCAATCAGAGCAGAGGAGAACTGAAATTTACGAGCTATCTTTTAAAATCTACCGAAATTTAAAATTACAATTAAATTTCACTGAAAAAGTGTGATAAAAAGTTGATTTATAGATAAGACAATAAGTCTTAATGTTGAAAATCTGAAATTTATATTTTTTTTTATTAATTTTGACTGTCCAGCAGTTGGTCAATATTATGCGTTTGAAAGATACTATTTGCTTTTTCCCACAGCGTCAGTGGTTTAAGATAACAATTATAGCCTTTTAAGTAAACAAGAAAAAAAACTTAATTTATACTTTGCCACCTACAAAAGGTATGCAAAGCATGAAGATAAGCCCAGCAGGCAAAAGAGGTGCCGCAGTGTGTCGGCAAACGCGATTCTAAAATTTTTTTATCATCAGCCGACTGAAGAGTGAATCCAAAAGCAGGAGTGAGAAGTTGCGGCAACAAAAGAGAGGAAGGAGCACCTCTCTGGAAAATACAATCTTATCTCTCGTCGCTAATCGGTTGGAGCTGCGACCGCGAGCGTCGGTTGGCGAGTTCGGATTTTCATTTCGTGAGTCACACCGCGAAAAAAAAGCGCAAGTAGGACACCGGCGATTATATACCAATGTTGTATTGTTAGTTGGAGCGGAGAGAAAGAGACCGTAATACGCATACAAACGCCAAATAAACTCTCGTTCATTCATTCTCTCTTAATAAATAAACACAACGGACCTATTTATTTGATTATTAGTCAGACAGAGAAAGCAGCGCCGCTTTTCGAACGATTTTCTCACTCGCTCGAGGCTTTTTTCATACTTCCGAGCCCAAATTATAATTTTTAATAAAAAGAGAAGTCTTTATAGTTGCTCCTTGGCAATAAAATTATGGATCGCGACGATGACTCACCTGACCCTGAGAGAACACCTGAGACAAACCTGAGATGCGATCAACAGGAAGATCGCTTTGCCGGCGCGAAAAGATTTGTGGGTTCGGCGACGAGTTTTTTTTATAACTTTCATTGCTTCTGTTTAAAAAATTTTGGCAGTTGAGAGTTTGAAAGTTTTCATACTCGCAGACTTTGAGAGATTTTTTACAATTAATTTATATATCAGGCTTAAAACTTTACCTGTAAAAATTGTCTTTATTTTTTTAAATTCAATACAAAATAAGAAACAAAATAAAAAACAACAACAGAAGATTCGAATTGTGATACAATTTATAAAATAAACTTCTATTTCCATAAAAATTGATATTCAAAAGAAAGCGTACCCTGCATGCTTGTTAGCTGATTTTGTTTTAAATTTAGATTCTTATTAAATTTATAAATAAACAGGATTTGGTATGCAAATTTTTCCAAGGAAATAATGATATCAACTAGTTTTCTTCTTGTTGTATATAATTCGAGCAAAGCTTTTTACAACGTTCAACATTATTTGCCTTGTGTAAAGAAATTTAATATAACAAGCTGGAGGCGCGACTAACAAACCCGACGGTTTGTTCGGCTCACCTCAGCACATTTCAAAAGCCGCAACTCCAAGTCAAAAGGAAGCAGCAGTTTATGAAAATTTAGTTCACGGTCCTTATTATTTGTTTTTATCTTTGTGAGAAAGAAAGATGTGCGCAGCTTTTAATATGCGAAAACTATGCCAAGCCCAAAACAATTAACTGTGGGAATCTTCGGTCTTTTGTTTGTCGAAAAAAAATAATTAAAACTGCTCCATCCCCGGATGGTAAAAAAAGCAAAAGAGCGTCTCTCTTTCTCAAGAGATGAATCATCGCACTATCTGCGTCGTGAATTTAACCTTTGACGACAGTTGTCGAAAAAAGGTTTGGCGTTTTTATTTTTTAAGAGGATGAGGACTTTTGTGCGGCTTCTTTTCCACCCGGGCCTGGATTATATATTGGATGGGAATCGCGCGTTCGTCAACCCGTTTGTCTGCAGACAACAATATAATTGAGAGATACAAAAGGTTCTGTGAGGTAACGTGGAAGAGAGTTTCGCAAATGGGCTAATTTGCCGGGTCGTGAGCGCGCACTAAGTTGACGGAAATGAGCCAAGAGACGAGATGCATGTGTACGACAAAAGGCGGAATTTGTCAACGAAATAAGTCAAGTGTGGTTGTCGATTTGGCCACGACTGGTGCGTGACAGTTCCGCATTCAAATTCGAAATTTATTTAAATATCCAGCTAAGGGAAGGAATTAAAGCTCTAAATTATATAAATTTTCTTCATGAAGATTTGATTTTTTTCTTATCAAAGGTAAAAAATGATTTAATAACAATTGGATAAAAATTCAATTATTTAGCAGGAAAAGAAATTAATTACGTTAGATCTAAATGAAGAATGGGGAAGTTCAATGGATGATAAATTGCAATGAATCACAGAAAAACTTCAATATTGCATATTTTTTTATAAAATATTCAAAGGATGCTGACTGTTCAAGTTTGTTGTCAGAACAACTCGCACAATTCTTAAAAAGGAAGCCACAACCAACACAAATAACTTCACTCGAGTTTATTTTTCCCTCAAATGATGTACACTAAATAATTATAAAATTTAAAGAGGAATTAGCTGATCATTATATAAAATGGGGCTTGTGCTTATGTTAAAAGATTGTGAGCCGCTGACATCATTGTGTGGTTTGACAGTCAATTCAATAATAAAAAATATTTTCCTGTTTAAAAATTTAAGGACTTCTTATTGATATAGTCAAATCAAGTCCTTACAACAAAATAATAAGATTTTTGCGATTGTTCGAAATTTTAATCACCATTGTTGAAAAGACTTGATTTGACTATGTCAATAAGGAGTCCTTAATACGTTGAATAAAGAAAATAAAAATTTAAAATTAAAAAATTCCGTAAAAATACAATTCACCACAGAATAAATTTAATTTTCTTTCAATGTAGACAAATATATTATTGCTATTTACTGATGAAAAAATTTGAAATTTGAAAAAAGAAGAAAAGGTTTACAACTGACACCTAAAAATTAGTTTCTTTTTTCAATAGAAATTTACAAAATAATTGTCCTATGTTTGTTTAACTAAATGAACATTGTATTATTTATTTTCTAAATTATAAAGTTTAAAATTTAGCGGTTCTTCCTTTCGTGGGCGACTTTTATGCGAACGCTTTGAATGTTAAAAGGGCACCGTCTATATAATAAGCGCTCATCAGGTATTCAACGCATGTCAGGTTGTTGGCTGCGAGAGTGTGTGGTTTTTTTTAACGGGCACCTTCATTCCATTATCCTTTTGGGTCTCGCACGACTAAAAGTCTCCTAAGGCTGCTCATTCGTTTCTCGTCTTTCTTTATATATAAATTCAACTCGCGCCACACCCTGAGCGAGGAGCAGCGAGAAAAGGAATAATTATTATAAAGGTGCAGGCGACCCTGTTTTAATCGCTCAAAAGAGCAATTGAGATCAGTTGGAGTAAAACGGTCGTTGTGTCAATCGAGCGGATTTCTAACAAAAGAGAAATTAAAAAAAAAAAACACCTGCTGTAGTTACAAATGACAGCAGGTGTGCCCGAAGGTGAATGGATAACCAACCTTTTCTGCAGGTTCTGCATAAAGTTGTCCTTGTCGATGACTTCGAGCAGGACGAAGTCGCCGATGCCGACCCCGTCGTGGCCCACCATGGTGTTGTCGGGAGCGTCCGCGCCAAACGATCCTTTCTGCACAACACCTCGCGAGGGAGTCGCGACTTGGTCGTCGGTTGCTCGATCGCCGCGCGCGGCCGAACGCCCGCCAGATGCAGAACCGCCACTTCTTCTCGATGGCAACAGCGCCGCCTCGATTCCGTATACGCTTTTTTTTCATTCTCCATCGGCGATATACACCAGCATAACGTATATTTTATAATTTGTATATATATGAAGAGTCGTGACGTAAGGTTCGCCGTTTACAGAGCGACGTGATGTTGTTGGCGATTTCGGGCTCGTTTGTTTTCTTTCAGGGCACGATTCGCGAGCCTGAGAGAGAAAGAAGTCTTGACATGATAATAAAATTATAGAGCTAGTTTTTAAAGAGTTCACTTGATCAAACGGGAATTTTATTTGGGTTTAAAGAAAACAGAACTTTTCAGAAGCGCGATTTTTTTTTTAAATTTCAGTTTAGATCTGAACAAAAAATCTGAAAAAATTGCAAAAAATGTAATTTCAAACTACGTACTTTTTAATTTTTCTAGACAACAATAACACCTTTTAAAATCTCTGTTTAACAGTTTTTCTTAAAATAGAAAATTGCTTAAAATTTCCAAAGAAAAAGGTCTTTCCAAAAATATATCGCACCTGCAACGGTAAGAGTTATTTTTCTGAAATTCTATTATCATTGTAATCGTTGCTTACTTTTATCGTTCTTATTGAAGCAACCAATTTTTTTGGAAATAAATTTATGGATATTAATTACTTATTTATATTTTACTCAAAAATTGATCACATAAACTGATTTTCAAAAGGCACTTTCATTACAATAAATATATTTAGTATTAAACTTTGTAAAATATGGTAAAATAATAACGAGTTAAATGATAAAAATTCAGGGGGGAAAGCTTCAAAATCTATGTATGAATAAGTTTCGTTCAAAAAAATTTATTCCGAATTGAACAATTTGCTAAAATCAAAATTAAAAATAATTAAAAGAATCTTTGTTCACAAGTCCAAAAAAGCAAATAGTTTTCCTTTTATTCATTTATTTATTGTCCTGATAATCAAACAATAATTCACCATAAAAGTAAAATAATTTCTCAGGTTTTTGTACAGATTAATATAATAAAAAAATAGAAAACAAACTTTTAAAATGTAAAACTCAATAACCAATAAAAAATATATTCTCAATAATAGTGTGCTTGTTTTTGTGTGTGTGTGTGTATATTTTGTGTTTATATGTGCACAAATTGAAAAAGGCGAAAATTATCACAATAATATTGTGATATAAAATAATATTTTTTTAAAAAAATATTTAATTACATTGCAAAGAATAAAAATTTAAAGCAAAAAACTGATATTTTTATTTATTTTGATTGATTTTAAATTAAATTTGATTGGTTTTTATCACCCTTTTAAACGAAATTTTTATTTGCTTCAATATATGCACTTTGAAACTTGTAGCTCGGAAAAGGGGATCCACTGACATCATCAAGTTCTCGCGGTGACTCTCATTTGCCTACTACCACGTATCAGGCTTCCATGAGACCACCAGCGGTCTCTAATACGCGTGTTCTAATTCTGACGACGCGTTTTTCTAAACACAGCTAATTAAGAAAAACGACGCGACTTCTGTTTGTAGAGAAAGTCGTCATAAATGCTGACATAATATTTCATTTTTCGTCGCGAGGGTCCAAATTGTCAGTTGTTTTTGTCGTCCAAGTATTTTAATTTTTATATTTTTAATTCTATGATTTAAAAAAAGTTTGTAGCGCAGCAGAAGAGCTGCATTTTAATATTGAGCGCTGCGTGAACTCGGAAACCGCAGTGACACACCGGGGCGCACCGCTTCCTTTTAGCCTGAGGAAAATCACGTTGCCATCAGCAAGGGCTATTACAAATCACGCAATCAAGCCCTATCACTGACGACACCGAAAACGAGCTCAAAAAGTTCTATTGTATGAGGCACTGATATGGAAAAAGTGCTAACAAGGTTACTTTTGCAGCCTGTTAAAAAAATAAAACAATTACTAAGTTGGGATACAATAGCTGTGCGAAAATCCAACTTGGAATTTTAGATAAGAAGACAAAATTTTACCGTCTGGCGTCATGAGAAAATTTTCATTTCCTTTCATTCTTCTTTCAGCTACGCCTTTTTCAAAAGAATTTTTTTTAAATTTATACAGGTACTTAAAGTACTGAACGCTGGATGTGTGATAAAAATTTTAGTGAAGTTAAGATCCACGTACACCTTTGTGTGATAAATCGGGTTGATTGAAGTGCTTTGCTTGATAAAACTTGAATGTTGATAATTCTGACTCAATGATCGAGTCACAATTAAAGAATGTCTGATTATTAGGCGTACTGGAACATGATAATCGCGCGTTGACAATTAAAATTATTCATTTTTCATTAAAAGCTGACTTGAAAAGTAGCTAAATTGGAACTAAATTGAAAATAATTTGAATAAAAACAGACGGCACAGTATAAATTTTCCTATCCTTGTATTTTGATTTCTTTATAATTTTTTTTTGTCAGTTACTTTTGCATCACACCAATAATTAAAATTTAGTGCATCACCGACCACTTGGTAACACAAAGGAAAGTGCCGGTTGACTTACCGATTTGTTCGGGCCAACATTCATTCTTTCAAACAGTCACAAGTATTCAGTTTAGCAGCAGACACAGTCTTTTATTGCGTTTTGATGAACTAGCTTGACGGTTTTGATTGAAACCTGTGCGCCTTGAGGCACTCCATTGAGCAAAACTTGAAAGCCTGGTAGCAGAAAGGGACCTTTCCGGACATGTCGGAGGCGCAGACAAAGCATCGAACAACGACCTGACCGCCCGCAGCCATCAGTCGTCGTTCAGCAGCCAGGGCGCACTAAATTTTTAAATTGATATTTTAATTTTCAAATATGTGATAACAAAATTTATACCTTTTCTCTTTCACTCAATTTCAAAAATCGGTCCTTTTCCTCCTGCTCCTTTCTCCTCTCCTCATCTTCTTTCCTCTTCTCTGCCTCCAATTTCTTTTTCTCAACCAGCTTCTCTTTCTTAGCATTCCGCTTTGCATTTTTCTTTTGGGCCTGAACTTCGTTTTCCATTTTTTCAATTTCATCAGTCAACGGCCCAGGTACTTCAGCCTGAAGTCAATTATTTTTGTTAATAATAAATGGATAAAATATTTTTTTTTTTATAAAAATACCTTGGAATAATCATATTTATTTGGGAATTCTGCTTGGAATCGTCTAAAAATCTTCCTTGTTTCAGTGTCTTTGGCAACTCGAAATGGAACTCGTCCTTCTCGGTTTGACACGCTGGGATCCAAACCACTTTCAAGTAGAAATCTGTTAAAAAAAAAAACATTATTTCTGGTTTAAATATTTCTACACAAGTTTGCACCTAACACGATCAACAAGCCCAAGATTTGATGCTTCGTGGAGCAAGTTGTTGCCTCTGACGTCGATTGCACTATGGATGATCAAAATTTTCTCTTCTTCCTCTATGTTTTTCATGTCATTTATAATCTGGCTCATCATTTTCGTGTCGTGTCTTGAAGAAAACAAAAGTGCCTTCCACTCACTACCCTTATCGCTCAGAGACTCTACACAAATTTTAATGAGGAAAAATGTTAAAACTCAAGCTTAAAATAATTACCAGCATTTTCTTCCTGTTCTTTTTCCTCGCAATTCTCTTTTTCTTTCTTTTTCTTCTTTTTGGGGCGTCGCTTCTGGCGCCGACCACGCTGCTTTTCTTCTTCAGGTACATCATCGTCATATTCCAGCAAATCCCTTGAAACATCCAAAACGCTGGTCATCATAATCAATTCGTCGTCCTCTGCTATCAGACTGCCCTCCTCAGAGCTCTCGGCCAGCTTCTCCACAACTTCAGGCAAAGGTCTGCAAGGACTGGCTCTTGATTTATCTCGCTCGATTTTCTTTTTTGGTTTGGCTTCTGGTGAGGATTCTTTTGGCGGAGACTCCCTTTCCTGCTTCTTATTAGGAGAGGTTGGGAATTTCTCCATGAATTCCTCAGCAGACCCTACATTAAAATGCAATAAAATTTCATAATTTTTTTTTTTTAACTTTGAATCCTCACCATAAACCTCCAGTGAGCTGAGCAAGTCATGAACTCTCTGCACTTCTTTGAAAGTGGCTCGTCGTGTCGGGAAAGGGATGCTCCTGATCCTTGGATTGTTTTTCTGCAGAAGCGAGTTTTTCCCTGTAAAAATTAGCGTTCGGTTGTGACTGACGGCCCTCAAGAAAATAAAGTCGCATTTTGAAAGTGGTTCTTTCCAAACTTCTAGCAAGTCATTGATGTGCTGGAATTAATTTGGGTCAATTGAAAATACAGAAAAAAAAATATAAAAAGTACCTGCTGGAAAGACTGTTCGTTGTATCTTCGAAGACTGGCTCCTGCAGAACGAGGGTGGCTAGTGCCACTTTTACTGTCACGGGCGCCTTGAGAGCCTCCCTGCTTTGCTCGAACTGTGTAGCTATGAAATGTCTTGTGGTGCATCACATTTTTCCCTAAATGTTTATCACAATTATAAATTTTATTGTAATTTATTCATAACTATACCTTCAAAAATAGCTGCAGCAAAATGCCCTCCTCCCAACATTATGATGGCCCACTTTGATTTGTTCTGGCAATTCTGAGCAAGCTTGAAAAGCTCCTCATTAGTGTTGGGGGGATTCTGTAATGCTTAAAAAGTTAATTTCCTGGACTTTTTTCTAATTTTTTTGCGACCTCTTTCCCATGAAGAATGCATCTGTATAAAGACAGTATTTTGTTCTCCTCATTTACAAAAAACACTTTAGGATGCCTGATGGTTTTAGTCAATTCTATGTCAGCGGCAAGAGCAACTTTAGCCTCCTCGTCTTCACTGGAGGTTTCCGATTCCGAGCCAGAAATGCTTGACACATCATCATCTGCAAATTTTTTGTAAAATTAAAATAAACATATTAAGAAGCAAAGAGCACAACCATTCAGTTTGTCAAAATCCTCTTCTTTTAAACCTTTCAGACCCTTGAGACTGAGTTTTAAATTATGTCGATGCCAGTCCAATTTGTAGTGGTTCCGTTGCTCGGTTTTGTTCTCGAAAGAAGTGCTGCAGTACGAGCATGTCAGCGAGTCGGAAATGCTCAGCTCGATTCCTGCGTCGATGACCAAATCCTCGGCTAAAAATGGGAAGTCAACAATCAATTATATATACATTAAGCATCTCAAAAATTACTTTCAACGTTTTCCGTTACGTACGAAACTTCTGCCTTCATACAATCCGCCAAACGAATTCCAGACACCAGTTTGTTGAAATCCTTGCTGTCAAAAATGTTGTGCACTTCATACTTTTTCAGTTGTTTCAAATTCGAACGCAATTCATCCATGGTGATCACTAGAACGTCTGCCACGACGGATGGATGAAAGTTGCGACAAATTTACCAACACACGTCTCAATGATGTTTTGCTTCACCAGGTGTTTTTTTTTTTTGCAAAAATGGGGGCGTGGCACATTAAGTTATAAAGCGGGAAGATCAAAGAAATGGTCTTCTTGGGTGCACTTTGCACCCACGCAAAAGCGATAAATGAAAAAAAATCCTTACTACATATATTGTCTGTATATTAAACGCCATCAAACAGAGACATAATATACACAATATAAGCGTAAAATAATAGAACTTAGAGCTTGAAAATAAATAAGTTGACGTTTTCATCCGATATAAATTTATTGAGTAAAATCAAAAAAGATATTACTTATTTTGACATATTTGTGGGGATAACGGCATGAAATATGCAATTTCTCCCCTTAATTTATCTCCCGTCAGTCCACGATGAGTTTTCTTCTAGTAACGTTAGAGCAGCAACAGCCTGTTGCTGTTCATCAGCTTCAATTTCAAGCACATTTTGAAGAACAACTTCACCAGCACCCTCCAAGTCTTCAATGATGTAATGAAGTTCCGCATCGTCATCGACCAAAGTTTCGTTGTCGTAACTGTTACCTGGCTGGTTTGGAATGCCTAGGCTGATCTTGTACGGCATTTTCCTCTTGATGGGTATGCTGATGCCGTGGACAACGTATCTGTGCTGGTGATACTTCTGCTTGGTAGTGAAGCCTTTATTGCATTCCAGGCAGTTGTAGTCGTACTTGCCAGTGTGCAGCATTATGTGGCGCTTGATGGTGCTGGCGCTCGTGACTGACAAGTTGCAATGAGGACACTTGTAAGGTTTTTCTCCTCGGTGTTTTCTCATATGAGTCTAAAAACAAAAATAAATTTAAAAGAAGTACTTTTAAAAATAACAAAATAATATTTTTTAAATTTAATTTAAAGAAAAATTTCTGTGATTTTAATTTGTTCAAATAAGCGAATATAAAAATATATATTACCGCCAGTATTGAAGAATGTCTGAGACGCTTGCCACACAACTTGCACTGGTAAGGGAAGGGGTTTTTGTGCCACTTCTCATGAATCCACCATGAGCCTTGATAAGAAAATTGCTTATCACAATATCTGCACTTGTAGAGCATCTCTGGATATTCGAGGTGGTTGTTGACATGCTCCCTAAAAATACATAATGAAGTTTTTTCCGTTGAAAAATTCAAACAAATACCTGAAGATGTTCCTGCTGCAGAAACCCTTCTTGCAGATGTCACAAATGTACTTGTACTCGCCAGTGTGCGTGGCCATGTGGTTCTTCAGACCGCTTGAAGTTTTGAATATTCGTTCACACAGAGTGCACGGATTGAGCTCTTTATGGTGCCGCAATTCGTGCTCTCGGAGCTTCCTGCGGTCTAGTATTTCCTTGCCGCAGACGTTGCATTTTGGGTCGCGGTGCAGCAGGTTCTGGTGCTTGTCCAGCTGCACCATGGTAGCGAATCGTTCATCGCAGAAAAGGCACATGTAATGGCGCGACTCGGGGTGCAAATTTTTGTGGGTCGAGACCTCGGTGGTGTATTGGAACTGCTCTCCACAGTACATGCACTGCTGCTTCAGTTTGTGCACGTCATGCATGTGCTTCATCAAGTGGTCCTTGGACGTCAACGGCGCCCGACAAATCTGAAATTTTGGAAATTCAATATTTGTTTAAAGGAATGGAAAAAAATTAAATTAACAGGTAAATCTTTTCCATAGCTAACAATAATATTGTGAGGAGAGTTTGAAGAAGTAATATGATAACATAGAAAAAAAATTATCTTATTTAAAGAGATAAACTTCATAATAATCATAGCATATTTCTCCTAACCATGGCTTTTTTTTGCTTGCTAATTTTGTTATTTGAGATTTGTCTATACTATCATTCTTTCATAATTTTTTATTTCCCTTACAATAATAATTTATTTGTCAAATTATATTTTCGGTAAGAAACTTACCAAACATTCTATTCCTTGTCCAGATTTGACGTGGTACTGCAGATGTTTGGACAAAGCGGAGATTGTGGGCATTTTGATTTTGCAGTGTTTGCAGCTGATTGGCTGGTCTTTGTGCATTTGGAAATGCTCAAGTAGGTTTTGAATGCTGTTCGCCCTGACGTCGCACATTCCACATTCATAAATACACGGCTTAATCTGCTTTTCCTCAACTTTTTCCTCTACCACTTTTTCAGATTCTTTCTCTTGAGGCTCATCTTCGGTCTGGCATTCATCACCAGCATCCAAAGATTCAACCTGAGGTTCAGGTAGGTCCATGGAGTAGCTATGGTCTAGGCTGGTTGCTATGAACGGGGTTGGCTTCGCTTCCTCCATTTCCAAGGGAGCGTCACACTGTGGTTCTTCGTCATTGTCCAACTGGATGTATTCGATTTCCTCCTTTAAGTCCTCCAGGCTGATGGCTTTGTGGACTAATTTGTGTTCTTTCATATTTTTGGCATCCGGGAGCTCACTGTTGCAGCAGGTACAGGCGTAAACCACTCTAAGGGCCATGTGTTCCGAGGAAGAAGGGTTGCTTTCGCCATGAGTTTCAAGCAGGTGGGAAGTGAGCAATTCTTTGGAGTCAAAAATTTTGTTGCAGGTAATACAAAAGTCAGGCTGCAGTTTGGCCAGCAGAGAGATATGTTTGTCGAAGGCCTCTCTGTCCTTGAACTGATTTTTGCAGCTGGAACACTGGAACTTGTTGTGCGTTTCCTTGTGCTCCTTCAGCCGCTCCTGGTTTGGGAAGAAGAGTTTGCATTTTTTGCACTCGGAGTAGGAAAACTTTTCCAATTTGGCCGGCGACTCGTGTGTTTTGGCGTGGGAGGAAAGCGCCAGTACAGTGGTGAAGGTGGCGTTGCACTTGACACAAGGGTAACTCCGCACGGTATTCATTGACGAAGGAACAGTGAAAGTTGCTGCCTTCTTGCCAAGGCAGTTGTGCCCGCTGAGTTCTTTGATGTCATAGAACAACTTTTTGCAAGAGCCACATTGGTAGATCACTTGGCTAGGAGGTTCGGCTGCATTCTTAGAGACTTTCGAGTCATCGTTCACTGGCGAAATGCTCACTACAAACAAATAAAATAAAATTAACCATAGGATCCATAAAACTACTCAAATTTAAGAATGAGATGTAATTTTGTTTCTACCCGACTCAATTTCAATGCTGCCGTCATCATTGGATGAATTATTTTTGCGATCCCAAAGAGCACGGACAGCGCTGCTTGCCTTCAAATGAGCAAACAGAGTGTTATTCACCACATCTAGATCCCTCAGCAGGGAAGCCCTTTTCTGGAGAAGCGACGCGCAGCTGCTGCAACACTGAGGAAATAATATGCTAATTTAATGGGGGAACAAGCAAGCTGGTGTGAACTTTTACTCTGTCGTCTCGCTCAATCTTCAGAGGAAATTTGTTATCGGCGATTGTTCTCAAGCAAGTGGCAAACGATATGTTGGAATGCTTTGTCAGGGCTTTCTGCAAGAAGCTGGGGTTGCCAACGAGGAGTTTGGTACAGATGAAACATCGTTTCTTGCTGTTCGCCAGTTCCCAAATAGATTTATTATCGCGTCTTGGCGATCCAGGCGACTTGAATGTTTTTAGCTGGAATAAAAGATTAAAGAAAATTAGTAACCATTAAATACACTATTAAAGAATGATTAAACTCATAATTATTATTTTACAAAAAAATGAGATTTTACTCACTTTCTTGGTGGGTGGCTCGGCTTCCTGAGTGCTCATGCTCATTAAATTTAGCTTTTTTTGCTCTTTCCCTGCTCTCTCCCATACGTGTCTTGAGAAGAATTGTTTACAAATCGTTTATGACGGGAAGCACGGCTAAGAAATATTCCCGAAAATAAACACGAAAAGTCTTTTTCCCGAATATTTCGCGAAGCGGGAAGAAAACTTTTGTAAATTGTAAACAACAAAACAAACGAAGCGTGCCACGCCCCCTTGAATCTACATTCCGATTGGATTCGACAGCATGGCGAGTCAATAAAAGAATTTTGAAAACACAAAACGAGTGCCTCGTGTAATCAACTTTAGGCAATAAGACATAAGACTTAAGGAAACTGCCATGCATCTTCTTCATCTGATTTACATACATTCGGCAAATTACGTAAAACAAAATATACAAAATAAATGTAAGAATTTTTTTTGAACATTCTTGCCCATAAACGGTCTGACTTTAATGATTTTTTTAGGTGTTGTTTTTTGCTTCTAAATTTTTTTCCATTGTTAAATGTAACACTGTGATTTCAGTTTTTCCTGACAACTAGAAAATAATTCATTGCACAGAGGCGGGTGTTATCGTTATTCGCAAGGTATACTCCACTCTACTCTCGCCATGGCTGACAGCGATTTGATCTGCAACTCGAAGTCGTGCCTTAAGCCTTTGAAGAAGACTGCCTGGGTAACAAGCTGTTCCCACGTCTTTTGCCAAGAGGATGGCATCAAAGAGTTACGAAACAGCCCTAATGCAAAATGTCCGGTTTGCGGGACACCTCTCAACCACTCCTCGGACATTGTCAAGGCCGACCTGAATCCGTCCGAGCATTTCAAATCGGTTCAAAATTTGATTTTTCTTTTTATGAATTTTTCAAATAATAATTTTTGCATTTTGCAGATGGTGCTCACCGGTTTGAGTCCTGAAATCGTGATGGACATTGTAAATAGGTCGTTTTCGTTCTGGACGTACCAGAATAACCTGACCAAGAAGTATCAAGAAAGTGTGATTAAGAGTTACAAAGAAAAGTTGAGCAAGTTAGAGAGCTCTTATGAAATACTGGTGGCCAAAATCCAGCAAGAAGTTTGTTTGCTGAAGAAAAAAGTTGAAGGTTAACATTTAAAATTATAATGGCTATAAATTTACAACTATTGTTTAAATACCTTCCAGAATTGGAGAGGGAAAAAATGAATTTGCTGAACAAGCTTGAGGAATCTGCGCAGAAGATGGCAGAGAAAAATCGCGAGAACCAAAAGCTGCATGTGTGATTATTTTCAATAATTATTACCGTCATTCTAAATTCAGAATTAAAATTTTCAGAGCGCTTGCAATGCAATTCGAAAGGCCAATCTTCACTCTTCCAACAATCAAGTGAATTATCTTCCCGAGTCTTCCGATGACAGAAATGTGTACTCGATCACTCCGAAAACCATGAATGACCTCTTGCCTCGGCGCCAACCTAGTAGCCAGATGCACTTGAACGTCCAAATGCAACCAGGCAATTTTACTCCACGGAGGAGCAACACCCAGACAATGGGGGCCCCTGGTAGAAGAAAACAGCCCGACATTGCTGGTGAGATTTTCAAGATAATTAAATTCTTAAAAAAATAATAATAAAAACACTCACACAATTTCAGGTTTCAGCTTCAAACCTGTGGCACCAATTCGCGACAGTGGCAGTCCTTTGGATTTCACCCCTTTCATGGCACCAAAGGCTCCCAGAATGGATAAGTGATTTGATGTTCTTGATTTAAATGCAATTAGAGTATGCATCAAAATCGACTGGTTTTTATCTCTTGAAGAGAAAAATGTTTTGATTTAAAAAAAATTAAGCATTAGTAATTCTGTTAAAGTTAAAGTAAATCACTTTATATTTAATTAAATTTCAATGAAGGGCTCAATCTTGATTTCTCGAAGAAGTTCGCCCATAGGTTGTTCCCAACGTTTTTCATAATAAACGTTAAGCAGAAATTCTGCATTTTTTGCTGTTGAAAGAGCCCACGGAAGGTATGACTTTAAATAGCGTTGCCTTTGTCTGAAATAAATGGTACAAATTAATTTAAAGTAACTGATTTAGAGTTTAATTGTCAACTACTTTGTTTTGAAACGCAAGGGTCCAAGGATGGCACCGCTCATGCACATTGGCAGACCAGTCTGGATTCCTTCCACCCATTTCACAGCAACTTCGCCTACAATTATTATTTATATTAATTGATTACGGAAGAATAAATTTTTTAAAGCAAACCTAGCATGTTTGTTGGCATGCCAAGGACGGTGTGGACTAAATCGTGAACTTCTCTGTACCTCTGCATCACATACGCTAATTCAATATCATCAACAAACTGGACAGGCGTCCTGGTATCTGGAGTCACTTTCTAAAATTAAACTTAAAATTTGATCTAAACCAATACAAAATAAAAATGTACATTGTCTTCCAGAAACTTGATGTAAGCCCGACCAAAAGTGTTTGGTGGAAGTTTCTTAAGCGCATCGAGATCAACAGTTCTTGAGTTGATTCGGGGTTTTTCAAGCAAAATCTGCTGACCTTCGTTGCTTGCCATCATTTTTTCGTGCATCCTCTGCAATGCCAGTTGCCCAGAAGTCTCACCAAACACTCCGAGAGCATCTGCAAATTTTAATTTTATAATTGAAAATTTAAAAAGACAAATTAATTATTTTTATTAAACCTGGCCGTCCTGGGTTCAAAAGCGTGATTATTGCTGAGCCAGCTGACAAAATCAGCTTTTGAGCTGGCGTTGAAGGAATATAATGTTTTTCAAAGTCGGCAAGGTATGGATTGTCATCTGCAGAGCCTGAAGTTGTTGAATCGTCACTTTCGTGTGGTTGTTCGTCCGCTGCGGTTGCATTACTTATCCTTTGTCTCCTCGCTACAAAGCTGCGCCCTTAAAATTGATAGAAATTTAAAATTTTAATTATAATTCAGAATAGAAAAATATTACTTTACTATTATTAAATCAAATTAAGTAGTTACGTAATGAGAATTACAATAATACACAATGATAACACAGAGCATATAAGGAAGAAATAAAGGAAAACTGTTAAAAAATGACATTATTTATGGATTTTTTAAAATTACTTACAGCTCCAAGATTCTTGTAGAATTTTTCGAGACGTTAAAAACATTTTTGCCAGGAGAGATTAAACAATTATTAAATACTTTTTAACCTTGACAATAACTCTTTGCACACTTCAATGTTTTGGTTTTTAAATTTCGCGGTGCTACGGCGCCCTCGAGAAGCTCGATGAAGAACAAAAGGCCAGACGTAGGTGGTGGGGGAAAAACATTTTTTAAGGAAAATGGCGATCTGTTTGTAAATAATAGAAAATCACGGGAGGTAAGCGGTCGGTTTTTTGCTTTTTATGAATTAGAACTTGATTATTTGCTTGAATTTCTATTTAGTTTCTCGACATAGAAGTCGCTTGTTTCGATTTCATTATAAATTAGCAAGAAATTTGCTAATGTTGTGTTACGAACCATCTTCTAAAGTTCAAGGACTTCTGCTCTTGGAAACTGGCATTTCAAAATTTTCACTTTCTTCCAGGGAAAGTGAATTCAGGTACCTGATGCGCTTTTGAGTGCGCTGAAGAATTCTTGGTTGGGAAGAAAAATGGATTTCACAAACAGCAAGTTCAGGAAAAAGCTGGTAAAGTTATCAACAAAACTTGAAATGCATAGATTTTGTTAATTGATTCCTCAATTGTTATTCCAGAGCATGAACAAGTACACAAACAAGGAGCAATACTTAGTGGACGCGGCTGCGTTTGCCCAACTGGTAGCTGATGACCTCGGAGACCCTGAGGCAGAAAAGCTGTTTTGCCCAGCTTTCAAAATCAAGTCCTGCGGGTGCATGCAACGCTTCATCACGGGAGGAGATGGTTAAAATGATCTAAAAATTGCAATTACTGAATTAAATGTGTTTTTAAACTTCCTCAGATGAAGATTTTCCATGCGAAGGATCTCGGGAAAGAGCAATAAGTCTGCTGCAACTGCACAGGGAGGCGCAAGTCCACAAAAGCTACATATCCACGGAGGTAAGATAAAAAAAATTAGTAAAAAAAATTGTTAATTAATGCTTGATTATTTTGTCCACAGAGCAGGGAAAAGGGTGATAAGCGGGTGCTGCGAATGCTCAGGGCGGAGGGTTTTGAACAGTTCATTCTGGAGCACAGGATTCACGTCCGGCAGGAATTGGGACTTTGCGAAAGGGCCAGCCAGAAGCTCCTTATGTACTCAAACAACTTCCTTCACAAGGATCTCAAAACTGGACCTGAAAAGTAATTGATTTTTTCCCATGAAACACAGGAAAATCACACGTTTTAATCAATCAGTATCATTTTCCCATTTAATTATAAAATGTATAAATTTCAATAAAAACAAATTTTGCAAACAGGGGTCCTCGCATCAAACGCCTCGGTGGAAAACGCATCCCGAAAATACCTCTCATGCCGATTCACAGCGTTGCCACTGAAGCTTGCTGCAAGGAATCGTGCGTTCGACTGGCCATCACGATGTACGACAAGGTCGATTCGTGGCGCAAAAATTCTCTCCAGAATCAGCAATTGCTCAGGAAGGTGGTCACAGAAATGTTGACCTTCAACACTCATAGATGTCTGTGCCACAAGTTCATCTCATTGGTCACTGGTAAGAGATAAAATTAATTAAGAGTACAATTTAATTTCATCTTTCTTGATAGGATGCAGCTTCTCTTTGGTGTCCAAAGTGAAGGAAATGCTGAAGAGCAAAGGACACAAAATTTCGAGTTCAAAAAACTCGATTTCGCCGGGAAAAAGTGCAAGTAACTTGGACGTCCATGACGCCCTGATAAGTGAGGAACAATCGCTGGAGAGGTCGGAAGACGCAAATGCAATCTACTTCAAAATGGAAGACGATGACGACGACGAAGAACTGAGCAACTCAGGAATCTACCACCAGGAAGTGGCAGCTTTAAACGGATCTCACACTGAATACACAGACAATGAAGAATTTAACGTAAGTTAATCAACTTCCTAAAGATTTCACCTAGAATAATTGTTGGAATTTTAGAAAAGCGAGACAGACGACTATCAGCTTGACTCTTCAAGCATCAGCCAGTACCTGCAGAACCGCAACGAAATGTGGAACCCACTCTCGATTGACTGCCCCTCCGTATTGGGCCCCAGCATGGTCAAAGTGACTGCCAGTGTTGAATCTCCACCCCAGACCAAAACCTTCACTGTTCTCGGTCCAGCGTCGACCAACCCAGGGCCAGTCGACGTCACTCCCAACTCAGAATCGGCCTTTCCCAGTAGGTTCAACAACAATCAAAGCAAATTCATTTCAATTTTAGTAAAAACTCTTCATTATTGGAATGATCTGCTTATTTTTAATACACAATCTATGTAATCATTCGTCCGTTTGTTAAAACACAAAACACAAGCAAACAAGGATTATCACAACTCATTACATTATTTTTTAAACAAGGGCCGCTTTACTTCAGGGGAAAAATTGTCTTTGGTTTCAATTAATATTTTGTTTTCTCTTCGCAGTGATCTTCTTGCCAGAGGCCATGCAGGGTCAGGCCATCTCGATTATGACCGCTGGCGACGCAATGGGCGAGTTTGCCGGGCAAGAGGGCTACCAGAGTTTAGTCATTTTGCAACCGTCGGCCATCAACGCCACTTATGTGCATGAGTAGGCACTCCACCTCTTCGCACTCTCTTCTTTTGTAACAGATGCTCAACTCGAATATTTTTTGATATGCCATTTTACGATAGAGACACCTTCTTCCGACGAGTATTTTTGTGTGACGCCGACAAAAGTCGTTCTCAGGGCAATGCAACACAGAGTAATAATTATTTTTAATCGAGAAATGCCAAGCATTCCACAGAATGATAGCGATAGTTTTCCCAAGTGTGGTGTCCTCCGTACAGGAACGTGACAATTGTGAAACGTATATACTTATGTGTCATAGTAGTTGATAGCAGAGAGATTCATTTTTTACAATGAGAGATATTATTATAAAATACATTTGATGAGAAAATATTTGGGAAAAATTGTATTGTATTTTTGTTCTATTTAATTTGAGAGATTTTATGTGTGACGGCATTGAATTGATATGACGGTGTTTACTTTAGCCCCGAAATGCTAATAAAGACATTTACGATTCTCTTTCATTGTCACGTTTGTCATTTCGATCAACTCTGGCCGTACTTTTGTCGGAACTCTTTCTCCACCTCGGCAACGGTGTCTCTGAGCACCTGATTGAAAATGGTGTCGACCAGCTGGCTCTTGACGGCCGCCTCGTCCATCTCGTAGTTGGTCCACGCCTGCTCCTCCTCTTGCGCCTCCCGCACCAGCAACTCGTCCACGTGGTCGCGCCGCTTTCGGCTCCACCGAATGATGAGCTTTTCCTTCCGGCGTCTCTCGGTGAAGCCGAAAAGATTGCACACTTGGTTCTCCACCCGCAACTGCAACTCCTGCAGACTTTTCGGGCGCAGGAGTTCATTCCGTCGCTTGACCGACGCCGGCTCCAACCACGGAGACAGATTTTCTTCTGGCAGGCTGTACGCCTCTTCAACAAGTTGTTTTCCAAGGTCTGACAAGAATCTGCAATGATAATTAAGGAAACATTATAAAATATTTATAATATCTGATAAAAATAGATAGAAATCTTAAAAAATTCCTATAGATAAGGAATTTTTAACATTCATTTTTCAATTTTTTCTCTTTTGAAGTTGAAATCATTCTTCTTTGTACCAACCAAATTTTTAAATATTTATTAAATAATCTTAAAATATCAGAATGATAGTAAATTTAAGAAATAACATTATTTTATAACATATATTTTGCTCCATTTTTTTTTTAAATTCGCTATTTTAAATATGTATCTCTGGTCTAAGAAATTACAATGTTAATCTAAAAAAAGTGTGAAGTGGAAATGTTTGTAAAAAAACTCGCCTGTTATAAATGGCGTGCGGCTCGTTGGGGTCCTCGTTCTCTGTCACCAGCGGCTGGACCGCGCCGAGGTCTCTGCCAGCGAGTCTGGCGTGGTAAAACCTCTCAGTGGCAGTGAGCACCAGAGGGAGGATCTCCTCCTTGGTGTTGGGCACCGCCACTGACAGAGAGTCGTCATCCTGGCTGCGCGGCGTTTCGCCCGGAGGGGTGTACGGCGGTGGTGGCTTGTTCGGAATTTCGCGCACATAGCAATATGAGAACTGCTGCGACTGCAGTAGTTGAATCTGCAACATCGATTAATTAACACCAATCAGCACAAAGTAAATGGCATTTTATTTTGTATACTAAAAGAAAGGAATATAATTCAATAAAAATTTGAGAAAGAATTAATTATTAAAAAAAATATTCATTCATGTTTTGCATTCTGCATTTCTTTCAATGCTTCCTATACACAAAATAATAATAAAAAACTTTTAACTTTAATTTAGTTTATGTTCTTCTGATGATCTCATTATACAATGAAATGATGTATGAAAATTTTTGTTTAATTTTTCAACAAATTGTCAGTTCTACTGTAAAAAGCAACCAATTTAAATAAATAAAATTGAAAAGAATGTACTAAAATTTGTAAATTAATAGAATTTTTTTTTAATTAAAATAATGAATTGAAAAGAATAAGAAAAAAATTAATGAAACAGAAACTGCTATGTACTTAATGTACTGAAAAATGTGTATTGAAGATTTAACATTTATTGTTCAATTATTTTTAATTTATCTATTTAAATTCAATTTAAAAAAAATTATAAATAAAAAACTAAAAAAAGTAAATTTATCTGAAAATTTTTCTTATTATAAGTAAGAAATTTTGATAAAAAGATAATATTAAAATAATTTGAACAATTTAAAATAAAAAACTAAAATTTCAATGAAATTTCAATATTTTTTCAATTCATTAAAGTAATTAATTCACCTTTTGATAAGGCTTTTTTGTATTATAAAAATAAAAAATGCTTACCTCCTGCTCAATTTGGAGCTGCTTGAGTCTGAGTTGTTCGGCCTCTTTGCGGGTGCTGCTGAGTCCAAAGTCTTCGTCGAACCACTCCTGCGCAGGGTCGTCCTTGCCCGGCTCCTCTTTGGACGCCGCCTCAGTCTTGTCCTCTTTCAGACCCTCCTGCAGATCCACCTGCGATTAAATTTTGAACATAATCAAAATGATCAAGTTTTAAGAAGAAAACAAAATTATTTGGCGAAAAAAAGGACCTTTAACCAGCGGCGGGAGCTCGAGGCGCCCCGGCCCATTTCGCGGCCCCTACGCGCGCTGCATGGGGACGATCGGAAGCAGCCGATCGGCAAAATCGACGATCGAAGCTGCGGCGGCGGAGGCAGACAGTCGGGTCTATTTCAGAGGCGACAGACATCTATTTCTGATCACCCCTCGCTCATTACGGCCCATAAAATTATGCGGCGGACCGACCGCGCGCAATGAATGGTCGGTCGGACGAAAACTGGATTTCGGAACAAAAGTCGCGATTTCAGAGCTGCGGCCGAAACAACAAAGTTGTTGTTTACGTGGCCGCGGCCGTGCTTCTTCCACCGCTACTCTCGCGGCTCAATATGCTGCTGACCAGACAAAATAAAACGCGCCTCTAATTATAGAAATAAGTGACTAAGCCGGCGGATCGACGCCGCCGTCGAACCGTCCGAAGAAAAAAGTCGAGGGGCACACGCCAGGTTCGCACTCCGCGCGCCCCGCCGCCACCATTCATCTCAATTGGATCTTTTTGGCAAAAGCCAGAGACAGTGACAATCATCATTGACTCGTTGCTCTCGGCACTTCATTAAGTGAAAGCAAAGCGAAAAAAGTAAAAAGAAGAAAAAATGGGATTATTTTCTTCAATTTTTTTCTTATTCAAAATAAGAAGCTTTGATCTGGAAACTTTAACGCGATATAGAACGAAAAGTTTTGACATGAAATTCCAGATTTTTTTTGCAGAGCATGAATTTATTTTTAACAAAAGAAAAGTAGAATTAAAAAAATTATTTTAAAAACTATAAAGCGCAAACAAAAATTTAGTATGAAATGTGCTCTTTATTTTAGAGATTATGGGTTTGACACTAGACGCGATGCTTGTCGACCTTTTAGTTTTTTTTTTTAAATTTTTAGAACGCTTGAATTTACTACGTTAAGAGGAAGAAATCATGCCGATGCTAAAATTTTGTTGCTGTTTTCACCAGAAGATTACTTTTACTTTGATTCTCTAAATATTTCCTTAAATTTTCGCTGTCAACTTTTTAAAACTGTAAAATCTTTGAATTTTTTTTACATTTAAATATTAAAATCTCTGCTGTTTTTTTTTTTTTAAATTACAGATACTCATTTTTCATTATTTTCCTTTTCATTTTTAATTCTTTAACGAAAAAAACAGTTAAATCTTCTATCCAGAATTTGAAATTAATTTAAGAATAATTATTGCTGTATTTCTTATAATTGTGTAAATTCTTCTGACACTTATTATTGCCCCTTATCAGAATTACAGAAACATTAGTCATCCCGTAATATCAATATTGATAATCTTTCCAAATGATAATTCCAGAAATTTTAAATCATAATATTATTAAAAAAAAATTCAAAATTATCAAGATTTAAAAGAAAAATTTGCTCACCTTTTGAAGCGAAGTTGGCGGCGAAATCACGATGGGCGAAGCTGCAGACAGGATTTCTTCACACACTCCAGGCACCTCAAACCCTTAAAATGCATACAAGAAAGCCTTCTAAGTACTGCAATAAAGTGTGCCTCGCTTTTCTTTATCGACTTGCAAGGCAATATTAAAATTCACGTCGAGTGAGGAGGCTTTCGGGAGTAATAACAAATTTTGATTTGGTGAAAAAAAGAATAATTGCGCTGCATCTGCGAGGCACAAGGAGAGGAGCAGTGCGAATTGATGTTGTTTTTTATTTTGGATATCTTATCAATTCGGGATTAAATTTTCTACGCCGCACGCACTGTCACAACCTTGTGCTCTTTACGCAGCCGAGAGATGAAATTTTATGCGGGTAAACACGCGGCCGCATGAATGAGTTGTTAACGCATGCAAATTGCGGTACCAATTTTACAGTCTTAACCCCGCGGGTCAGACCAGTCACGGCACAAGAATGAAAGAACGACTGTTATGTTTGGTAAATGATTAGTGGCGGCTCAAGTCAATATAAATTGCATTCGGAAATAGTTAAAAGTTATTAAGTTATGCAGCTGTCCAAAATTAGTTTCTGGTTAATTTCATTTACAGTTAATTGGGGTGTTAATGGAATTGTTGGTTCATTCAAAAGGCTCCTCAAAATTTGCTAATTCTTAGGGGGGGAAAAACATTTTTAATGAATTATTGAAAAGTCAGAGATTTATTTCATTACAAATCCAAGTTAGTGGATAAATATATAAAATTTAAAATTTTTTGATTGAAAATAAAGCATTTTTTTATTTATTATTATTTTAATTCAATCTATAAATGAGTAATTAAATCAAACGAAAATTTCATAAGTTAATAAAATAAATTAATTTCATTAATTGCAAATCTGATTTTGAAGAAGCCTTAAAAATTAATTATATTTTAGTGGGACATGCGTTGAAATCGAAACCATTCCAATTTGAGTTTTACCTTTCACCCCAATTGGACATCGATTCTGAAATAAACAGGCGAGATGAAAAAAGTAACACCCAATCCGAATCGAACAATTCGCCGCCAATGAGAGCTCAAACGTTAGCATTTTTTGCCGCTTGAAATCGAAATAAATTTTTTACCTGGCTCTGGAGAAAGCGAGTCCTCAACAAAAGTCAGTCCCATGAAGTCTTGGGGCCTGTTCTTGTCCCTGGGCGAGCCGGCGCCGTTCTCCGCCAGCAGCGAATGCACCCGGTCCAAGATGCTGCTGGTCGGCGGACTAATGGACTTGACCCTGCGCAATAAATTCATTCAATCGTCAAACCAAATTGCGCTCTTGACCTTCCCAAAAGAAATACTGACCTCTCTGGCTCTGGCTCTTTAACCGTTTCCGCTGTCACCACCTCCAACTCCTCCCGCAGACTTTTCTCCTTCCCCTCCTCCCGGTCTGCTTGGGCCAGACGGAGAGTGTCTTCGAGCAGCCTCCTCATCAAACAGTCTGTGATTTTGTCCACTTCTTCCTCGTCCACGATTTTCTTCAGGCTGGCGACGCTGGCCAAAATCTGCTGCTCCTCAACAATTTCAGAGACTGATGAGGACTTTCGCGGAGTTTCGATTGTTGTCTCAACACTGGCTTGTGAGCCTTCGATGCTCACAGGACTGACTGCTTCACATTTTGCCAATGCTTCGTCAACTGCTTCGGAAATAAGAGTTTCCTCGTTAACTGTGTCCTCTGCATCTTCTTCTTCTTCTTCTTCGAGGGTCTTAGCAGTTTCCAGTTTAGAGACGTTTAAATCAGTTGGAATGTCAGGAATGTTCTCGGAAGTAAGGACTGGCGTCAAATCTTGGTCAAGAACTTCAGGGGTCATGGTTCTCTCTTCACTTTTTTCCTCTTCTTTCTCCTCTGACACATTTTCGACTGTTGACTCTTCGTCTTCCACCTCAGTTTTGATAATTTCACTTTCTTCGCTGACTTCAACCTCACTCAGAACTTCTGGCGGACTTGAAACTTTTTCACTTTCAGTGCTTTTGACGTTGGCAGAGAGTTCCTCCTTCACTTCTGAGCTTTCATGTGTTGACACCTCTTTAATTTCAGATTCAACAATCTTCAATTGCTCAGTGATCTTGACCTCCGCAACCACTGTTTCAAAATTGTCCATTTTCACCGGGCGCACTTTTTCAGCCACTCGGGGATGCTTGATTTGCGGCTTGACGCTGTTGCCATTCTCAAACTCCTGTTCGAGTTCCCGTCTTGTTTCTTGGATGTACGTGTCATATGCCTATCATTAAAAATAAATGATAAAATTTGGTTTTTGAAATAATTAATAGTATATTACTTGAATTTGTTTCAAAAGGGATTGCTCCTTGGCCCTCAGGCGTTCTCTGTGGCATCGTTTCTGTTCTTTTCGCAGTCTCTCAGCCTCCATTTTGCGCCTCCTCAGTTGCTCCTGGAGTGCGCAAATCCGACTCTCAACGTCGCTTTGCTCCGAAGCAGTTTCTAAAATATAAAGTTTATAATTGCAAATCTTGATGGAAAAACTTCTAAATGTACCATTCTGTGAAAGGACTATGGATTCATCTGATCCACTCGAATGTCGTCTCTTTTGTCGGTTGTGCAGGCGTGGGGACAGGGGCACTTTGATTGTAATAGGAGTCTTCACGCTCTTGGCGCTGCTCTCCTGAGACAACTCTTGAGCCGAAGAAGACGCCTCTTGTTGGGTAGCAATGGTACTCGCCTCCTTACTTACTTCTAAGTCTTTTGTTGCTGCTTCCAAGGAGGAAACTTCGATTGGTGTCGGACTGCAAAAATAAAATAGTTTAGAGGAAAAATTGAAATGAAAATTCAATTTATACCTTTGTGGCTCATAAATTTCAGAATCAGTTCGGACAACAATCTGATTTGATTCTTGAGCACTGTCAATCGATTCAGGAATTGTTGCACTCTGAGTAACTTCAACAGAAGGTTGAACTGGAGAAGTACTTTGGTCTGAGGAATTTTAATAATCAAACCCATTGTTTCATAAGAAATAAAAAAACCATACCATTGTAAGCACTTTGCTTTGTGTCATGTTTTTGCAACTTTGCAGCCTTTTCCTTGCCTTTTGATTCAGACTGCCTTTTTCCTTTTTCTCCCCTTTTCAATCCGTTAAGCACATCTCTCAAGCTTCCAGTCCCTGTGTCCTCAGCTCCTGAACTTGCTTTGCTCTGGGAAAGGTCACTTGTGTCCAACGAGATCGACGCTCCACTACTTTCTTCTTCGCTCAGCTCGGGAACTGCCCATCGAGATGGCTCCAGCAGGCGTTGAGACTGAAAAAAAGACATAATATTTTTGACTAAATTAACAAAAATAAATAATTACTTTAGTGGAGAGGTCTTTCCCGTGAAGTTTGTGAGCGATTTCCTTGGCTGCCAATTTCATTTTGGCAATGTGGTGCTGCTGCTGCAACATCAGCTTCCTCTCCTGTGAAGCAATTTTGTGGGATTCACGCAATCTTTTGATTTCATCCCTCTCTTGGTTCAAACGCAAAAGGATTGCCCTTTGCCGCTTTTTTATCCCTGGTATCAAATTCTCAGTCCCCTGAAGACGCATCTCCCTAGAAATATCACATGATTAATTTGTCTCAATTGTTTAAATAAAATTTTACTTTTTCTGATTTTCTAAAAAAATGAGCTCAGCTTTGCTCTTTTCGTAAATTGCATCCTCTCGCTGTTTCAAGAGAGCTCTCTGTTGACGAGCTCGCAGCTCCTGATCTCTCACAAGCTGCTGAAACTAATTTTTTTCAAATTTGATAAGTGATTTCAAATTATGTTCGTAATTAAAACTTACCATAGCCAAAGAGAAAACTGTGAACGAATCTTGGTCTCCTCCACTCCCACCAGAGGAGTATTTTGGAGAATCCTTGGTCGAACTCAAACTTTTAGACTTTGATAGTCTATGAGGTCGATCTACACAATAGCAAATTAGAACGCAAGTTTCCATTAAATTTTTATAATACCTTGTCCATTAATTTCTGTCAGGACATCAGACACAGTAGGTGTGTCACTTCCAGGTGGCAAATCTTCGGCAATTTCACTTTCCTCCTCAAACTTTGATGAATAGTCTACAAGAAATTTGGATAAATATATAAAACCCATAAGGAATTCTCAGATCAAACCTCGTTCACTAATCTCTTCAACAGATTCTTGTTCAGCCAAAATTTTTAAGCTGCCTTGGGCTGATTGCACACTCATCTCAAACTCCATGATGGCTTCCGTTACTCTTGGTAAACCACCGGAAGACGTTTTCTCCGAAATCACTTCAGCATCCTTCTTGTCCTGGGAAGTTGAGAAGAAAATATAAATCCAAAAAATCAAAGCAAAATAGTAATCAAACCTCTGTGATTGTTGATGACGAAATTTCTGAATCATCCTTGATATCGTCAATATCGTCCCCTTCCGTTCCTTCCTCATCAATCGACGGAGATTTCGGAATGAGATTCTGAGCTTTTTCAGTCAATTTAGGAACGACTAAGCAAATATTTTCCAAGGTTGTTGTCAACTGAGGCAAGACGTCCTAAAAATAATACATTTAAAATTTACAAAGAGAGTAGTTTTTTTTAAATACTTGAAGCGTTGGGGGTTTTTTGGGAGAAATTTTCGGAGGCTCCATCAATGGCAGGGGCAAGTTAAAAAGAGCCCTCGTTGCATTCATTTCCTCTCCTAGCCTGGTGAAGCCTGCTATGATGGAGGCTTCGAGCTCCTCAATGCTCTTGTTCTGGAAGCAGGCTCTGATTTCGCTGACCGGCGGCGTCTCAAAGAGATTCATGGCCGGCTTCTTGAGGTGCGGCACCTTGATGGTTTTCCTTCCAGATTGGTAGACTGTGTACGAGACCATTTTAGCGTCTCCTTGACTCCTCTCCACGGACTTGGCAGACACTTCTGACTGTATTGACGAGGAACTGATTGTGCTGGCAGAACTTGCAGACTGACCTTCTGGGCCCGAAGCCGGTCTCTGGCCATTCAAAACGTCCCCCTGAACAACCAAACCCACATTGGGCGGCACCAATTGTGAGGGTGAACTGACGGACGTCACTGACGACGACGACTCTTTGGCCGCTATTTTGGAAATCTCCTCATTCCGGTCTGGTGTAATTGACACCAGAGAATGACGAGAACCTGGTCTTGAATCGGAGCCTATGATGATTTCCTCGCTCGGAGAAATGGAAAGGTCGGAGCTTTCAAAGTCACTTTCGTACTTATTGTTTTCCTCCTCTGATTTGCTTTTTTCCGGTGATTTCAGTTTGATTTTTTCAGCACCCAAATTGGCCGCTTCAGACAATTTTCTTTTCACGGTTTGGATAAAACTGAAAGGGTCCGGCTTGGTTTCTCTCAGGCACTTTTCCAGGAACTCAAAAGAAGGCACAAATTTCGGCGGTGCAGCCTTCACGCTCTGTTTTACTCTCCGAGACATTCGCTTTCGGACAAGATGCCCTCGAAAGGCAGCCTGGATTTTTGTGGCTGCTGAATTTGCCTTGATGCAGGTTGAGACTTCGTCCATCAGTAAATTAGTTCGGCTGAGGATTTCCTGGTGGGCTGGACGAGGCTGATGAAGGTTGACAAAGTCTTTAATGAATTCATCAGACAATCTGTTGTTGCTTGACTCCCGCATTGAGGAGTGCCTGCTCGAGACGGACGGCGACTTCAAATTGTTGAAATTCAACTGCAAGTCTTTCATCACAACTGGAGACTGGGAAAAGTATTTCTCCTCTGCAGATTTGTGTTCCTCCTGGGTATGCTTGCTTTGTTTCACGTTCGCCTCTAGTATTTGCTTCGTTCTGTTCTGCAGTTGGAAAAGTTGCTGCTTGGTTTTCTCCTCCTTGTTTTGCTTGTCCTTTTCAATTTTGCTTTTTTCCTGCAGTCGCTGTCGTCTCTGTTGGCTGATGTACTTTTTCACCTGCACAGGGTCGTAGTGCCTCACCTTGGGCTCCGGCATTTTTGGTGCTGTTGATTTTAATTGATTTTAAATTCAGTTAAATTAAAATAAAAAAAATTAATGCTACAATTCAATACAAATAAAATTAAGCCAATTAACAGACTATAATAATTTTCAAATAAAAAATAATTAATTACCTGGAGGAGACTTGGCTTTGAAGACAAATCTCACTGGTGTTTTCTTGGGCTTTTCCTGCCTATTCTGCTTATTTTCCGCGTTGTCCTTCTCATCCTCAGACTCGAAATCATCGCTGTAAACGTCATTGTTCTTGTTCTGATTTTCCGTCGTTTTAATTTCCTTCAGGATTTTCAAATCTTGTCGCCACGTCGAGGGAGTGATTTCTGAAAACGAAGAGGCAGAGCGGCTTTTAGAAAAAAAAAATATACAACAACACAAGCAGCAAAGAAAGAGGAGAGCGAAAAAAAAAATCAAGTCCGCGCTGCTACTTCAAGCGCTCTCCAGCAGATGCCGAAGAGAGTTTCGTTTCAGTAAAATTGTTTCTTACAATGTGACTAAAGCAGCTAATGCATTCTGATGAATTAATAAAATGATGTTATATTTTGCATATCAATACAAATCAACCAAGATAATATTATTATACTTTTTATTTTTTGTAATTTGAATGGAAAACTGATAATTATAAAATTAAATTGAATTAAAAACTTGGCTTTTAAGAATGGAAAAACATACCAAAATTTTGGATTTTTATTAGGAAATCAATTTCAAATCAATTTTGTGTCACAAAAGGACTAACTTTTGAGTAACTTACAATTAATTTCTTAAAGGTCAAAATTTTGGTATTTATTCCATTCTTCAAAGTTTTAGTAAATCCAGGGAAAACTTCTTAAACATATTATTAAATACAGTTCTTATACTGTATAATTCTGACTGTTTACTATATTTTTAATATCTATGATTTTTGAATAAAATAATTATAAACCTAACATATTATGTGTTTATATTATGGGAAGAGAAAGCCTGTTGATAATTAAATAATTAAATTATATATTATAAACTAAATTAAATAAATTTTAATTTTTTTTAAATTAAATATATTTTAAAGAAAGAGTAGCTTTAAAATATTGAAAAAAAATATATAAAAAACTAGGATAATTCTATATTTAAATTTATTTTCCGCCGAGATCTTTGAAGTGCAATTTTTTGCCATATATCAATGACATTTTGTGCTATTTAAGTTTTCATTTTGCATTCAAATAATTATGGATTATTTTTACTATAGCCTATGCGTGGCTTCCATTTTTAAACACCTCAATCTTGATAAAAATAAGTGAAGTTTTGAAAAAGAATGAGCCGAGTCAGCGAGCAGACTTATTGGCATGCAAAATTACCGCTCTTATCCCGCTCGAATCGGAATAAATTGCCGAAGATGAATGAACATGAACAAAGAGCGAGGCCCGCACACAATATAAAGCAAAGAGAGCTTTCTTCCCTCTCAGCTATTTGAAATAAGCAGCAAAATTAAATCTCCCTAATTTTGCGATAAACTCACGTACTCGCAAATAACACCGAAATAAAAAGTGAAACCAGTAGAAAAAAAATATTATCCACGGACAATTTGGTTCGGCGCGTGAGCGACGTGCATGGCGAATATTTTATCTGTCAGCCTCTTTTAATTTTCTTTTTGCTGCCGGACGAAAATTATTTTCAACAAAGAATGCTGCAAGGGGGGCCGCGGCTCATTTTCAATTTTTCATGCCTCGCTACTGCGAGAGTCGATTGTTGATGCATTATTATTATTAAATAGGCCCCCGTCGCTTTTTCATGCAAAATCATTACCTGGTTTATTTTTTACGGGCTTCGGAGGCGGCGAGGGCGTTTTTCTTGTGGCCTTGGAGGACACCAGGTATCTGGGCAGGGATGATTTGAAGAGATTTTCGTCTGGGCTCGGAACCGTCGCCTCCCGAGAAGTCTTGATTTTGGGCTTCCGCACGTTGAGAGGTCGTTTCTTCACAACGTTCGCAACGGGGGTGACTTTCCTCGGCTGGTCTCTAGTTGGAGGGCTGATAACTTTTGCAACTGAAACAGAAGAAGAAGAAAATGCATAAAATTTAAATTTTATTCAAGCAAGATCTGATCAATTGTTAATTTAATGAATTTAATAGATATTACCCTTTACCCTTTGCATAAAGACTGAGCTCCCAATCAATAAAGCTTTTTTTAAAAACAAATTATCAATAAAGAAGTGGGCTCTTTGACTATATTATTTAATAATTACTTTCAATCCCGAGTAAAAATATATCAGGTAGCTTAACGCAATGATTTTCATTTCAATTAACAAAAAACCTTTTGAAAATAATAATTAATTAATTATAAATTATTAATAAAAAAACAATTAAAATTTATGCATTTCAAATTAAAATAAAGCATTCTTAAAAATAAATAAATTTATTTTAATTATATAATATTAAAACTACGAGTTTGTCATGATTTTTTTTTAAGTTTCAATAATTTATTTTTATTTTATTTTATACAATTCATAATTTATCAAGCCAATTTTTTTTACCAAATACTATGGTAAATGGTATATTAATTTTGTAATTGGCAAATTAAATATTTGGCAAAAGTATAAAGATCAGGTTGCGTGACTTGCGGCGATCAATCGGTCCCGACAAATTGAAAGGCAATAATCAGGGTTGTTCACCGGCCGATTAATGGCTGCAGTTGACCTGCTTCGGTCAAGTAGTACCACATTTTTCGCGTCAAAATCGATCAGAAACTTAATGAGTTACGCGTAGTAAAAAATACACCGACAAACGGCGAATGCTATTTTTCGGATTTATAATTGCGGGGCTATTAAAAATCGGCGCGCGCTGTAATTACACTCAAATTTTTTTCGTATTAATTGCGCTCTGATTTATCATCAACCCTGATAGGCAGAGGTCGGTCGATCGACAGCTTTCACTGCTCGCGAGAGGCGTCGCAGGAATTTTTGGGGCGATTATCGTGTAAAATTTGACTAATGTGTAATTATGATGCACCGTTTGATACTTCGTGAGAGACGCTCCTGTTTTGATCTTGACGATAATTTTCCCACCGAAAGACAAAAAGTGCCTTGGGTGCTGATGAGAAATTCAGAACGTCTGAGAGGAGAAGAAGAACAGCTTCTCGGTATCGACAGCTGATTTCTAAAAATTAGGTTGGGACCAGATAGATTTCCTAAGTGAGTCAAATTTAATTGACACGGTCAGGACGCGATGGGCTAAATGAGTTGAATCCTAAATTATTCGCTCATTTTCTATTCTGTTTAGGTTAAAATTGTTAAAAAAAATACCCATGATCTTAAAATAGAATAAGAGTTTGAAAATCATAGTTTTCTAACTCTAAAAATAATATTTTAAAATTACACAAGATCCAATAAAGGTATTGGAGAACAACTAAAAAAAGCCGATTTTTAATTAAAAAAACATAAATCAACTCCTGATTGGTAAAATTCTTCCACAAAAAGGCATCAAAGTGTATACTTAAAAAATTCAGACAAAACATGAAGTAATTTTTTGTTTTATCATCTTTTTTAATTTTAGGCCTATTTAGGATAATAAATTATTAATTAGCAAAATGATAGAGAACCTATAATCTTCCTTCAGAATCTCTGACACAAAAAATTTACTGCGCAGTGTATAGTTTTAAAGTATAGAGTATAGACTTTTTTTTATCTCAACCAGCTTTTTTATTATCACTAAAAAAACCAGATAGCAAAATTTAATAATTCGTGGTATTGGTCGTTTTCATTGCCATAAAAGATGTCGCAGATAATTAAGGCTGGATGAAATTTTGTCTCCAATTTAAATATTTCATTCACGAGGTGAGAATTAATTTTATATTTTTTCCCTTAACAGGAAGAAGACTTCAAATACTACTGGTATAAAAAATTCAAAACTCAAAATCCACGAATTTTTATCATAACCCAAAGTTTGGTTTTAACCAGGTTTTAACAAATCTGTGCAATTATCAGATTTAAACTTTGAGGGCCTTAAGTGATCCTGATAAGAGCTGATCATTTATTAATAAAAAATAATAAAATTAATTGCAAATTTTGAACTTCGTATCTTAATTTTCTGCAGTTTGGCCAATGGGGTCTCGATTCGAATAGTGGTCAGATGCGTCCGCTTCTAGTACCGGAAGGGGAGTGGCAATTTATTTTACGAAAAACGAAAGACATAATTTTAGAAGCAATTTCTTTAAAAAATAGAAAATTATATAACGAAAAAATTCACCTACCTGAGGCGAGTCGATGAGTGCAGTGACACTTTCGAGTGGTCGGTGCGGCGATAAAATCCATTATTCGCCTTAATTCGGTGAGATATGGGTTGATTGCTGATATTTTTGCCCGATTCGCCATTTTTCCTCCAGCGAGGAAGTTTCTGGAGTTGCCAGCGCTTGGGCAGCCGGCGAGGGAAAAGGAAATGAGGAGGGTTGGGAGGGAGCGCTACCTGCCCAATGCAGCAGCATTGGAATGCGCTCCCACCAACACTCTCTTTCTCTTATCACTCGCCGCTGCCCTTGTGCCCAACAAGTCCTTGGAAGAAAGAAAATGGCGAGAAAGGCGAAAATGTTCATGAATCGTTACCGTATCTCAACGAATTGAGGCAAATGGGGAATTTTCTCGTTCAGCCGACCACTCGAAAAAGGCGCCGCACTCATAAACTGGTCCCAGGTATGTGATTTTTGCTATTATTTTTACAGATTAATGCTTTTTCGTTTATTTTATTTGATAGTGTCACTTTCACACGCTGGTGAAAATTTGAAATTTGCTCCACAGAAACCAACAGCCAATCAAAAGCGGTACTTTTTGAGCCATAATGCGTGCGCTTCTGTTTCGGATATTTCTCAATATCAAGACCCCATTGGTTTGGCTATTAAAATTTGGTTCACAGTGTATCTCTATTATCCTAGGGCGCATAATGCCGATATCTTTCACACTCGATACAGCTATAGCACATGGTATATAAATTGTATTAATATAAATAGAAAATTGACCATAATTTTACGATTTCGCAGGATCTGCTCTTGGCTCCCCCCATGGGCCGGCAAGACTCGGATTCTTTGAGACTGAAGAAGGAGAGAAAAACGCGGACAAGTAAAGAAATGTTGATGTCTAGCTATTTTTAAAACTTTCTTCCAAAGTGTTTTTGTGTTTGTGGCACACTACGATTTTAAGGGTGGCACAGATGATTCGCCACGGCCAGGAGACGAGAAGGACGTTCAGAATCTGAGGGAAACTTTTGAGGAAAAAAGAAACTGTAGATTTCGCGAGTGGTTATCGCCAAAGAAGAAAGATCTGTTAGATCTGCTCGCCGATGGACAAATACTAAAGCAATACTTCTCTTCAGAGGGTTAAAAAAATTAAAATATTAAAAACAGTAAAACCAATCAAAAAATCAAATTTCAGAACAGGCACCGTCGGTGTTCGTTTTGTACATATTGTCTCACGGAAAAGAAAAAGGGGTGATTTCTACAGACACCCCTCACCTCTCTGATCAATATGAGACGTTCAACGCCAAAGAAGTTTTTCATGCACTAAAAGAAACATTTCCTGGGAGCCTCAAGTTAGTTTTTCTTGGAGTAAGTTTCAAAAGCAAATACAAAATTAATATTGGTACCAAATTTAAAATTATTACAGCCATGCAGAGGCAGCTTGGTAGACGAAGTTTTTAAACCTGACGATGTCCGACAGTTTCCAAATGAAAATTCAAGCAGAGTCTTGTTAGAGCCCAAATTGCCAAATTTGGTCATCTTTTATTCAACTGTTGAAAGTAATTGTCTGAGAATCAATGGAAATTCTAATAACGGTTTTATTTATAAACAGCAACTAAGTCGAATCGGGACGGCGGAGGCACCTGGATGGTTAAATTTTCGTGCGAACAATTGAACGAGATGAGAAAAAGCGAAAGTGTTGTAAAGTTTTTGACAGGCGTGCAAAACAGAATTCACTTGAAGACTAGGATGACGTTTTGTGGCGAAGGACAAACGCCTGAATTCAAAATATATTCACAAGACAGAAAATTCACATTTTCTTGCCTTGATAAGTAAGAGCGGCACATTTTTTAATGTTCAAAATCATTAAAAAAGACGTTTTAAATAGTGGAAAAATTGCAGCAAGTTTTCCGCAAACTGGAGCGGATTCCAAAGGGATAAATCGAAGCACAGAAAACGACCAGTCTGATGAACATCGATCAATTAATTATAATTGGCAAAACAAGAAAGCTATTCTCAGACACAGACGTGCACTGATTTTCAAGCAAGGAAGCAAGAATAATGATGTGATTCAAAACCTTGACAGAGCTTTAGAAAACAAACTTGGCTTTGAAACAATGTTAGTGGAGATCGACGAGGCACGCCTGAATCATTATTTCAGCAAATCAAGTACACTTACTTAGTAAATACATTAAATTTTAACGCAATAATGATGTTTTCAGAAAGTGTATGTTGGGATGATTACGGCTGCTTTGCATCCTTTATTTTTGCCGAGCTCATTGAGCTGAAAGACGGAGAAGTTTGCGTTCGCTTGAATGAAAATGTTAATAAGCCCATAGGCGAGTTGATTCACGGACTTCTGGGGCCGAAAAACGACGGCTGGATCGGCAAACCTAAGCTCTTCTTCTTGGTTGATACAAAATACATGGCTTCTGACAGCAATACAATAGTACTTCGAGAAAATGAAGTGTAAGAGTTATTAATGATTTTCTTTTCTAGACACAGACTACAGAACTATATAATTGGGATAAATTAATCCAGGCCACCAATCACAGTGGTTGGCTTGTATTTATCCTCCAAGATAAGAGTGAGTACTATTATAGGTAGTCCACTATTGAAGTTCGCGGGAACCAACTTCGCTGAGCGAACGGAATCGCCGCGCGAACTTTTTTCGTTCGCTGAAGCGTCCACGATTGAAATATGTATAACGTTGTTAGCGCGAAATTACGTCACTATTACGTCACAAGTAATATATATATATATATATATATATATATATATATATATATATATATATATATATATATATATATATATATATATATATATATATATATATATATATATATATATATATATATATATATATATATATATATATATATATATATATATATATATATATATTATTTATCTTTTTTTTACTTGTGTCGTAATAGTGACGTAATTTCGCGCTAACAACGTTATACATATTTCAATCGTGGACGCTTCAAGCGAATCTTTAATTTTCTCCCGATTTGTAGATTTAATTTTTCAGTAAGCTCTCAAATATGTTTTATAACATTCTAGGAAAAAATTAATTTTTTTAAGTTACATAAGTTTAATTATTTTTTTACTTGTGACGTGATTGATAGTAACGTAATTTCGCGCTATCACTATGTTTCAATCGTGGACACTTCAAGCGAACAAAAATTTAGCGCGACAATTCACTGTTCACTCAGCGAAGTTCGTTCGCGCTAACTTCAATCGTGGACTACCTATTAACGTTTCAAAGATTTTTAATAATTTAATTACGATTAATCCCATGAAAGATATCATCCAAGCATTTTTAAAAGTGTTTGAGTGTAAGGAAATTACGATCGAGAGGAGCTTGCAAGAGCTGCTGAGTGATTTACTCGTGAGGTCGAATTGCGGAGATGGCTCAAAAGCGATGCTAGTTTCAACTTTGCCGTACCTTCTGAGTTTTCCAGTATTGGAGAGGCACTTCATTGAACCCTATTTTGAACTTACGGACTTCGAAAATTCTGAATTTATAAAAATCAGCTACGAAATATTCATGGAACACGCATCACACCTCAAAGAAAATAAAATTTGGCTTCTTTCGTCAGTGCCTGGCTCTGGAAAATCCACAGTGATGCGCGAAATCGCTTTTGATTTGCAGAGGAAACTGGAAGGTGGATTTAAGGTTTACACAGTTTCTCTCATCCACACCTATGAACTTTTCTCTGCAGCCAAAATAAATAACAGAGAGGCACCATCACTTGCCTTTATAGTTTCTCACGAAACAGGAATTCGAAAAGAAGATATCCAAAACTTGATCGAAGAGAAAAAAATAATCGTGATGTTTGATGGATTTGATGAAATATGCCCTGAACACCGACAACAGGTGCTAAATTTGTTTGTTGAAACAAAAGTTTCAAACGTTCCAATGTGGATTTCAACGCGACCAAACGAGGAAGGGGCGATTCTTAAAAAGATCGGAAGAGTTAAATCGGCGAAAATTTGTCATCTTGAATATTTTCAGCAGATTCAATTATTCAAAATGATTTCTAAAAACGATGAAGATGCATGTGAGCGCCAGATCAAATTCTATATTGATAATGGTTCTGGTGATATTCTCGGCAACCCCCTTCATTTAAAATTGATATCTGAAATTACAGACCAAGAATTTGAAAGTGTACTTAACTTGTACGATATTTACGAGAAAATCGTCGACAAAAAAATGCGGTTTGCATTGGGACGTTTCAATGAAAAGAACCCTCTCTTCATGGATACACTTTATAAACGTGTCAAACAACTAAAAGAGTTTTCTGCTGAATTCCTTCTGCTGAATGGCAAGAGTTCAAGAACCCTGAAACCTAAAAACAATGGAATAGTTATGGTTTTTAATGAAAACGTCCAGTTTGTACACCAATCATTCATGGAATTCCTCGCAGCTAGTCATTACATCGACTGGGTGAAAAAAAATAAGGATATGCCGTTCAATTTATTCACAGTTGGATTCCAACAAGTTCGTAGGTTTGTTGAGGTGAAAATATCTTCATTGAAACTGGATGACGACCCTGATTTCTTCAAAATACTAAAAAAGAATATTTACTCCAGCTTGCACTTGCAAATCATAATTGAAGAAAATCTGCCAACCATGTTCAAAATCGTTCAGGAACAGGTTACCTTTGGAACAACCGAAAGACAAGGCATATTTCATTGCGCTGATAGCAACGCAATGTTTGAAAAGGCTTGTGATAAAAGCGAAGTAATCGCTTTGGAACTGCTTGATTTGGGGGCATTTGAAACCCTAAAAGAGCCTCATATTGCTGGCATTGAAATACTTGCTAGTGTAATTAGAAACAACTTTGTAAAACTTTTTTCAGCACTGAAAGAAAAATGTTTACAATATGATCTACCCTTGAGGGATCTAGCTCGTGAAAGTAAAAAAATACAGAGCGAAGTAACAATAATAGCTTCAAGAAATCTTAACGAGTTGTTGAGATTAGTTTTAGACGAAGGATTGTTTGATACGCGTTTTGAACCTATCGTTCTAAAATATGCAGTGTTTAATAACAGTGTTGAGTGCGTTGACCTACTCATTGAACACGGTGCTCAAACTGACAGTTCTTTTCATAACGAAGAATTCATAGATAACACCAGGTATTCTGATTTAAAAGTGGAAACGGTAAAGGCACTCCTCAAAACTAAAACAGAACCTACTGAAAACTTAGTAGCAAAAATATTCAGAATTTCCATGAAATATATATATTTCGCTGTTGCAAAGTTTTTGCACGCAACATACCACGAACTGTATCCAGGAGCCTTTGCAGTTGACGTTGAAGTGCTGCACGATGTATCAAAAGAGACAGAAATACTCAAATTTTCAACAGCAACTGCTATGTGCCGCTGGCTGGTTGAAAACTTTAGCCTCGGCGTTAACGACGAGGATGCAAATGGATTGAAAGCATTTCAACACGCCGTCATAGTGGGAAATTTAGAGTTAGTTCAGTATTTCCTCGAAAGAGACAATAATCTCATTAAATCTTTGACCGATGCAGGCGAGAACGTCATGCACTTAGCATTCGCAGATCACAGTAACAGTGTGATGTCTGTGACGTTAAGTCCAACAGGAAAAATAATACTCGAATCATCAAGAAAAAAATTAATTGAATACTTGCACAAATTAGACAAAGATTTGATCAAACAAAAAACCCAATCAAACCAAATGGTGTTGCATTTCGCTGTAAGAGCTAAAAATTTGGATTTGTTAATATTTCTGGTGACTGAAGGAGTTGACCTTTATGCTATTGATGATAGAAGGTGGAATGCAGCTCACTATGCCGTTGACACATTCTTCTTTTCGCTGTCGCAAACATTAATTCATTATTTGCAAAAGAAAGCCCCGGAATTGATCAAGCAGAGGACGAAGGATGGGAAGACGGTTCTCCACATAGCTGCTGCAAATTGTTTGGCAACAGACAGAGTAAAAGATAAGGCAGCATATGAAATGCTGGTGGCGGGGGGCCTGGATTTGAGAGCCGAGGATAGTGACGGATGGAATGCAATACATATTGCAGCGAAAGAGAAAAATACGGAGTTGGTCAAAATACTAGTCGATTTTGACCCTGAGCTCATAACCTCAGTGACCAAGGAAGGTGAGAACGTACTGCACTTGTATCCAGAACTTTATAATCTTTCAAAAGAATTCAAATATCTGCATCTGATGAATGATTTAATAATGCAAAAAACGAAGGCAAATAAAACGGTGCTCCATTGCGCTGCGGCAAAGGGGATATTTGCTGCATGCAAATGGTTAGTTGATAAAATGGGTGTTGAGATCGACTTAGTGGACAACAATGGTTGGAATGCTTTGCACTTTTCATCTTTCAGTGATTCTATGGCTCTTGAAATAGTTCAATTTTTGCATGAGAAAACTCCTGAGCTGATCCATACAAAAACAAATAGAAACGAAAATGCGCTGCATCTCGCAGCCAAGCAGAAGAATTTTAAACTTTTCGAGTGGCTCTTGGAAAATGGAGTAGATGATTTGGTGCAAGATGTGGATGGTCAAACACCTCATCAATTGCTTATATAGCCTTTCAAGAATGATATATCATGATTTGAATTTAAAAATTCCTTTGTATTTTTAGTCTTAATAATTAAAGAATATAAAATAATAGTAATTTTTTATTTCAAAATTAAAATATTCGTTTTAAATTACAACATAATATTAAAACCCTTAATTACATAGACATTTGTAACTCCGCGAGAAATGATTTCATCGAAAAATAAAAATTTTACACTACATTAAATGTAATTAGGATTGTTGTAAACGTATTTTTAACAAGGAAATTGATTTAGCCGAGCTAACATTTTGTATTTTGACGCTCCTATAGAGTTAAGTTATAATATTTTTTCGTTGAAAAATAATATACAACCAGTTTTGATAACGGTCTGTGACCCTATTTCAAGTTTTTTCAAGTGCTCTTAAAACAAGGGTATATTTAGAATATTTTCTTGATAGAATAAAATAATTTTAGAAAAAATAATAATATTCACTAAGATAAGTATGTTATCTTATTTTTTTTATCGATAAATATTGGAGAAATCTAATTTTGGATTTTTGGAACAGATTACAACTCTATTTCAATAATTTAAATTTATTTATACGCTCTCCTTGTTTGTGATAAAAAAATGTATTCATTCGAGTAGGAAAGTTTTCAACATTTTTCACACTGTGGACAAATATTTTCAAGTCCAGGTGATTTTTTTTTTTTTTTAAATTTCATATTTCTTATTTTTCATAACATTTAAATTTTGTACGATTAATTTTTTCTTCAAGAATGGCGTGTATTTCGATTCCAGTGTCAAATTACTTGCATTTTTAATGTTTTTAAAATTTCTAAATTTTCCACCACAGTACAATAGCGCGTTAATAACAATTTTTCATGATAAAATAATGAAAGGCACATTTATTATTACGTGCCATATTTAGTGAAAGAAGATTAAAGAAATAAATAATTCAAATTATTTTTGGAGTAAAGCACCAGCGAAAGCAACCCAGTTAACAGCGGAGTACGGCGGCATTGCATAGCTTGCAAGAGGTTGCTTCATTTCTAACTTTTTTTGTTTTTAATATGCCTTGAAATGAGTATCTTAATGGACGTGTAAGAGCAAATACTTAAAAAATCACCACAAAAAACAAGGCCTCCTTATAAGCTTGCAATTTTGTTCGATATTGGCGGCGCAATGTGCCGTTGCATAATAAGAGCCAGACGCGGCAATAAAACAATAACTGGGGCGGTGGCACATCCGTGTTTTTCGCGAATCTCGAGCAAAGGAGCAGGAAACGCGACGGCCGCGGCACCCTGGGACAATTAGCGTCGTAAACTTCTTGGCGGATCGGGTGCCTTCGGTGGTCAGCGGTGTTCGTAAAAATTCAGCGGTTCATCTCGGCCAGACTACTTTTTCTCCGTGGGAGCTGCAGAGAAATTTCTTGGATCGGCAAGTGTGCACGTCTCTCTTTCTTGAGGAAGCAATTATCCGCCGCCGAGCCACCGACCGACGCAATTTGTCCCCCGAGCGCTTTACAGCGCAGTTTGTAATATTTTATATAACTGCGGCACGCCGAATTACATTCATTTTGTCCGAGCTTCTTGTTAAAAGCGCCGCGTCGCTTCCACTCTTGCATCGGTTGTTATATAATGGGAGCGGTCGCGCCAGGTCGATTCGTTGTTATGATTATGATACACGCACGAAACGGCCGCGGTTTTAGGTGAGAATTAGCATTGTCTCGCGTTGAGAAATCCGCTGATTGGCTGTTTGGAAACGCTTTAATTATTGCAGCAGAATTTCTGCATTAATTGCGCGGAAAAATGAATGATGAAATTATGGTGACAAATGTTATAGTATTACAAGCAAGTTAAGAAAATTAAGAGGAATTAATTATTTCTAACTTAAAAAAATTCCTAAATTTTAAGCCGCTTTAGAAGGCCAGAATAAATGACTCATGTAATATTTAAATTTGCGATTTTGTAATATATTTTGGAACACTGCTCTGTTGGTATTTTCTACGTAAAATATTATAATACAAAAGCGATTAATATTTATTAATATTTTATTGTACAATGTTTATGCTCATTTGCCATAGAGTAACTAATTTTGTATTATATCAAAGTAAAAAAATGTGTTTCCAGGCTAAATGCAGTGTTCCGATTTTTTTATTGTGTGAATCTTGATGGGGTATTGGTATTAGGTATTATTAATTATATAATAAATTATTTTCTTTTAATTAAGAAATAATATGATAAAAAAGTTGAAGAAATTATTAAAAACTATTAGGTATACATGAGCACAGCAAGCGCCCTACACATAAAAAGAGAAGACGCCCCGAAGATATCTCCCGCGCCACTGTCACCAATTTTGTTAGTCGCAATATAATGTGTTGCACTCGATGTCAAGTGAATCCTCTGTAAGGAAACCACCCTTATTGGCTCACGTTAAAATTAGAATTTTAATTAATTCCATAAAATAAATAAATTTTTATTTTACAATATTATTACATATGTAATAAACCTTCCAATCGCCTGTAAATTGCTTAGAATGGAGACAAAACAACGCTCAATATTTAATTCTGCCAAAAAATCACGGTTTTCCTGATAACAATTAAGCTTTTTCACTTAATAAATTATTTCAATTCACGTACAAAAACTGCATATCGAGCCTCTCTACCCTCAGCGCCATGGGCAGACCATTATACAAATTCGCAACGGTTAATATAAGATTTTGCTGCAACACTGACAATTTATGAATTGGCACAGGTCACTCGCTGGCCACTCTGTTTGCATTTAGGAGGTGCAAAATAATCTATAACGTGTTATTGCTCCAATATATCAAATGCGGCAAAAAGATTTTACCCTTGAATAGACCTGGGAAGGCTGAGTTTAGGTTTATGGAAAAATAATTGGGGGTATTCACATGCGAAGTTACCACCAGAAAATCGCATAAGCTTGCATTTAGCTGTGTAAATATATGAACAAATCCCCTCAGTACTTTGATTATTTTGCACTAACAATAAGAGCAAATTTTTTTTATTTTTGTCAGGCCAAGACAAAATTTTTTATTGGCCTGTGCCCTTTTTTGGGCTTGTGGAAAGCAAGCTCCAATCTTATATTTACATTAACTGAGGGGATTTTTTTCGCATATTTACACACTTCTAGAAAATAAATGCAAGCTAATGCAATTTGCTGGTGCCTACTTCGCATGTGAATATCCCCAATTAATTTTCCATAAACCGCAACTCATCGTTTCCAGGTTGATTCAGGGTTAGATCTTTTGTTATCTACATTTCAAAATACTCAAGCAATAACACATTCTTCCTTTGCAGTCGACTTCTTATACTTGGCAGTGTACTCTACCAAATAGCTGGGATATACCTGTTTAAAAAAAAGTGTGCATTAGATTACATCAAGCTTTTTTCTGGAGCATTTTCTTTTTTCAGCATTTATTTATATAATATTTCCATACCTGATCGTCATGGTAAATTATGTACTCAGGACGCAACAGAAAACCATCATTTGGTATGGCTTTGACGGAATGATATCCTTCAGGAAGAACTTTCACGGTCCTCTTTGTCTCATAGATTTTACCCAACGCAACTCTACAAATCAAAATTCGTCTGATGCAAACCTCGCAACGCAAATCATTGTGCTTTTCACAATTCTTGAAGGCACCGAAAGCGTAGTGGTTGCTTTTGGATGAATGTTCCGCTAAATAGACGCCTACTTAACAAAATTTTATTTCAGAAAATATACATTGAAAAAAATTTCTCGCACCGTCTCTAAACATTCCCGATTTTTTGGCGAATCCTCGGTCAAAGCCTTCAGTGGCAATTTTCTTTGCGTGAAGTGAGCCATGAAAGAGGCGCATTTCTTTGACCCACGCACCCCCCAGGTCTTGGCTGATTTGCGCCCTCCTCTCTCTATATCGATTCCAACTGTACTTGTTCTTAATTCTATATACCTAAAAATTATTTAAAATTTTAATTCAACTTAAGTTTTACTATTGTTTGCAATTGTTCCTTACACTTTCGATATCAAAACTCTCAACCTCGTCGTGGTTTATTGTACTTTGAACTCTCTCATTAGCAAATTGATAACCACCTCTTTCTGGCGATAATTCTTCTAGCTCGATTCCATCGGACCATCTTCTGGGATGCATATTTCTGTTTGCAATAATAATTTAATATCATCATTGTTGTTAACAAACGTTTCTCTTTGAGGCGAAGCCATGAAAACGTTTCTCACAAACAAAATTCAAGTTGCGAATTTTCGACAATACTAATGTAAGGCCTGTTGAAAATTAGCAAAAACACCGAGCAAGCAAATCAGAATCTAGGATAACGTCTCTTTGCACCGTATTATTTTTAACCCTTGGTCTTATGCCCAGATCGACGGGGAGCGGTTCCACAGACCCTACACCTATTCAGCGGAAACTTCAAAAAATGGCCACTCTGGTGGTGGCGCCACTGTCGCTTGGCTTGAAAGCAGGGGAACTCGCGCTTGGGAAAACATTTTGATGCATAATTAAACTTGAGTGTAATATTTTTTCACCAAAGGGTTTACTTATTTCTTTTCTCGGAAAAATTATAGATCAAATAAAGATTAAAGATTTACTAATTATTTTATTTATTATCCAACTTATTTTCGTTAAATAATTTATTTTATTATAATTTTAAATATTCTAAATATTTATTTGTTTTGTTATAATTTTTTTATTATATTAATTTGTTTTTAATTTTTCTATTTTGGAATAAAAGTATAATAAATATTACTAAGTATATTAGTAAATTTTTTATAAACCCATGATAAAAGAAACCCCTCTGACACCTTCGCAAGAAAGGAAAAATGTTGATTTAGATTTTTAAAACAAAGAGCTGCTCATCAAATTCGGATAATTTACACCCTGAGAACCCAAGTTCGTACTTTATAAAGAGGATAAAAAAGCTAACAGAAACTTGCAAAAAGTGTTTTCATCTCAAGGAGCAGTTGAAAAAATAGGAAACGAGGATATTCGTATGAAAAAGAAAAATATTCCAGTGCAAAAGCTCCTATCTAGGAAACAAAAGGGTTAAATCAGGTCCTTGTGTGGGTGAGCCTCCTTAAAAAAAAAAACGCGTTCATTCTCATTGTTTGTCTGTAAATGTTGATGTAAATTTGATTATTGCCAAGGGGCACTGAACTATAGTTGCACCACAGCTGAAAAAAAATTAAAATAATGCTAAAAATAAATTACATTTTACACTCAGATTTTTTTACTTCATAAAAAAAACTCACTATGAAAACTTCCTAGAAAATTAAAAAAAAATTAAAAAAAAACTTTTTTTAATATTAGGGTGCGTCCAGGAAAGACTAGGGTAAATGTTAAAATTTTTCTTGAAAGCATGCCATTCCAATTTTCAAGTATGTTGTTGGGGTGGTCAAGAGGCCTCGCTCACCAAATTTTCAAGTCAAAATATGGGGTACTTTTCCGGGAAATCAGATTTTTCCAAAAACAAAAAATACGGAATATCTTTGCTCCTATTGAGAAATTATTAATGATCTTTTCACTTTCAAGCGTAACTTTTTACGTTCGACAACTTTTCTGTTGACAACTTTTGCGTAGGTCAAAGGTCAAGGTCACTAAATTGCAAATTTCACTTTCTGACGCAATTTTCGCAAAAATGCACCCCTCAGAAATTTTTCGCAGTATAGGAAAAAATGTAGCCCCAAGTGTGTAGAACAACATCCTTGATTTTCAGAATGGCAATATTTTTAATTTTTTAATTAATTTTAAATGAACATTAAAAAACAGTGAAAAATCGCTTTTCCGCAATAGAAAGTAATTTTCAAACAGCGATAACTCAGTTTCTGTTAGAGATACGCAAAAATTTTACAGAACAGAAAGGATTTTTTTTTACTTTTTGCATCTAATGATGTACTATTTATACAGGTCAGGTCACTTGGGGTCATTGACCTCAGTGACCTGTGACCTCAAAATATAATTTGTGGGAAATGAACTTATTAAAAGCATTCCATAAATTAGTTCTTCCTAACTATGTGTCAAATATTCAATAAACTGCTCTTTAAAGTCACAGGTCACTGAGGTCAATGACCCCAAGTGACCTGACCTGTATAAATAGTACATCATTAGATGCAAAAAGTAAAAAAAATCCTTTCTGTTCTGTAACATTTTTGCGTATCTCTAACAGAAACTGAGTTATCGCTGTTTGAAAATTACTTTCTATTGCGGAAAAGCGATTTTTCACTGTTTTTTAATGTTCATTTAAAATTAATTAAAAAACTAAAAATAATGCCATTCTGAAAATCAAGGATGTTGTTCTACACACTTGGGGCTACATTTTTTCCTATACTGCGAAAAATTTCTGAGGGGTGCATTTTTGCGAAAATTGCGTCAGAAAGTGAAATTTGCAATTTAGTGACCTTGACCTTTGACCTACGCAAAAGTTGTCAACAGAAAAGTTGTCGAACGTAAAAAGTTACGCTTGGAAGTGAAAAGATCATTAATCATTTCTCAATAGGAGCAAAGATATTCCGTATTTTTTGTTTTTGGAAAAATCTGATTTCCCGGAAAAGTACCCCATATTTTGACTTGAAAATTTGGTGAGCGAGGCCTCTTGACCACCCCAACAACATACTTGAAAATTGGAATGGCATGTTTTCAAGAAAAACTTTTAACATTTACCCTCAAATCTATCCTGGACGCACCCATTAAAAATTTTTAAATTTAACAAAAGTAATGTTCTCCTAAAGCGCAAGTTTCCCAATGGGATAGATGATGTGTAGCTGTATACCTAGGGATAAAAATTTGGTACGGCCAAGTAAACCCGGTGATAAGTTTATCCCCAGATAGCTTTAGTATATAATGAATACCCTCCAATATTTTTAGTAACATAATTAAATGAAAAACTACCGTACGAAGTGATGAGTGGAGTGTCCGTAAAATAAGTTGGTTGCTTGATAACAGAAGTAAAGGTTGTTTTTTTTTATCTTATCTCACATTAAAAAGCAAATTGGCTACAGAGATTAGATAAGAAAAGTGTCCTTGCGCAAAAGTCTAAATTCTAAATGATTTAGCAATGAATAACTCGTTATCAAAATCGTCAAAAAGCGTTCTTGCCCAAAACCTACCTCAACGCTCTTTGAGCTTGGATAAAAAAAAAATCATGATGATTTGAATTTAAAGTCGGATTTTCCTTGATGGATTATGCGAGGTTTTATTGTTGAAAAGAGAAAAAGAAAACTATATCCGGCTCTTCATATAAATGTAAACGTGTGATAGAGCATAATTATATCAGTTAGGCAAAAAGAACTTTGACAGCACCGAGTGTGTGTCATTAACATATGCAAGCTTTGAAAAAAAAAACGCAAGACGAGAAGACGCCCAGATTCACAACAAATTGGCTATGCACGCACAAAAAAATAAACAAACATCGATTTTGAAAGGTTGTCACTTGCCACGGCAGAATCAATGGCCATGGTGGCGATCGGCAATACAATTAGCTAGCCGAGTTTGACGGACGCAACAGAATTGCATTGCTTTACTGATAATGAGATATCCTTCGGAAAGAGAATTCATTGTTTTCTTATCTCATAAATGTTTCTCATGGCAACTTTGTCTAGGGCAAATTCGTAAATCTCACAAAATGGGTGAGTTTTTCGTATTCCATAAACGCCTCCTTTGGAAAATAATATTCCACTGGCTTTTGCGCATTTCTTTCACCCTTAAGTTCTTGGCTGATTGGCACCCTCCTTGATTTCATAACAATTAGAATACATTAGATTTAAATCTATGATATGGAAGGTAGTTTAACAGAGAAGGAAAAAGGCTTATAAATCTTGAGGAAAAATTAATAATAATTGTACATGTGTGCGTGTAATTTAAGACGGTTCCCTGCTGTCCCCGTAATAGGAATAATTAATTGCGCTCGATTTATGGCACTTATGCTCGCCTGCCTTACTAAAAACCGAATGCCGCCTGCAAATAATCGAGTACGTAGGTGATTCGATTTTACGGGAAAGCGTATTCTGGATAATTAAACGGCCAAAGTGAAAAACGGTGGGCAACTTTCTGAGAGCGGGTCGAGTGCTCTTCGGGTAATATGCATGTTAATTGCTTTTTATTAGCACTTCTTCTCCACTCGGCGGTAATTATTTTTAACAACCGTTGAAAAATAATCTCTGCTGTTGACGGCGCCGTCGAGTTTCTAAATTTGCGAATTTTTTTCCAAGCGCACATACGACTTTTCGGCTTGCGTAATGTAATTTTACATTTTCCCTCAGACACGGTGATTAATAATCTCGGCACCGACGGTGAGTTATCGTTGCAGTAATGAAACGTCAATTTTTTCCTCTTTTATCCGAGTCGTACTTTCAGGCCATTATTTTGATGAATTGCGACTTTTCGCAACGCCACTCCCGAAAAACGCTTTTCTGCCGTGAAATTGCCTTGGATTGTTTTATTCGAGTCGTGCGCGATTTATTTTTCTTGTCACTCTCTCCGTCTGTAAATAATTGGAAACAATTGCGGGAAAAGGCAAAAATTGCTTGTGATTTATTTATTTTTCACTCTCTCGTAATAATTTTTATTGTCCCGTGAATAATAAAATTTCACACGCTTCCCAACCAACTCGATAAAATGCGCATTTCGACCTATATTTCCAGCAAGAAAAACACGCCGCGCATTCGGAAAAGTGTGAAGTTTTATTTTCATGTGATAATTTTAATTATCATCGCAAGTTACGTGAGCAGAGTTGTTGCTTAAGATTTTATTGCGGCTGCGGAGAAGTTCCAGGAACATGAAAAAAGTGAGTGATACGTGCAAACAATATAGTAATAATATGTAATAAGATGTTTTTGCCGCGCACGTTACAGCGTGCAATTGTAAAATAAATATGCAGCGTTCACTTTCTGCTTTCATAAGTACACACAATCTCGAATGTGTTAAAAAGGCAATTTTGTAGAAATTACAATTGTTTGATGCAAGAGAACAACAGAGACAATTTTCAAATTTAATTAAAATTGAACACTGGTTCTTTTTTTATCTGAAATAATTATTTATAAAAATTAATGACTCATTGGCTGAGATTGTACTGACTGAGGCTTCCTATATACTCTCGTTATTTATGTAAACCTTCAAGCTCTTTTTTTTAGCCGGTAATTGTAAAACAATTTTCTTTTTGTTAAATAATCGTCGAGTTGAAATTAGCACAGTTACGTCTGCAAAATTAAATCATGAGATGTCACGCAATTTGTAGAAAGTGGCAATTCTGCTGGTTGTATTTTAATGAAAAAGTAAAATGTTTAAACAACTCTTAATTTCCTATGAACGTGCCAACCATATCTAAATCTTCATAAAAGTAAGTAATTATTAAAATTTATAGCTCAATAATAGTTAATAATAACATAATTAATTAATTTTTCCTTTATATTAACCTATTGGATTAGATTATTTTTAAATTTAAATTTATTCATTTAATTCTAAATTTTCCAAATTATTTTTGCTTCTTGTTTGAATATCATATACATAATCAAAAACCTAAAATCAATTAATAACTCGTTCAAAATGAGAAAAAAATATATATTGAATTGTTGCAACCATATGATTACTACAAAGAGTAAAAATTCAATTCTGCTACAGTTGCTGGTGAATAGAAAATGATATGGAGTTGAATTAATTAAAGACTTGATTTGAATGGAATAAGTTATGATATACATAATGTAAGAGGGTTGGCATACAGACTTAATTAGATGTGTATAAGATTTTCGTATCAATTTTTTACCATAAGCATGATTATGATTTTTTTTTTATAAAAAAATCAAGATTTTAATCAGCCATTGATTCACATGAAAGTATCATCATTTGCAGCAGAAAATCGATTGCATTTTCTAGAACGATCTAATCGGCGGCACATTAAGCAAGTGTGATGGTTGTTGGAGTGATGGGCGCGTAATTTATTCCGAGTGCATTTTCGGAGCGCCGGTGGCGAGAATGATATTCGGATTTCTAATTAGGCAGCGCCGGAACAAAGGAGGTGCCGCTGACAGCGAGATCAATGGCGTTTCTCGGGCGCTGATAGATGCGGCCCGTGTAGAAATCTGACCACTATATATCAATCAATAATCGATGACCCCACCTATTGTCGGGGCCATTTTTCGCCAGCGTCCAAACGGACGGACCGACGAGTGATCGAGTGCGCGACTCCTCGGCTTTCTCTATTAGCACGTGTGAGGCTGCGTGAGCCGTTTAACCAGATCTTTTTGGAATGTCGCCCGCTCAAATATAGGCGAATGTCGAGCCGACGTCGCGCTCGTTTGTCTCGCTTTACTATTTTTGGCCATGATTTGCTGCAAAACAACAATTTATAATTCTTTTTATTTATAATTTGTTAGGAAATTTAATTTTTTTTTTAATGAAAATGGGGATAATAATTTAAAAAAAATACTACACGTTCTTATAAAAATTTTTTCAATTGCAATTATCACAAGAAATGAAAAAAAAGTGGAATTTGTATCATAGTTTATTCTTGTATTAAAATTATAGCTTTCCAACGATGCAAGCTCGGTTGCTTTATTTTTGATTAATAATTTATTCAAAATACCTTATGTTGATTCATTTTTCCCATTTGTTTTTTTCTTCATTCATAATTACTCTTTATAGAAAAAAAGAAATTGTAATAATTATTTTTCTTAACACTTCATTAAAATGTGTATGATTTTCCTGGTGTTCAAATAATGCTTATGGTGTAAAATTTAAGAATAAAATTTAAGTAAAAAATAAATAAATATTGAATCCCATTTTCAGATCAAAGGCTTTTAAAAAAGTGTGATTATTAAATTACTATAAATTTCTATTAAAAAATAAAATAAAAATACCTTCACTGTAAATTGATCCCATGAGGGAAGGTCAAGCCATCCCATAATTTTAATTTAGTGGCTAAATTAATTGATTTTCATTATTTGAACTGGGCATGATAAGCAAAAAACCCCACAAAATTAATTAAAATTATTAATGGTGATTTGGATTTTAAGTCAACTTTCCTCGATGGGTTTTTAGAGTTGTTTATTGTTGATAAAAAACATATTTCTTAAATAATAAACAACTCACAAAACCCATCTAGGAAAATCTGATCTTAAATTCAAATTACCATTAATCAACCCTCGATCATGACTTTCTACTACAAGATTAAAATATTGTCACGAGGCCTCTGTGTAGACAATATTTAAATTTGACTGAAATTTCAATTATCAAGATTAATCAAAGCATAATGAATATGATCTCGACAATTTTAGAGATTGCTGATAAATAAATAAATTATCATCAGGTAGACAAATCAAATATAATTATGACTTTTTTTCTAATACACATTCAATTCAAAATATTAAAACATAATTTATCTAAAGAATAAGATTATTATTTGCTATCATGTTGGATGGAATAAAATTTTCTCTCGACGCAAAAAGAGTTTTAATTCAAACCACGCCACATACATATTTTCATAAATTCCCAAAGACCTTGGCGGCCAATTAACGACGTTCCCGGCATTTTTCAACCTCGAGTAGCCGCGCAATTAGCACAATCGCAGCTCGCAATTTGCCGCGCAGTTAATAAATCTGTCCCTCGCGAGTGAGACGTCGGTTTGTTTTTGTCATCCGGCGGCAGAAGAACAAGAAGTGTCAGCAGCTGAGCGGAAAGTCTCGTCACGCGAATCCTAGAAACGCGCTCGCGCTGGAGATATAAATTTATGCAAACCGTCGGCACTTTCGCAGCTCGAAACGAGGCTAAGATTTATGGAAATGCTGCTCCTCTCTGCACATCATGTCCCACGCACAAGCTCCTGCCATAAGTCATTGGCTCTCTTCCCGCGCAAGAAAGAGAGAAGCCGCAATCTTAATTTCCATCTGCGTGCACTTATTCTTACGGAGTACATTTTGATCTGCTGTCGTTTTTAATCGGCGACACTATTTTGCAATTTTCCGCAGCTAATCGCTCTTATTGTGATGCACGCGTCGTCGTGATTTATGTATTAAGGACGACACGCCTCAATCTTGATGGCATTGAAAGTTCAAGTGCATATTCGCGCAAAGAAAACGCATCTCGGACTCCTCAAAGTCACGATTTATTTTTACTGGAGATGTGAAACAGGTCTTTTGAAATGCATTTTCTTTGGCACAATTAAAAAGAAAATAAAACTAAAATTATGAAAAATTTTAAGTAAAAATTGAATCTTGCAGTTCAGATATCAACTGTCTTGAAATCTTAAACTTATTCAAATATAAATTGTGATGAACGGAATGTGGGAATTTGACCCATTTAAAGTTACCTTTTGACTTTTGATCTAAAAACGCTTATGTGAAGATAAATTTAAAATTTATTTCAAAAATTAATTTATAAAGAAACATGAGAGCGTATTGTTTGTGGTCATTCAATTGCTACACTGAAAATTGAACACAAATTTATTTACTATTATTTCTCTTCCTTTTGATGGAAAAAATTATTCTTCAATTTTTGAGACTACCGCAGAGTTCTACATTCTTGATGAAGAAAAATTTGATGAGGTTGCAAATGTTTACAAAAATGTCTTTCTGTTCGATTTTTAATAGAATATGAAGAGTTAATTATTCTTTTCTTAAAAGGAAGTCTTTGTACTAATGTAGACGCGCAATTTGAAAAACTTTTAAATTTAACGCAGCCTTAATGCATTTAAATCAACATTAAGTTCTAGAATCCTTATAGCTATTGACATCATTATAAAATAAACATTTTCAGAATCAATCGAATCCGCGCACAGTCTTGATTTTTGAACTATTTTCTCTTAAGATTAAGTCCTCTGTTCTCTGATTCATACATTCATAGGCATCTCAAACAATATTTATATAAATTTAAACTATGTTCTTCAAGTGAAAATAAATATTTAATTTAACCAATAAAATAAAAGAAATAAAATTATTTGTTTAAAATTGTTAAAATAAGTATATAATCGTATAATAAATGATTTAGTAAAATATCAAAAATTTATAAATAATTTGTAGTTTTTTGTAAACATAAAATTAAAATAACATAGAAATTTTAATATAAGTAAAGAAAACCTCACGGCTTGTTCTCCATTTCCATAACATGGAGTGGCAATGTTGGGCCTTTTTTTACAAATTTATGTTATATTATTACACAATACTTTTTTAATATAGATAAAGAGAAAGAAAATCTCGACTTATCAAATTTTTGTACGCAATCAAATCCCCACATTTATGCTGCCAGTAACTCTGGAACTTAACTTGGACCCAGCAGACAGTATATATTTTTTTAATGACAAGAATATTATGAAATTTTGTGCTAGACCAAGTTGACTTGTCGAAGCTCGCCGACATCAAAATTAGAAATCGAGCACGACAGTCCTTTCTCCGTCAATTCATCTCGGCCTGTGCGGAAAAAATAAATGGCGAGCAAGCGACGAAGAGAGATAGAAAGAGAGGAGAATTGTTAATTTGGTCGGTAGATGTGCCCGCCGCGCGCATGTGTGGCACATCCGGGTGACCTGACCCTTTTGTCAGATTCATCTCGGACTAGGTGTGGGTGGGAGTGGTCGGTCCATTCTTTCTTTCCAGCCGCAGAATTAAATTAAAATCGCACGCAAACTTTCCACGCAGCGCGCCACTCTAATAAACAATTTCGTCCGCGACTTTTGACCCGTCGTCATTTCTCGCTCGCGTTAAATTGCGCTCTCGCATTTCACTCGGCCGGTTTAATTCTTTTTTTTCCCTTCGAGTGCCGCTCTTTGCACTGCACACTTCTTTTCTCCCGACAGATTTATTAATTTTTATTTTTACGGCGAGCTGATTTGCATTTTTATGAATGGCGGTTCAAGGCAATAATAAATTTCGCTTTTGAATTTTTGCACTTCATGAAAACGATAATAATTTGAAAAAATGAAACTTGACAGTCTCATTGTTTTCCTTCGACGCGCGCTTTCTTCTAATCGCGGTGCAATCTCGGCGCGCACCTCTTCATAATCCAGCAGCGTAAATAATGCATCAAGTACTCATACTTTATCTTTTGCTAAGCGCATTGTTACAACCACTGTTTAATTTAAATGTAAATTCGCGCATGAATCACTGTCAGCTGCGCAGTGATTGTGAGAAAATACCAACCGGAAATAATGACTGCGAAGTTCAGTAGCATCTGCATGATGCGATCTAAAATATGAAGCTGTCAAAAATTTCCAATAAATTTAAATTTAAATGTTCAAAGTTAATTCAAAAGTGGGTTTTATAATAAAGAATAGTCTCAAATTTTACTTCATTTAGGAAAAAAATGAGACAAATAATGAAAAAAGGAGATAAAAATCAAAATCAAACCCATGAAAAAATCTTTAATTTAATAAAATTATATTTTTCATGGAAAATTTTACGATTTAAAAAAAAAAAATACAATATTTGGTTTATTGAAATTTGTATATTTAATATTTAGTCTTATTAAAATTTGCACGAAAAATATTTACAATATTTTTAAGGGAATTATTTTATCTTTTTAGAGCAAATTAAATTAGCAAGTTATGAAAAATTATTTTTAAATCATATTATTTTTAACACCTCAGGCAAACTGAGGAATAATTTACGAGCAAATAAATGACCTTTGGGCGGACACAGGATTGCAAATCGAGGAAGAGCATCCTAAACAAAGCAACATTTACATGACCACGCAGACGTCCATTCAGAAAAAAAGCATTCGGACGTTTTGAAACAATGAATAGTCCAAGGGCAAGGTGTTTTGTATTTGAATATTTTATTATGATGATTTTTTTTCTTATTCTGTGTTTGGCAGTGCGAAAAAAAAAAACACGTCTCTCATTCACGGATCGTTATTTCCTCTGCGCTCGAGTGTCAGGAGGCGACTAATGTATTTTGAATTGAGTTGACCTAATCCTTGACCCTGTCGCATTAGACAGAACGCTTGTAACGCGCACACCTCCTATGCTGCATGCACGGTGTTTGCGATACCAGGTGGACACCGGCGAATAAATTTCGCGGCGCATTTGACAGCTTTACAAAGTGCGCACACTGGGCGCGATTTTAATCAACAAACAAGACGTCCGAGGAGACAAAGATTTCTCGCTAAGAGCCTGCCTGTTTTCGGGATTATATTTTCGTAAAAATTTATTATCATTTTTTTATTTCTGGAAGTGGGTGGGAGAGGCTGCGAGTTATTAGCTTGTAAACTTTTATCTCCCTGGGAAAATTATGTTTTGCGGTGGTTTGCATTTTCAGTACGTAATTTTAACAAATATTCATATATTTTACGGGTCATGAGCATTGAACCTAAAAATTGCTGCGAGCAAATTCTTTTTTAATACAAAAAGACGAGACTTAAGAGTTTCGAATTAAAGTAAATTCTTATTGCTTTTATATTGAAGGATTTAAATTAGTGTTATGTAATTGTAGCGTATTTTGTCCCAATGATTACAAAGAGTTTTAAATCGTTGAAAAATAATATAATCATTGTTGGCAGGTAACATTCAATTGTTGGAAAAACAGCACCATTATAAAATTGATTAAGGTAATCATTAGAGTTCTACAGGTGTTCCAAGTGTGGCGCTCCGCAAACAAGGACTAAAATGAAATTTTTAAAAATAAGGCCTTTAAAATTTTAATTTTTTTTTTTAAATTAGGCCTTTACAAGTGTGGCACTCTCAAAAAGGTGAAAGTGACAAGAACAAAAACATACATTTTTTAAATTTATGTCATGGACCAAATTATATTTTTATCAAATTAAAATCAAAGATAAGTTACTTTATTGAGAATTGATTGTTCTGCCTTTTTTGGAGAAAAATAAATGAATTGAATTGAATTAATAGAAGGATGATCAACATTTGAATAAAAATGTGATAAAATTTGTATAATTCAAATAATTCAAGCTTAATAATAAAATAATGACATAATATTGCAAAAAATATTTCTCAAGAGGAATTTGATTATACGGAACTTGATGAGATAATCTCTCTCCCGCGCCAATTTTTAATTTATCAAATCCACCCTAAGCGTGGATAATGCAGAGAAAATTGAATCGCTCAACGTCAGCCGATGCAAATAAAATTGTGTTGCAATTCCCGATCATGCAAAATCGGTGCGTATCAAAGTGGAAGTTCACGAAAAACATGCATCTTTTAATGGCACCTGCTGCTGAAAAATGACTCCGGGTAGAGGTCAGGGGGCACGGCCAAGGTTTCGGCCTGCGAATCCAGGTGTGCAAGGCCAAGAGGATCACGCTGCGTCTCGGCAACACGACACTACGGAGAAAAAAATGTGGACGACGGCAAGAGGCACCTGCGCCAGGATCATCACTCTCGGTTTCGTTCGGCACGCTTTGGAAAACGGCCAAGTGGCGCAAAATTTAAGTACATAATATCGTGAGACGGAGACTTGAACGCACGGAAAGCGTATTAAATGGAGAATTAAAGTTTTATCCACCAGTTCCAGCTCAATAAAATTTGGAATGTTTCCATTAATTGTATGTTATAAAAATCCTAAATTAATATTTTGTCGACATTTTTATTTTTTCTGATAAATATAATAAATTCTTAATAAATTATAAAAAAATTTGTTAAAGAAGGAAGTATTTTTTTATGTAGTATTTTTAGAAAAAGAAGCATTATAATTTTTATCTGCAAAAAAGGCTTGTTATTGTTTTTGAAATTCTAAAGAAGAGATAATTATAGATATTTTAACATTTTCTTTTCTCTCAAATTTTTGAATTCACTAATTTTCAAAGAAAACCATACTTCAGAAGTCAACTTTTTTATTCAAAAATCTCTCAGCTTTAAATGTTTTTAATTAAATTTGCCTCAACTACAATTAATTAAAAATTATCCAACGAATTCCCAAAAATTGTCTAAAGCTG